GATTATTATGTAGGATTAGAAGCCAAACAACATAGAAATGTTCTTTTCAACGTAACATTTTCAGTCTCTTGGTGATGACATTAAACATCAAAATGTTTGGAATTCGTTATCATAATAATACAGATGGAAATGTTTTTCAGTCACTTTGTAAAAGAACTGAATATTTAGACGTTTAATAAATTTGTTACACATTTTGACAGTAAAAAAATATACACACTATATAAAAAGCAATGCTCAGGTGAAATATTTACTTTGTGTTGCAAGTCGAAATAGTGTAAACGAAAATCGCAAAATTACCAAGCAAGTGACTTATCAAAACTTCGTCACCATTACCGATGCTACCCACAAATATACCTACATTTCCTTATTATCTCGAAAATTGTATTTCATTTTGTTGATCAATGTGACCATACGCCCTTATTACTACCCATAAAAGTGACAAATGCGCTTACGAATGGCGCAGCAGACGTCGCGAACTAGTCTAGATTTCTGCTATACATCCGGGTACTCACTGGGAAAAAACAATAACAAAGGCAACAACCAGTCCCGGGGAATTGCGTTAGATCAGTTCGATGTGTGTGTGTGTGGGTGTGTGTGTGTGTGTGTGTGGGGGGGGGGGGGGGGGGGGGGGGGGGAAACATTCGGAAGCCGGCAATTTAGACCAACGCGAGCACCTTTTACGCAAAACTAAAACACCGGAATATCAAACGCCAGTTCCCCAGATGTCAGTCGGTAAAGGTTTGCTTCCAATTGCAGCATTACCACGTGATCAGTGACGTAATCACTCTCTGGCATCGTCTGGTCCAAAGCATTACACATCACGTGATGCTCGTCATGGATCTTCTGAGGCAGAAGAGTGAGGTCATAATTCAGATGAAACTCCTGAAAGATGCAGCCAATTCTAGAGATGAGGTCAATGTCATCCAGTTTTCGTCTTCTACGAATTATTTCAGATTTTGAAATTTCCTGGGTAGAATTACCTTCTAATTCTGTGGATCCATGTGTGTCATTTGATTCTCCTGGTGGACGCTCCTCAGCAAGGTGGTGATCGTTTCCTTGACTAACGCTTGATGAAACATCACACTTAGTTCCACATATTGGAATAATCAGATCTTTCTGTCCAACTGAATCAAAATCGTCTTTTAAATTTATGAGTATCTTTTCAACAGCTTCTTTAAAAAACTTAGCCTCCAATGTTTTACCAACCATAAATTCATTTTCAAATTTGCCCTTTTCTGGTTTATATATGTGTGTCTCATTTTGGTGCGTAATTGTGTCAAAATACCTTTTAAGCTTAGATTTTGAGTAAACAGGGCGCTTCTTTTGTACAACCTCCTTGTTTGTAACTGATTCCACCTTGTCATAGATCTGAGATGTTCCGTCGAAACCAGAATGATTCACTTGAGAAAGATTGTCAGAATCATCATCAGACAAAATGCTAATATCTAAAGGTGACATGGACGTGTCCGGTGACGAGGTGTCATCAATGCAAAATAACTTGCAAGCAACACCAGGCATGCGCATAATCCTATGGCTTTTGTCGGCTTCCGGGTTGTCTTTAATCTTAATTTGATTTTCACTCTGGGGTTCAAACATTGCTTTGACCTCAGTGGGTGTTTTTCTTGGACTGCACCAATGGTGTAGCTTTAAGGACCTTGTTCTATGCGCTGATCTTATCCTGGGTGGTGTGCCGGTATGAGCTATGCTTTTCACTGGGGATACCACGCGCTCCGTGAGCCTTTGAGATTGTATGGGGTCTGATGTATATGGTGTCTGTAGACATGCGCGGTATGCAAGTTCCACATTGTCAGTTGGTCCATATGAAGACATCCCAGGGACTTTGCACACAGAGTGTTGGTTTCGTAGATGGCATAGAGAAGACTGAAGATATAAAAAAAAACATCATATCTTAGCTCACATGTTCTAGTAGAGGGTCATCAATATCTCGGACAACAACCGTTTTAATCAGTCAACCATTCTTGCCAAAGACGTTAATATGGTATAGTGAGTGAGTGAATATGGTTTTACGCCGCTTTTAGCAATATTCCAGCAATATCACGGCGGGGGACACCAGAAATGGGCTTCACACATTGTACCCATGTCGGGAATCGAACCCGGGTCTTCGGCGTGACGAGCGAACGCTTTAACCACTAGGCTACCCGACCGCCCTACTATGGTATAAGGAAAGAACACCTTACTATGGATATCAAGAAGAAGAGAGATATCAGGACTTTAAGATGATATAAATGACATATGTGTGTAACCGTAGGATATAATGTGGGTTTGGCATACTCATAGTACACACATACCTCCGGCCTGAGAAGATGCATGTGTGGATCTGCGCCAGAACCACCTGGTTTTGTATTGTCCATCTGAGAGGATGATTCAACAGCATTCGATGGGCAAATGTTCTCGGCTCCCAACCGTCCTTCGCTTCAATTATGGGTGATAAAATGTATTATGCATACAGAATTAAAGCGATTTATATAATAACTGGGTTCAACAATAATGTTAGGGCAGTGGCAGTCCATATACATATTCTGATATTGTTCGTTTTCTTTCAACCACTGAACCACAATTATTAACAGTTATCACTTTAGTTATTCCATGGATGGTATAATAATGGTAAGAATGCATTTTACCGGACACCTTCACCATTTTTGTAAGGGTTTCTAAGTTTTTCAGTCTCGCTAAAATAACAAGGGGGTGGGAGTTCCTGTCGCCCACACAACGGCTTGACATAAATGCTACGTAAAAGCTTTCTTCAGTCAATGTAATGTAACCAAAGTTGCCAAAGATGGATGTCACAAATGAGGTTGCCGCACGCCATTAGTTTTCATTGAATACTTTTTATATATTGTTGTCCATTTCTCGATGTTTATGAATTTGTTTTGATCTTAAATATCGAGAGTTAAATCATATTAAACCATGCCAATAAGAGAGGAGTCGTTTTCTGCTTTTATTAGCAACATGAAACCAACATGGTGGAAGTTGTGTTAGAACACGGGGTTGGATTGAATTTTGCGTCCATATGGCAAACACTAGTTCAGAACAACTACTGCTGTCGGTACAACTGAACACCCAGTGTAAAATCGATATTTGCCAACGTACCTTCCTGAATATGTCCGTGGGGAAGAAATGATGTTGACACAAGCGTCCCAGCAAAGTGAGCCTCGTGGTTGTCACAGCATACGGTGTTGCTTAGCATGGTGAGACATACAAGTGAAGTAGTGACGTCATAAAGATAGCGTCATAATCCCCGGTGACGTCACAATCGACCATTATCCATGACGTCATCATCATAATCACAACGCTTAGGAGCGGGATACGTCAATCTCATTAAAGGGGAAGTGTACACGCAAAAATCACTTTCTTTCTTTTTCTAAACAAAACGCAATTTTAGAATTAGTTAGTATCTGTGTTTGAAAATATACGCTCATTTTTTTTCACAGTGAAAGTAGGAAGCTCACAATAGTGTTAAAATGATATGTCGTTATGAGGCCTTCGTTTTACGAGCGAAATAGGCCTGAGTTATCCCCCTTAGATTATGACGTAATTGGTGCCAATTCAACTGGGTCCCTGTCTATTCTTAACGCAAAAGATATCAAGGACCAGTTTGCCGTAAAACAACATGGTCTACGACACACTCCGGCGCAGTGGTGACTCAGCATAACACAATTCTGGCTGGCATCTGAGACGCTAGAAGCACAAAACTGTACCTACACCACGTGAAGCGGCTCTAACAAAGCATGATGACGTCATAATGTTTATCAATTGGCACCAATGACGTCATATTGCAAGGGGCATAAGCCATGGTGTTTTTGTTATGGAAATAGAACACTTGGTAAATGTGAAAAATATAAATCGTTTTAATGCAAAAAATATGTTAATTAAATATGATGTTTATATATTTTTGTCTATGACACTTCTATGTTAACACTTTTAATGTGGAAAAAGTACAAGAAAAATTGGTTCATTTCCGTGTGAACTTGCCCTTTAAAATCAGATCTTAGTTCTTTGTTTAGCGGTAGCGAGAACTAAGATCTGATTTTAATGAGATTGGGGATACGTCAAGAGGAGTCCAGTGTCTCACTACGATCACCAAGGAGCATCGCAATGTTGACATTCAGAAGTGAAATGAACAACCTTGTGTTTCTGTAAAAAGAAACATATACATCCTTATTCTAAAAGGAATTATATATGGCTCATAGGCGCACTAGTTAATAACAAAATACACACGTTTTGCGCTTGGACATGTAAAGCTAAATGAAATTATGTCACTGTGATGATCATAGTCATTAACCTACATTATACATCACCACATAATGGGTATTTGAAAGATGAAGAGTGTGTACATGTAATTATTCATTTATCAAATACAGTATATTAATTTGGTTTCGATAAAGCAAAATTGTTTTAACGATGTCGTTCTTGGAATTATAAATGCCAATAAACTTCGTCGACAAAATCATGTATATTGAACGTAGGTCTATAATCAAAAACAAAAAAACGAAACGGGTTTTAAACAAAATTAATTAACCTTAAATCTTGACGGAAATCGTATCTAACCGTATGTGCGGATACATTTCTTTTGCAAAAAGAGGGTTACATTTTACGATTACAAGTTAATACAGTGCAGGATGAATGCAAATAATCTTCGGCGGAACCTGCACCTCCCCGCATCTGCACATAAACTGTGTTGTTCTTTTCAGAGAGCCTTATAAGACTCATTGGGAATATCAGAGATATATAGTCTCTGGGAATATGTAATCATTTCGATTGTGTTGATTTATTTTGTGCCGGAGTAATTCTTACAATTAAAATAATACAACAGTGTACTCATGTGTACTTATGTGCCTATAGCTAATATGTTACTACCTATAATATTTTTAACGGATTTCTTCAAAATGACGTTAATGGTCAATAATATTCAGTCGCGACTGCGCTTATCACGTTTCAGGTCCTTACAGAGTATAGCCCCTTTGAGGAAGGGAAGTGCGCGCTTCTAACGCATGCGCGCCGAACAAGTCTGTTCCGGTATAACATCAACAATTTAGTTGCTATGCTTTGAGAACTGAATTTAAAAACGAATTTTACAGGTAAATCAATGCAGTTTACCTCGTCGGTAAGATAAATACTTTGTTAGTGTACCATTCACGCTTTTTTCAAATATCCAAATGTCGATCAAATTGATTTGAACGTATAGATAATGTACCGGCCCTTACTGGCTACCAAAAGAAGTCTAAAGCCATAGTCAATAGACCATATGATTATGAGAGTTATGTCATCCAACCACATATATTCGTTTTCATGTAGGGCAGCTTTGGGATACTTTTAAGAGTGGCGAGCAACATATTATTTGGGGAAAAAATCTTTATTATTAGAGTAGTATGATTGATTGAGATAGGCCTACTTATTAGATCTGTTCATCCGAAGACGTATAGAGATTGTATATACGTCTTTGGTTCATCAGATAGATGTTCATCATAATAGGGCATGATCAAAAACGTGTTGGTGATGTTTTGGTAGTTTGATGCTTACATTGCTCTATTTGTTTTCAGTAGTGGGAGTGAGTGAGTGATGTTGTGTTCTTATGTTTTACAAATACATTACAAGTTTGGTTTTACGCCGCTTTTAGCAATATTCCAGCAATATCACGGCGGGGGACACCAGAAATAGGCTTCACACATTGTACCCATGTCGGGATTCGAACCCGGGTCTTCGGCGTGACGAGCGAAGGCTTTAACCACTAGGCTACCTGACCGCCCCTTCAGTAGTGAGAGAAGGCAGACCCTTATGTACAAATATGAGAAACAAAACGAATTCATGTTAGGAACTAGGGCTGCAATGAATACACTATGAGGCGAACACGATTCATATAACGAATATACAAATATTTATTCACAAATACAATAACAAGTCAGCAGTTGATATATAATTTATTATATTCAGTGAAAAATAACTACATAAATTATTTGACATGGTTGGATAATTATTAATATGTTATATATTATATATACTGCATTTATCCAGGTACTAGTATCTGCTCAAATACGACAATCACCGGTGACCACAATACTGTCAAATTATATATATGAGTGTTGTCTTTGAAGAAATCTCTGCATATAATATGTTCTTATGGATATTTTTAGGTACAGGGTATGTAGATGCACATGACTGCATATTCGTAAATATTCAATTCTAGTGACAACGAAAACAATTCGGATATGGTTCGATTCACTGAATACGTGAGTGAATCGTAACAGCCCTATTAGGAACTATTAAAAATATGCCCGGACTAGAACTCCTGTAATCATGAGCTGCCAGATTGAACACAGTATAACATATAGAGTGTGCAAAGTGGTGTTTGCAAGACTTCATGATGAACATTACAATTATCATGTTTATACATACATGCACACATTTTTAAGTGCAAATAATTCAATTAATAAACTTTGACATTTTAGACACATCAGCTGCGTATTGAAGATAGTGAAGAATTATGAATGATTTTGGTCCTAGTATTATCTGTATTTACTCTTGAGGAGGGGCGGTCGGGTAGCCTAGTGGTTAAAGCGTTCGCTCGTCACGCCGAAGACCCGGGTTCGATTCCCGACATGGGTACAATGTGTGAAGCCCATTTCTGGTGTCCCCCGCCTTGATATTGCTGGAATATTGCTAAAAGCGGCGTAAAACCATACTCACTCACTCACTACTCTTGAGGAATTACTCTATGAACTTCATAATCCATAATTGTTTACTGCCATGACATGATAATATTATTTCAGCTATAAAGTCAAATAGAGATGTCTCGCCGACTCAGTCGTCCATCTTCAGCTGCATCACATAGAAGCAGTGGATCGTCTGCCCATGATTCAGAGTTCAAGGTAGAATGTAAAGCAGCCTACCTGTCTGTCTATGATGACCTCAAGGATGTCATCTCTTCTGAATATGATCTATCTGCAGGTAGGTTTGAGAGAAAACTGTAATTTTACTTGCACAGATTTCTGCATTCTTGAAATTAAGGCAGGTTCTGATCAGTAGTGATGGAGCATCTTGTGTAGTTAATTTAACTTGTTTGAAAATGTACTGCTCTCATAAACCTTTGATTATATATTTTGTGTATTTACCTTCTACAAACCTATTTAGTCATTTAAATAGTCACCTGTGATGATCAGGGTTAGAATAGGTCTTCAGCAACCCATGTTTTTGTAAAAGGTGACAATGCTTGTCGTAAGAGGCGACTTACAAGATTGGGTGGTCAGGCTTGGTTGATGCATGTCTTCGTATCCCAATTGTGATTGTCTAGTCCTTACTTGATTATTTACAGACCCCCATCATATTGCTGGAATACTGCTGAGTGCAGTGTAAAACAATGAGCAAACAAACAAATACATTGTGTTTGTTAGTAGTTGTGATTTTGTTATCTAGTTCTGCAGCAGTCTGGAAGAAATCCTACCAGAAAAATACTGGCTAAGTACTGGACAGATGAAACAGGTAAGGTTGAGTTTACAGATTCAAGAGATTTATCAACACCTGTTCAGAGGCCGATATTCAGCCAGGGTCTGCAGCAAATGTCAATACAAAATCCCAAAATTGGAATTAAGCATCTCCCAATTTTAAGTTGTAATAGTTTTAGTCAGGAGTAATGCATGAAGAGTATTCACATGTAAAAAAATGTTTATATTTTACACAGTTTAAAAAATCACAATTTGGAACAAAATAATACTTTTTCCTAATTTGCCTGCCAAGGGTACTTTGGCATACTAGATAAACCCCTGATATTCTGCATCAGTATATCACTTTGAGATATCTTCTGTTCTGAAAAGTTCTGCTGACGGTCCTGCAATAGTTTAATGAAAGCATGCTCACAATATGACATCCATTATGTACAATTTCCTACATGGTCACCATGGCAGACATATTGAAAATGAATGCTTGAATCAGACACAGGTCAACATTGATCACATGGTTTTTCTGTAGTTGGCTTCTCTTATTTACTTTGATTCCTGTTTCCCAGATTATCTCACATTTGATGATTTTGTCAACATCTGTCGCCGGGAACATGCCACAACTACAGATGACTTGATGAAAGCTTTCCGCAAGATTGACATCAACGGAGATGGCTATATATCCCTGGATGAGTTGTTCAGAATGCTGACAACAGTTAGTATTTTCCTTACATTATCACATAAAGTTTAGCATCCAGCATGTAGGGACTTCCATACTACACAAGTGTCAACAGTCAACCCAGGAGGATTCTGGGTTAGAATTGGTCCCGAGCAACCCATGCTGGGAGTAAGAGGCAGCGCAATGGATCGGTAGTCAGACTTGGTGACTTGGTTGAAGGCGGGTACAAATCTTGATTGCATGGATTGTTGCTCACGATATCAATCACTGGATTGTCTGGTCCAGATCGGATTATATACAGGCCACCTTCATATGGCTGGAATATTGCTGAGTGGGGTGTTAAGCTACACAAACACACATACTTTTACAGGTACCGCAATTAGGGCTTTGGGACCTTTTTTGTGTGTAGTAATTTTTAACACAATACTCTTGTGATACTTACAAATGTATTGATGGTATTCTTGCTGATATTGCCCAATATATTAAATGCCATTTTATGCCTTGTGTAAAACTAAGGGATGTAACTCCCATGGAATATTTGGGATGGATGATGTCACGAAAAAAGCAACTCTCCGGGTTGAAATGGTTTGCTTTAAATAATTAAAGTTTGGTGTTAAAATGGATTGTTTTGTTATGATTGATGTATCTGTCAATATAAGGATTGAAGTTGTATTTATTGACTTTCATCAGCTGATGAAGACAGTGCTTCATGTGAGCAAACTTTATGAAGCGCTTTATGCATCATGGAATTTGCTAACGTGAGGCACTGTCTTCATCAGGTGATGAAGACTAATACATACAACTTCAATCCTTAAATGGCATGGGACATTCATAAAATCAGTCTCTGGTTTGTCGTGTGCAGACTTTATTATTTACAGGTCGCCTTGACCCAATGTTTAACAATGTCTAAAGCAAGTGGAAATTCAACCGACTGGTATGTTTATTACAAGTAATCAGGTGATGATGCCACAATAAGTCCTGAAGCAGCAAGGATAGCCATTGTGTCACAGCTTGTGCAACCTTTATTGAAAATAATTCTCTGTTTCAGAGAGGCGAAAAGATGACGCGAGACGAGGTGCAGTGTATGATTGATGAGGTTGACGAGAACAGAGATGGCAAGCTGGACTATGGAGAGGTAAGACAAACAACACACTGTATACATGGTACATGTATTGTAGAACCAATATCAAATATTCATTTTCAGTTACAATGAAATTTTGTTCATTTCTAAGTTCTTTGCATCATCGAAACTATGTCAATCTATGCAAGTTTGAGACCATCTTAACAAGGTATGTCAGCCCTTGCCATTTCAAGCCTACTATTCTGTACTAGACGCAGTCAGGATTTGACTATCGCACATATCAATAGTCCAACCTGAACATTCTACAAAATCAATAACCAGGTTCTGTGTGTCAAATGTGCACTGAAAACTTTTCAAACAATTGATCGAAGTCATATATTTTCAAAGTCTTTCCAAGTTTTCAGTCAATTCTACCAAGTACTTAGTGCCTTTTATATGTTTGAGTGAAAACTTATTTGTATTTTAACCCAAGTGACTGAATGCTTATCGCAGTGACTGAGATTCAGTGCTATTTTTTTTACTACCCATATTGAGAGTTTCATGTTACCACTATGTGCAGTGTTACTTGATAATGTGGGACCATGAGCCTCTATTGTTGTAAGAGCGAAATGCGGCAGTAATAAGTATCTTTTCTGTGGCAATCTGTCATTTTGTATGTCTGTCAGGGATGAAATCTTGAATCTTTTCGTTATCTGATCGGCCAGGCCATCTGCTATGGTCGTCATCATTGTGAAGCCATTCAAAATAAGAACAGTTATCTGCTTGGATATCGTGTTATCATCACAAGGGGCACAACTTATGCTCTACATGGGAAGGGGCACGTGAATAGAGCCAAGGAAAGGAGGCTTGAAATGGCTGGGTGAAAACTAGACTTTGACACGCTTGCCTCGGAAAGATGGTGTGAGACAAGCTACTGCTGTTATTTGACATGTAATATGTTTCAAATATGGTATGAATAACGTAACAATAACATTTGAATCATGTTTTCATTGTGCAGTATGCATTCATGATTCATGCATATGTGTAATGCATATATACCAATAGCTATCCAACATTCTGATACAATGACAGATATTTCTGCACTAAGGGAATCTTATTAAAATCAATATTAGTGGCCACTACTGCTAAACAAAGATCTGAAAGCATTCCATTACAGGTCACATCAGAAATATCTTTGTGTAGCAGTAGTGAGCATCACAATCTGATTATAATGAGATTAACAGTAATCAATGTGCAGCAAAAAGCTACAAAGCTTTCGTCTGACTTCAACTGAAGCATGTCAAACAACTGAGAACAAAGAAATACTCTGTCAGGACAATATACCTACATTTTCCTCATCATTGTATACTGATTAAATGAAGTTCAACTTAACAAGGTTTGCTGTATTTGAAAGCACGTTTCAGAGTGCAGCCATGGGACTTTTACAAACAAAATTCCTCATTGGTGCAAAAAAATAAATGTCACTGCACCATAAGGGCGCAACATAATATCTAAGGAATAAAATATGTTTTTGATCATACTTTGGCTATTGACTGTAATTCAATGCCAAGTTCAATTGTTTTAGCAATTGGAATACATTTATCATGTATTGTAACCTCAAAGCCTTAAATGATAAGTTTAACATGTTTTGATTTGATGGTTCAATTACTAGGCCCATTTTTGGGTCTCGTGTCGTGTCACACATGGCAATCAGCTTGTGATGCCCTGAGCTAGGTTTGTCAGCACCATGCCCGTGCTCGTGGGTTTCACCGAAGTGGTAAACGTCTGAGACCTGCATGACTTCGGGCTTTCCTCCCACATGAAGCTGACACGCCACAATATAACTGGAATACTGTTAAAAGTGGTGTTTAAAACACAACTCACTCACTCACTCACTGTGATGCCCTGAGAAACAAAAGCAGATGAAAGTGCTTTGTTTATTTAATTTTCTTTCGAAACTACGTAAGACTGATTGTCAGAATGTGGCTGCAGATAAAAAGAACTGAAGAAAGTGTAATTCTTTAACCCTGACTGGAACATTGAACTAACTAAATGAATGAAATGAACACTGTGAAAGTGATCACACTACCATTCACACATGGCACGTGAATATTAATATTTATGATACTTTGTTTGAAATAAGCATATCCATAGCCTACATCATTTTCTTTTATGTCAATATTGAAAAACTAAGAATTCAGTGGCTATCTTATATTATTCAATATTTACTGATATGTGTATGTTCTCCAGTATATTGAAAACCTGTAGGTTTTGTAATTAGGCTGAATGTTGGGTAGGAGGGTTCAACAGAAATGTGCTAGGGGTACTTTTTTATGTACAGAAAGGTACCCAGGCTAACATGATTACCGTATTCGACGTAATAAGCGCCCTGCTCTAATAAGCGCCCACGGCGATATTTTCTAATATATTGGCTCGTGAACAATCCCAATTAGCACCCTTTCCGATTGATCAATGTACACAATACTTATTTATTCGCGTATAATGCGCACTCGTGGGTTATATGCAACCTTAATTATGGGCAATTAAATTCTGGAAAAATATATCTCTCGTATATAAACATTTCAGGCTGTCAGCATAAACCACGAAATTTATCTTTCAACTTTTTATCTTTTTTTTCGACAAAATGATATTCTAATAAGAGCCCCCTATTTCTAATTTTGAGAGCGCCCTGGGCGCTTATTACGTCAAATACGGTATACAGAATTGCCCTGTCTGGCCACTGCACAGTTCTGGAGCAACTCAGCAGGACCGTCTTCCACTGCACTTGTCATGTAAAATATGGCCAAAACTCACAATGTACAAGAATAAATTGTTTTTAGACAATGGTGACTGTACTGTCAAACGTAAATGGATTTGATTAGAACTGTTGATTTGAGCTGTGAAAGAGAGTGTGAAAAACAAACTCAACAGATTATCAAATGAAGTTTTCCTGTGGAACCAGTTTCGCATGCAGTTAAATGTATTTGACCAATGCCTTCAGTGCTATGCAGTGACCTTGGTCCACTTGCACAAAGCGATCCTAGCGCTAAGACTATCGTATGCCTATGTTAAAGTATGGGAGTTACGATCGTCTTAGCGCTAAGATCGCTTTATGCAAGTGGGCCCTGTTTGGGTACATTTCTGTATTCTCATTTCTGACAGATTACATTTCTGTACTTCTCTGCCAAACATGATCCTGTCAGTGTCAAAGGTGGAACATCAGATATCCAAGTATATTTTTTTTATCTGACTTCAGTTTGATATGTGAAAATACATTAATATAATTCATAGTAAATGAATGTAACTTTGATCTTGTACCTGTAAGATGATGTGACATGTTTACTATGTCTCACAACGCACCCTGTATATATTGTTCATCCCTCTCTCTTTTAGAGAATTCTCTACTATTCTGAGGTACCCTTTTCTGTTGTAGACATTTTCATCCCTTCCTATTCCATGTGTCAAATTTCACTGTCATGTTTCTTGTTCCTCATCATGCATTTAGCTTGAATAGATATTTCAAGTATGTTTTCCTACTTCCTACATGTTGTATGGGCGAGAGTGGCAATGTGTTATTTGTTTTGTCAAATGCATCTAGTGTGACTATATTATGAGAAACATGGCAAAGGTATGTGACTTTATTACCCTAAGCTTCTTGTGGATTTCTAGTGTTGGTAATTTGTGCTCAAACAAGTGTGTGATGTAAATGTTAGTACACGATTATAAGTTGTAAGACTAATATCATCATGATCATGAATATATGATGATACTGTTGTTTGAACTAATACCTCAGTATAGGATGATCAAACTGGAAGTGAATAACTGATTACTGTAATGACAGTACATGTAGTACTTTTTGGAGATGAACTCTATTATAAATATCCATGTGAAGGCTTATATTTAAGAAATATTTTCTTCAGGTCATTTTCTCATTACTTCAGGCACTATAAAGTGTTTATTACAAAAATCAATCAAATGAAAAATATTTATGAAACATACCTATGCATGTAAAACCTACTTGAATCGATGTTGATACTGTAGGCTAGTTGAATAATGTGTTTGTATTTGTTATGTACTTTTCTCACTGCAAAGAAAGTGTGCCAGTTTTCACCACACGTCAGAAAATGAACATGCATGTACTTGAATTATCGTGATTATAAGAGAATGTAGATATCATATAATTATTGAAGTGACTTTGTGTGTACAATTATGGTGCACATGATATTTCAGGTAAGGAAGTCACTTGATGCCGTTACACGACATGCTCAACTCAGTGAGAATTATCACTGAGTATTAAATACATGGGAGAATTATCACTGAGTATTAAAGAGATGGGTTGAATTATAGCTGAATATTCAATACATCAGGGAATTATAGCTGAGTATTTAATACATCAGGGAATTATAGCTGAGTATTAAATACATGGGGGAATTAAAGCTGAGTGTTAAATACATGGGGGAATTATAGCTGGGTATTAAATACATGGGGGAATTATGGCTGAGTATTTAATACATGGGGGAATTATGCCCGAGTATTAGATACATGGGGGAATTATGCCCGAGTATTAAATACATAGGAGAAATATAGCTGAGTATTAAATACATGGGGGTATTATAGCTGAGTATTAAAAGCATGGGGTAATTATAGCTGAGTATAAAATACATGGGGGAATTATAGCTGAGTATTAAATACATGGGGGAGTTATAGCTGAGTATTAAATAGATGGGGGAGTTATAGCTGAGTATTAAATGCATGGGGTTATTATAGCTGAGTATTTAATACATGGGGGAATTATGCCCGAGTATTAAATACATGGGGGAATTATAGCTGAGTATTAAATACATGGGGGTATTATAGCTGAATATTGAATACCTGGGGTTATTATAGCTGAGTATTAAAGACATGGGGGAATTATAGCTGAGTATTAAATACATTGGGGAGTTATAGCTGAGTATTAAATGCATGGGGTTATTATAGCTGAGTATTAAATACATGGGAGTATTATAGCTGAGTATTAAATACATGGGGGAATTATAGCTGAGTATTAAATACATGGGGGAATTATAGCTGAGTATTAAATACATGGGGGAATTATAGCTGAGTATTAAATACATGGGGGAATTATAGCTGAGTATTTAATACATTGGGGAATTATAGCTGAGTATTAAATACATGGGGGAATTATAGCTGAGTATTAAATACATGGTGGTATTATCACTGACATGAGTAATGGCATTGTCTGACTAACCCACTTGAAATGACATGCTGGCGTGGGACATTTACCTCCATGTGTTCATCCAAGGAGTCCTGGTTTGCATATCATACTGAACCTTCCCCGTGAAATCCCCAAGTTTATCCCCTCCTCACAAAACCAGGCTTAATGTGTACTCAACCACTGAACATTTGGTATTGTGATCTGTGGTATAGTCACAGATTCCATTTAGATAGTTCTCTATAATTGTATCAGGACTACAGGATTCATCTTTACTCAAAAAGAGTTTGGTTATACTTTTTTATTTTTTAACCCTAAACACTGTTTTATTCCTTTATTTCTGATTTGGTGTTAGATTTCCTGTATATCCTAAACATCCTAAAGCTATATCAAATCCTAAATCTATAAACTCCTAAGGTAACCAGCAGTGGTTGAACGATCAAGTAGGCCTGGTGAACACTGCCCAGAGTGAACATAATCCCGATATTTTAGTGTTTGAATGCATATTATAGTTGTTATTATCATGATTATGGTGTCAGAAGCATAACTGATCATGTGTTTTCAAAGTGTTGTTTTTTTTGTGAAAGCATGAGGGATTTTCAAAAGCAGCCTGCACCAAATGTGTTTTAGTGAACTAAAGCCTGCCAAAGAAATGATAAATGTTATCAGTTTGTGGCTTCAGGCTGGTGGTTCAAGGTGCTCACTGCAAGAGTGTATCTCCCTGATTCATGCATCTCTCATTCCACAAGGCATGCAGCATATGCATGTTTATGTGTCTAAATATTTCCATTATTATACCATGTTTTTTATGTTCATAAAATGGTAAATAATCAATTGGCCAGTGCTGTAGATATCTCATTAAGCATGTTCAATGAAATAATGGATCAAGATATTTTTCCATTCATACAGCTATTTCTTTGTAATTGTAAGGAGCATATTGAGTCCTTGTCAACCTGTTTTATAACTATCTAAGAGCAACACAAGCTTATTTTCAGTTATTATTACATCAGGATAATAATTTTGATTTATTGAGAAAGTCTCCGTTCAGTCTTATCATTATGATTATATAAGTGTATTCATTGTTCAGTGTAATATGGGGATGCCATGGTTAGCCCTATACTAGTGTCTAAAGTGTGTCCCCACGCCATGATATAACTGGAATGTTGTAAAACTGCATTAAACCCAACTCACTCACTGTTTGTTTCTCTTGGATGTTCTGGGTGACAATAGGCCCCAAGTACCTCATGCTTGTCTCCCCTTGGAAGAACTAGTTGCCAGTGCTTTCAACCACTGGTGTGTCATTGTATTTCATGGAAACAGCAACTGCAGATTTTGAAATATAGCAACCAATATGATTGTCAGGAGTATTCAGCAGATGAAAGGCAGGAATTGTCAAGGGCTGAAACGATACATCGGTGTACCGGTGCATTGTGAGTTTTCATAAAACGATACAATAAACAATATATTTTTTTCTGTATTGATACAAGAGGATACACCTGCTAAAAGAAATGACTTACTTCTAGTAAAATGACACCCATAATTTTCGTCAGTCAAATATCTCGAAATGTGTTGTAATAAGTGTTTCAAGTTCACTACTGAAAATAGCTGCTACTAAAATGTGTCAACATCTAGCTATAACATTTTGAACCTGCTCTGAAATATTTCTAGACAAGAAGTTTCCATGCGATTTGACGTAAATATGAGTATCACGATACGTATCGTATTGTGACCTGTATATTGTGATACATATCGTATCGTGACCTTGCTGTATCGTTTCACCCCTAGAATTGACATGAACTAACAGAAAAAAGAATTGGGGGGGGGGGGGGGGCTGAGCACTTGGTGATTAGAGCTGGAAGTGTCACGCTCCACCTTAGCTGACATCACAATTCACTCACTCACTCAGTAGGTGCTAGCAGTTCACAGGGGATTGCAGCCCTTGCATCTTGCCGCATCATCAGACTGTTCCATCGTGGACATGCAACATGTACAATGTGTATACTGTGTACTCAACTGTTATGTTATTGTGTAGCTCCAGCATATTTTGAATGTATTTGGACTAACCCTTTTTAAATATTTAATCATGTTAATGTATGATAAATGTAGATGTATTGTATAGTCTGTGGTATAACAATAATGTTATGGTTTGAATATCTGATTCATCCAATATTTTAATGCATATTCTATCAATCATATCAACATGCTTTTCAAAAACACGACAAGTTAGACTGTTACTCTATAGCTATACCATCTCGGATTTTTTATTTTTTAAGGATAACATGACATAAAAATATGGCTTACCAACTGACATGATTTTGTAATTGATATTATTGAACCTAGAATGTTTTTAATTATACCTTCTGAGTAAAAAAACCAATGTTCATGTTTGTATAGAATTAGATAAAGTTAGATGTTTCTCACAAGGGTAAAAGGTACCGCCTACTCCTAAAAATACCTGAACATTGAGGAATTGTAGTATAACATTGTGTCCATAGTCCATATGATTGGTATGCCTTCTGTGGAGGGCTGCATTCAATAGACAGTATACAGGTAGAATGCCTCGGGAATCATTTCAAGTACTTGGAAGAAAAACAGGAATTTAATGGTCAGTGAAAACCACTGGCAAACAATTATGGTATGGAAATTTTGTGTTTCATCAGACAATTTTCATATTGATAATGATTTGCTGTATAATGTTAAACCTCCCTCAAAATTACATTTTTAGATACGAAATATGGGAAACTGTGCTGTAAGTTTATATAATTGTCAACAAATTCATTTTGATTCTATTGTAATAATAAATGGTTACCATGGTTACTGATACATCTGGTGTGACATGATTTCAGTTCTGCAACATGCTGATGTCCACGACAGATGAATGTAAGAAGATGTCAATGAAGATGATGGAGAAGAAAGAGAGAAAGAAGAAACGGCCAAGTAATACCCCAAGAAGAGGTAAATATGTTAAAACAGCAGGTTCTTACAGTTTGTGAAGTTCTTGAAAATGAACTAAAATATTTTGTAAAAATCAGAAAATGGCTTATGGAAATCAAAATTTGGATACTTTATCTTGTCATGAATTATAGCTTTCTTTAACATGTACCCTTAATCCACAACAAATCAATTATTTCTTCTTTGAATATTTCTTTTCTAAGTGAGGATACATTTTGTTGGCATTACTGTTTGAATACTAATTATCAAAGATTGAAGAATGTTGATATATATTCAAGACAAGGGGGTTCATGAAAAAACGGGGGATCAGCTATCACAACTATGAGGTGGGCATTTTGTAAATAAAAAGTTAGGACCAATCTCTTTCCTTAAACTCTCCTCCCCCCCCCCACCCCCCATTCATATACACATCTCCTCACCTCAGTCAAGAATTGTCAGTTTAAAAATAGATCAGGAGATTTATAAAACAAATAATTTATTTGTTGTGGCCTTTGATACACAAATTTATGTAACAAGTTTAGATTGAGTTTATGAAATGAATGGCCTCCATGTGGATATTGATCTAGGTGATGACGAAAATATTCATGGGTCAAGGACATCACTGAGATCAAACGCCTCAGTAAAACGTAAGACTGTGTGACACCATGTTGGCCATGTTCTATAGCTTGCTTTTTGGAGGAATACTTGGACCATTGTTTGTTAGTAACTGACAACATTGAATGATGCATGCTGTTAGTTACCTACTAACCACGCTTGTTGCAGCTATAAATGCACAGATAGGCTAACAGCACACTGATTATGGTACATGTGTGATTATATGTTATATCAGGATGAATGGTAACTTCTGTGACTGGAACTTGAGACATTACACTTTTCTGTGTGATATTATTTTGGAATATTGACCAAACTTAGACTGGCTGGTGACACTTCAGTTATATCATTATTCTCAAACTAGCAAACAGAAGATTTAATGATGTTTGAGATATATCTGTGATCATTCTTTTTTCTCATATGACTTTTTAATATTATATTGTGTTAATTTTACATTTAATTTACTGATTACCATATTCGACGTAATAAGCGCCCCACTCTAATAAGCGACCACGGCGATATTTGATAAAATATAATTGCCAGTGAACAATCCTAATTAGCACCCCATCCGATTGATCAATGTACACAAGACTTATATATTCGCGTATAATACACACTCATGTGTTAAATGCACACTTACCGTATTTTCTTGAGTATAGTGCGCACCCATGTATAATGCGCACCCCCCTCTAGCGGGTTCAATATTTTGGAAAAAAAGAAATTTGAATATTATGCGCAGAAATTTTTTACACCGTACCCTTTCAGCGAAGTCCGGCAAACGAACGGGTGCTGAGAAACTTCGTCAGTACAAATTCGAAATTTGAGATAAAAAATCACCAGACATGTTTATTTACCGTTTAAATAGTATTTATTGTTCTGCTAGGCATTGTTTTATATTTAGGGATTAAGATTACCTTGCGTATTTTCTCGTAAACTAAGCTGGAAACAGCAATCAGCTGTACACACGTTTTCTTGGAATCGACTGGTGATTCGGTCAAGACACACCCAATGATATAACTTTATAAGATTTTTAATGCAAGGATCGGCAACAATTGTATCTGAAACTATTTTATTTATCAGGAATAATATATTCCATTATTTTCTTAATTATATGCAACCTTTAATAAACATATTTAAAATAATAATAACCCTAAGCGAAGCAGCTGATCGCTATTCCCGGGTATTATTTTTTACATGGAACATGTCTGACCAGTCACCGTCAAGGCTCGCGCGCACATGATCACGTGATCGCGAGAATTGCATGTTGACATAGAATCGTCAAACAAAAACAAATATGACTTTTAACGAGTCAAAGTATGTCATTTATGATATATGTATCCATTCTCTGTCAACTAAAGTTTGTTTCAAGGCGTCAATAGCGGTATTCTGACCGTGGTTGCTGTTAATAACGGTGAGTTGTGCGATCTTCCGATCGCTTCACACACGATTTCGGCGAAATTAATAAAAACAATATTATCAGATTATAAGGAATTTTGAATAAAATCAATGAAATAAGTTACAAACATAAGTCCTGATATACAAAGAACACTTTTTATAGCCAGACAGTGTAATTACATAATTATTTTGCGTACTTCAGTATGGATTTGTTGACATGGTATTCCCGGTGTTTCGTGCTCACGGTAATGTCTTTCCATGGGGGAAAAAAACATCCAAACTCATAATTCGTGTATTATGCGCACCCCCTTCTACACAGCTGTGTTTTTTCGAAAAAAAGTGCGCACTATACTCAAGAAAATACGGTAATTATGGGAAATGTAATTCTGGACAAATGTTTCTGTCTTACATAAACATTACAGGCTGTCAGCATAAACCACGAACTTTATCTTTTAACTCTTTTTTCACTAAAATAATATTCTGATAAGAGCCCCCTATTTCTAATTTTGAGAGTGCCCTGGGCGCTTATTACGTCGAATACGGTAAGTCCTCTTGAAAACACATCTTTTAACATGTTTAAGTGACATAAGCTAGCGAGTTGTGACTGTTGGTTTGGAGCATCAGGGGACATTGGGAGGGAATTGAGACAGACCAGGATGAAAGTCATTTATTCATTATTATCAGTATTGTATTATACTCTATTTTGTTAATCCGTCATCTTGTCAAGAGATTTAGGGTGACCTGGATTTAGTGACACCCTGTTAATCTGGATGTAGTAGTCACCTAGATCACTTTCTGGATTGAGGAGTGGTTGTTTTGGAGTAATGTCACTTTGTAGACATGTACATTTTCCCACCAGTAATAATCCAGAAGGCATACTTTCCAGATTAACAGGGTCCAGACTATGGGGTTTCACTGTATTCAGCTTCTTTACTGTTCTACTCAAAACAAGTTATAGAACATCCGATTCTTTCATATTACTATAGTTAATCTGTCTGCTAGCTATAATACTATGAGGGGCGGTCGGGTAGCCTAGTGGTTAAAGCGTTCGCTCGTCACGCCGAAGACCCGGGTTCGATTCCCGACATGGGTACAATGTGTGAAGCTCATTTCTGATGTCCCCCGCCGTGATGTTGCTGGAATATTGCTAAAAGCGGCGTAAAACCATACTCACTCACTCACTCACTCACTATAATACTATGAAAGAATCATGTGTTCTTCAACTTCTTTTGATTAATATATATCGCTGGTATGCAAGCAATGACAGTATTCTTTTCTTACCCCCATAAAGATGAACAAGAAGTATCACTTTTTTGTGATAACTTGCTGCAAGGATATTCAGCCTGATGTAAACTGTTGATAGGTTACTAACAGCATGGCGTATTCTGACTAACTAGATATGTATTTCAGCATGGTGTGTTCATGTGACAAAAGCCATGATGTTTGTATAATCATAGATGGCTTGCATCATGCATGGGGTTGGATCAAAATGCCAGAGTTTCACGTCAGTGTTTGTTGTAATCATAGTCACTATGCATGTCATCGATTCCAATTGCGTGGATTGTTGCTCATGATGTCAATCCTGGATTGTCTGGTCCAGACTCGATTATTTACAGACCGCCGTCATATAGCTGGAATATTGCTGAGTGCGGCGTTAAACAACTAACGAACAAACACTCTGTATCACACAACACGTTACTAATGGCCGCAGACAGCCACTTCTTGCTACATAAACTGTGGTAGTGTTGAGTAGAAGGGAGGCTAACAGTGGCATAACATCCACTCTCCAGTAAGGCAAATAATACCCACCACCAAAAGAAACATGAATACCATACATGTTGGTTAATTTATGAAGAATTCCTAATATTCAAGAGATATTAATTAGATTGGTTTACTTCAATTTTACTACATTGAATGATAAACTGAAATATTAAATATTTAAAATATTTCGCCCTCAACATGAAATCAATTTGATAGAAAACAACATTTTTTTTTGGAGGGCTGTATCCATGGTACCAGGAAGGTAAAGCGCCAAAGACAGACGCCTTTGAGATAGAGGGGCACAATAGGAAGGTGAAAGGTGTTCTTGGTTTTAAAACCAGAAGATTACCTTGATATAAACAATATTTTGAGTTTAGAGATGTCAAATCAACTACAGTTTACTTTCCTCTGAATTGTTCATGACATGAAAGTTACATACTATTTATTTATATAGTGCAATGTTTGAAATTAAGGGGGATCCTGGGGTCTTTTTGGTTTGTTCCTTTTGTATTTGAATCTTGGGACCCCTGATTTTATCTATTAACGGGGGCATGGGTGGCCCAGTCGTCTAAGGCGCGGCAATTCGCTGTGCAGAGTTGCGTCCCTTGGGCACGCCAGAAACCTATGATTGTGGGTTCGAATCCCGGTTCGCCCCGATTATGTTTCTAGGTTTGTCAGCACCATACCCGTGCTCGTGGGTTTCACCTAAGTGGTAAACGTCTGAGACCTGCATCACTTGGGGCTTTCCTCCCACATCAAGCTGACACGACGCGATATAACTGGAATACTGTTAAAAAGCGGCGTTAAACCCAACTCACTCACTCACTCATTATCTATTAACATTAGAGTTATGACAAGGACCTCTTGACCTTCATGCTTAATTCCGAACACGGTACTGTGGGTGTTCAAAGTTTATCACTGTCACAACTAACTGCATGCTGGTATCACAGGGTCTGCCACATCACGGAGGTCCAGCTCTATATCATCACTTCAGTCACATGACACATTTACAGAAGGTATACTTGTACAGGTGTCTGGTGTTTAAATTGTGGTGCTTTGTGTGAGAGATGTTTTGTCTTTAGTATGGGATGTCAAGGTGTCAAGAATGGGGATTGTAGTGTCTTGTGTGGAGAGAGGTTTTGTCTTTAGGGAGGGAAATCATGGTATCTGGAATGGAGGTTGTTGTGTTTTGTGTGGAGAGATGTTTTGTCTTCATTGGGGATCAAGGCGTCTGGAATGGAGGTTGTTGTGTTTTGTGTGGAGAGATGTTTTGTTTTTAGTATGGGATATCAAGGCATCTGGAATGGGGATTATAGTGTTTTGCATGGAGACATGTTTTGTCTTCATTGGGGATCAAGGCGTCTGGAATTGAGGTTGTGTTTTGTGTGGAGAGATGTATTGTTTTCAGTTGGGATCAAGGCGTCTGGAATGGGGATTGTAGTGTTTTGTATGGGGAGATGTTTTGTCTTCTGTTGGGGATCAAGGCGTCTGGAATGGAGGTTGTGTTTTGTGTGGTTTGATGTTTTGTCTTTAGTGGGGATCAAGGCGTCTTGAGTGGGGATTGTAGTGTTTAGTGTAGAGAGATGTTTTGTCTTCAGGGAAGGATGGCAAGGTGTCCAGGGTAGGGTCGGGGTTGATGTCTGGTTTCCGAGAGAGAGGCCATTACGCGTCCCTGCTGTTGCTTGTTGTGACCTGATCATTCTGACTGGGTTGTTGTTTGTCTTGAGTGGAGCTGTCTGTGTTTTGTCTTGTCTTCAGAATCCAGATATCCTGGATGGAGATTGTGGTGTCCTTGATGAGTTTACTTGTCTAACATGAAGTAGCAATGGCTGTTGGTTTGCAGGAGGAGGGTGTGTAGACCAAGACACATTATGTACAACATTGGGTAGGGAGTCACATTATGTACAATTTTGGATAGGGTGTCACATTATGTACAAGACCCATGAAGATCCGGGGTAGAATAGGTCTTCACCAACTCATGTTTGCCTTAAAAGGCAACTAAGCTTGTCGTAAGAGGAGACTAACAGGATCAGGTTGTCAGGCTCGCTGACTTGACTGATGTATCACATCGTATCCCGATTTTGTGGATCAATGCTCATGATGTTAATCACTGGATTGTCTGGTCCAAACTCGATTACTAGTATTTACAGTCCACCGTCATGTAGAGTGCGGCGTTAAACAACAAACAAACATTATGTACAACATTGGGTGGGGTGTCACATTCTGTACAATCCAGGTAAGGTGTGACATTCTGTTCCGCCAGACCGGTTATTTACAGGCCATGGTGACAGCTGGAACATTTCTGACTATAGTGTAAGACAACAGTAGTAGGGTAGTGAGTAACTGTGCATGGAGAGATACATTATGAACCTCTGTGGGTACGGACTCCACATATCTCAAGGCACCATTCTGAATATGTTAGGTGATTCATCACATCATGTGTATATGTGGCTGGGGCCAGTGCTAGAGGGAAGAGGCAAAAAGATTTTGGAATGTGGGTTACAAAATGTTCGTCTTGATGCTTCCTTTGCGTATCAGGGGCGGTCGGGTAGCCTAGTGGTTAAAGCGTTCGCTCGTCACGCCGAAGACCCGGGTTCGATTCCCGACATGGGTACAATGTGTGAAGCCCATTTCTGGTGTCCCCCGCCGTGATATTGCTGGAATATTGCTAAAAGCGGCGTAAAACCATACTCACTCACTCACTCACTCCTTTGCGTATCTAAGGAGCAGGGGAGCTAACTCTGTATCATCTTCCCAAGGCAAGAGAGTTAGCTGACTATAAAAGTCCAGTTTCCACCCTTGCCAAACTAGGCTGGTATTATGGAGTTACATTTTGGCTGGACTAAACATGCTAAAGAGTCTATGCATAGTCCCCTCAAAATCGCACACCAAAATCTAAATCCGGTTCGTAAGCTGTCTTGCAGATTTCGGTCGATTGCAGGATTTGCAAAGCATGTGCACCACCAACTCGTCGTCAGCAGATATTTTCCAAAATCTTTTCATGTTTTTAATGAAGAATGAAGGTGCTCACTTGATTTGATGCATTTTGCGATGTAAGACCCGTTTTATCACAATATAGATCTTGATTATTGATCAGACTTGGTGCCACCATTTTGTGTGAAGCAAACGCAAGTGATACGAGAGGTGGAATCTGACTGGTCCATAGGAGAGGCTTAGAAGAGACATAACTGGTAATAGCCACTGGTGGCGCTACCATCAAGCCCAGTAATCCAGCGTAGTTCGGCAAGGATGGAAAGACTCTCTTGCCTCGGGAAGATGACTCTGTATGTGTTTTATTCAACTAACATTCATGTGGTATCCGTATTCATGTAGTTTCCGTGTAGTCAGATAATCCAGCAAGTATATTAATCAAGTACAAGTGTTTTTTGTGCTAGCCCTTCTGTGTGCAGCCCCTTGTAATTACGCAATGTCTTCCACAAGCTTGAATGTTTGCGCATTTAATACAATAATAAATATAGTTATGATAATTAATGTTGATGTGTAGTGAAATCTGGTTTCTGAAACCTCCATAATCAAAGTCATTCAAAGACAATGTGACTTAGTTGTTTCTTCTATCAGTGCTTGACATTCATCTGGTTCACATTTGTTTCAAATAAACAATTTGTTTTTGTTATGTTAAGAAAGAAACACCCTTTTGGCATTGTATGTATGAATCACTCTATTTAGTGTAAACATCACTTTAAGAACTACGTGAACTGTGAAGTGGTTTTATAATCCTTATGAAAATTTATTTGCCAATCAAACGATATGAATTTGGTACACTTTTGAGAATCACTTTGATAGAAAATATTTATTGTTTAAATGCAATTTTAATTTGTTATAATTGTTTATAAAATATGCCCTTTTATCCTTATCAAGCCTGACCTTTCTGTTTTCCTTGCTGATTTTGTGTAGCTTTTCCCAACATGTGTTTTCTGTCATTGTGTTACATTATACATGTGTGATATCCATCACTTCTCTGCACCAGCCCCTACCATGAAAACTGACTCACAGTTGTCTGTGAGGTCCAGCAGAGTGAGCAGAGGTAACTACGGTGACAAAGTCTGCTGTGGCGCTGTGATCTAACTCTGTCTTTGTCTGTGTTATTGTTTATTTCCTCCCTCTAACAGTCTATCTGTTCCATTGCAATGAGGTTGTCCCCAACATACCAGTGAGACTCGTTTCTATCCTGTCAGATTTCTTTTGTTTTACAAATCTCTATTTTGTAAAAATGGTACTTGGCATTGGGTAATCATCATGTCATTTGAAAGTTATAATGACAGCTACATGGTGAGAACAGAAACCATATACCGTATTCGACGTAATAAGCGCCCCGCTCTAATAAGCGCCTACGGCAATATTTGTTGATATATTGGCCAGTGAACAAATCCAATAAGCACCCCTTCCGATTGATCAATATACACAAGACTTATTTATTCGTGTATAATACACACTCGTGTGTTATATGCACCCTTAATTATGGGCAATTAAATTCTGGAAAAATATATCTCATATATAAACATTTCAGGCTAAAAACATTAATATTCTAATAAGAGCCCCCTATTTCTAATTTTGAGAGTGCCCTGTGAGCTTATTACATCGAATACGGTAATAGATCTATTATATGGCCTCTGGTGAGAACGACTTAAAGGACTTAAAACTAGAAGAGAAACTAGTGTTTATTAAAAAAAAATTGTTTTGGATTGAAAGTAACATGTTTGCTGTGATGTTGTCAGAGCTGTTTTAAAACAGCTCGTGATTAACATTATTTTACATGGTTTTTGGATTTTAATAGAAATTTCCCTAAGGTATGTGTTGAGAAACTATATGGAACATATAGGTGAGAATTTAGGGATGCAGTGAGGTGTGTTCCTATGTTTGTGATTGTTTATTTCTTAGTAACCATGGTTACTTTAAGATTGCCAGAGCTTACTTTATATGCACTGAATCAGCATGATTAGAAAATCCTGGTTGTTATAGACATTTGTTATGTACTGATCAGCGTGATCAGTAGGAAGGGTAATAATCTTCATTCTGATAACATAATGTGTTCGTTGCTTTGTCATTTTAAAGAATTATTGGTAACAGGATTGTGTAAGTGTGAAGAATTCTTTACTAAGTATTAGTTATACTTCAACATGGCATCTTGACACAAACTCTGCCACGGATGCCTCACACATTACATGTTCGACAGGTATATCACACGTAACCATGGGTGCCAGATATTTAGTTCTTTATGAAATGTACATGGCAGTTGATTAACATGAAATGTACAAAGCAGTCACTTTACAAGATAATTCTGTGACAGAGAATCGGAGGATGGTTTGAAGATGTAAATGAAAATTTTGTGTGTTGTCAAATTAATGAGTGTCAGATTAACGAGACTTGACTGTATATTGATCAAGCAGACAACAAGTTCCTGTTTAAGACAAAGCACTGATGCTAATTGTATACCTGAATGTTTGAACTGTGCTGACACAACTTTGTACAAATATATATGCTGAAATGGCATATTTTCATCATCTCAGATGAAATTGAGGAGGGTATACAGGAAGACCTTGACATTAAAGAAGACGTCATGCTCAGTTCAAGGTCATCTGTAACTAGGTCACCTCGTAAGCTGCGTAAGACAAATAATTATTTGTATTTAATACGTGTGAGCATAAATGGTAAGGTAAACTACAAGCAATATCTATTTTGATATCTATACTTGTGTCTTTTACAAAATGTGAAATTAAGTAATTTTATAATAGCAACATATTCATTGAACTTTCTTTTTGAGTCGTTTGTTTACAGCACCCAACTTGTAACTACAACTGACAAATCTCCTGTAATTGTATTACTGCTTATTTGTTGGTGAAACAGTGTTCGCAAATCAGTTTTGGTATCATATAAATGGCCAAGGCTTAATGTTAGAATTTATTTCCTTGGAAGGAAATATTTTCCAACGTAAAGACGGGTTCAGTCAACTGAACTAAATGATGCTGTAAACAGGTTTTCCCATTGTATTTGTAGTGATTTGAGCCTGTAAAGCAAGCTTGGAGTTAGGCCATATATTGGAGATTTTCACATGTATTTTGGTTATCCCAGAACCACAAGAGAAACCTGGATCTCTTCTGTCATTAAGATCCAATCGTAATCCACACACAGAGGAAGGTAACCATGTGTTTTGCGTCCAGCTTCTTGCTTCCTGTAGCCTGTGCAGTGTTGCAGCAGGGGGCTATCATAATCACTTGCTGTAGGAGTCTTTACCCTAAAACATCAGAAATACATTTATCCCTGGATGCAGTTTGTAATTTAACATATTTTTTATATGCTTTATAACTTGAGAGACACACAGTGTATATAGATATTCTGTATTCAACATTTTTAAAATTCACTGCTCCAGACTTACACATAGAGTAACCTCCCCTTGACTCATCAAACACAAGCTCCTCACAGCGATAGCCCGTTCGCAGAGCTCTCTATACCGAGAGTGTAACGAAGGTGTCACGCGCTGGGAAGGAGCTTGCATCAAACAATCTCAAAAACCAAACATTTGATATTCTGGGGTGGGGTGGATTTTGTTTCAAGATTAGGTTTATTTTCAGCTACAGCTTCAAAACCAGATATTTTTTATTTTAAACAATGAACCAGATTTTTTAAAAAGAAAAACGCCTTGCAACAATGTAATTTTTGTGTCAGGCAGTTTCTTTCTTGTTTTCAACAGTCCTAAGCATAATTATTTTTTTCAAGTATTTTCGAGGACAATTTATATCTTTTTAGAAAATCCCAGGCTCACCCCAGAATATCAAATGGTCAGTCCCTAATTTGAATTAAAATATGAGGCCCAAACAGTATATATGTTGTAAGATTTGTAAGATGTAAAAGATATCTTATTTGAAATTTGAATAATATATGTCAGTTACATTATTGTTGGTTCAGGTATGGAAATTATAATTATGTATGATAATTGATTATTGATAAACATGAACATGCTTATCATGAACTGTAATTATGATGAAGCACCTGGCTGAAACATTGCATTAGCTGATATGTGGGGAATGTCCGGGACATTTAGCTCAACCATAGGTTTTGTAGAGCTTGACCAGTACCTGTAATGAATAACAACTTGTATCTTGATGACAAGTCAATCCATATCTTTTTTTATTGTGCATTGTATAAAGAAAAAATGTCAAACTGATTCATGGCAATTAAATTCAAATGTTGAATAAGGTCTACATACGGAAACTAAGATGGCATTTTAATCCATGTGTAACTGAAGTACGAAATCAAAATATTCTGTAATAATATTAGCAGATGATGAAGATGAGATAGATGAAGATATACAATCAGAGGAGGAAGGAGATATCTGCCAAATATTTTCTCGTTCTCCTTACACTTCTAAACGGCATTGTAAGATCCTTGTTTTGTGTCTCAGCATTGTCGTGTCATTTTGTGAACTGGCTTTGTGCATGTGACACTCCTCAGCTTTCTACAGACAAGAATGCATGATATTACCTGCAAGCTTCACTACCAGCTTGTTCCATGTGTTAACAGTGAAAACATATTTAATATAAATGTCAGAGATGGAAGAATACATATGAACGTAATATTATTATTTCAAAACTACAAAAGAAAATAGCTTGCATAAATACTTAATTTCAGTATTTGAAATGTGTGTTATTTTTCTGTGTTTTATGTTGTCCATTTTTTTGTTCCCTGTTGTCCTGTTTTCATTTTGAATAATTTGTGTTGTGATAATGTTCATTTTCAGTAAGAATTTCTTCCCTAAATTAGAAAGTTATTTTGTGATTCTTTTAGAAGATGGCTTAACCATGTTAATATGTTTAACTCTGTTCATTATAATGTTTATATGTCTTTGATTTTGTGGCTGTGATTATTGTTTGTGTTTAGTTTTCATTCTTATGTTTTAGTTTTTTTGCTTATTTCCATATTGGTCTTTCTTTCATATTTTCAGCATTCTATTTGTAGTCATTATTTTATGTGTTTGTTTGTTCGTCACTGTCATATGATTTGATTCAATGAACTTTTTTTAACTAACTACAAAAACTGTTAGTGTAAAAAATAGTTGTCTAATTGAGTATATTTTCACGTACAGGCCAAAAAAATAAGTATTTTATCACCTCCACTGTTTCAAAACATCTGAAAACATGACAGGGAAATGAAGTTTTATATTCAAGAAAATAAGTCTAGTGTCGCCTCCTTTAACAATTTTTCAAAGATTTTAAGACTGTCAGTGACAATAAGATAAGAATCTATACTTCTCAACTTTTGATAGGGATATTCCCATTATTTCATTGCACACCAGTAAGTATATATGTATATGTAAATAGTGTGAAATATCTGTGTCCCTATTACCAGAGACCATATCGGTATATGGTCTCTGCTATTACCTTGATTACAAGTTGAGTTGTTTGTAAAGATGTTATCCCTCAATATGCTGTGACCGCCTCCGTGGTCTTGTGGTAGAGCGTCCGCCCGGAGAGCGGAAGGTCCAGGGTTCGATCCCGGGCCGCGTCATACAAAAAGACGTTAAAAGATTGTACTTGTTGTTACCCTGTCTGGCGCTCGGCATTAAGGGGCTAAAACAAGGACTGGTCGGCTCGGAGTCAGTATACTGTGTCTGAGTGGGGTATTCATGTTAAACTGCGGCATGGTATCTCAGTGAGCTAGCACTATAAATCGGCATCAGTCCGGATTAGTACAAGCAGCCACACACACACATACACGTGCATGCACGTCGCTATATAAGTGCAATAATCTTGGACGCGACGTTAAACCCAATTTCACCTCACCTCACCTCACCTCAATATGCTGTATTAGGATAAAAATTGAATCGTGAAGTTTGGCAACCTAATTACATATTGTTCTTTCCTGATACAAGATATGTACGATCCGTAACTTCTTTATCATATAATGTCATTCTCAAAGTCTGTTGTCAAAAAACATTCTCATCTCTCACAAATGGTACCGAAACATTGCAAGCTTTCCTGTAATGTAAGAATTTATATGTTGCATCACACGCTAAGTGATCAGTCTGTCAGACGCGGACAGCAGGCAATATAGTTCCAACTGAAACTTGTCTTTTAGAGAGTGATGTAACTACCACATAGGCATAGCTATCAAAGGGAAGCCACTCTAATCATGCAACGTCATGTTTACCTGATCACATCATATTGTCATTACGTTATGAAATGTTCCACACAGCAACAAAATAAAACAAAGTCAATTTTGGACTGTTTTAGAGCACAGGTATTGAAACTGATATCCCTACTGTCCTCGCTAAATTACTTAAAAGTTATGTCTCCAAAGTTGCCTACACTTGTGAATGGCCTCAGCAACATCCCTGTTAGACACTGTTATTATGAATCTTGGCCTATTAGTTTGATAATGATTACCGGTACAATTATCCCAGTAATATGTCCAGACTCGATAGCCAATAGACAAGAGTGAAGCCATGTTTGTTTGTAAACACTAAATGTATTACCTACCTGACCCTTTCTATTTGCATATTTATCCATAAATGACCCCATCAGATACTTTTTTTATCCATTAGCTTTATCCTTCCCATTAACTCTAATAAAATATCTGGTGGGAACGAAACTTAGCTTTCCAGTATTATCCTGCAAGGGGACACGGGTATCCATAGATCTAAGATGCCACAATTCACTCTGCAGAGTGCGAGTGCAAGATTTGCTGGTTCACAATAGAAGTTTTAAAGAGGGAGTGTGTTTTCATTGTCCATTTTCCTTCAGTATTAAGGTGTAGTCAGTCCCCATATGTGGCATTTATATGGTGAAGAGAGGTCAAGTATAATATTGGACAATCCCAATATGATCATTAGTTATATGTATGTATGCATTACGTTACAATGAGGCCAGAAAGTGTCATCACACATCATATTCATAAATTCTCTGCAGTAACATCTTTCGTTGTTTGGCTACACCAGATAGATTAAAAAATATCATCCTCAGATTAGAAAGGTCTGTTGAGAACTACCTCAGTAAGTCACAGTGACATTAACATCAAGTACACAATGTCAACATGGTGGACACGATCAACATGGCAGGAGACATTTCCGAAGTTGTGAATGAACCTGTGGTGATTGAAAGTGTAAATCATTAGTGATCTATTGGACGATCATTGAAGGTGATTATGTGAATATGTGTCAAATAGACAGGTATAGATTGCTGTAGACTGTCACTGTCAGTCAGTCTAGGCACGGATTGAGTCGATGGTTGGGGTGTGCATTTCTTCATTGTGTTCACTAAGATGGGTTGTAGTGACGATATTCGTGCACGGGGATGCAGTCAGATGCAGTATGCTCAAAATCTGAGTTCAAGATTAAAGGGTTTAATTGATCGAAAACATGTAAGGCCACACATTTTTTATTTTTCATTTTAAAATATTTATTTTTATTATGTCTCCTGCTAGTTATATAGACCCTCTTGTACAATAAAAAATGTTATATATAAATTCCATGTCTACATCACTCTCAGTGATTGAGAGGCTACCTGCAGTTTTAAATCCACAGCATAATGACTGTATAAATTTATGAATTAGTGGCATTTATCTTTATTTTTATTTCAACCAACCTTGTGTGGAAAAGCTTGAATAAATCTGTGAAACATAAAATTAAAAATGTTTGGCCTAAGGGGCTGGAGTGGAGCTAAACTTGCATTATAGCTGAATAGTGCTTGCCAATGCTTGCCTCTGCATGTGACTGAGGCGTAGGCAGTATTGGGTATTTATCAGTCGACTTTAGTAGCCATTGCTGAACCTCACAAATTGGATAATATCATTATGCCAGCCAATCTTATCTTTTAAGAATTGTATTGTGTCAGATGTAAAGGTACTTTACTGTAATAGTGTAGGTGCATTGATCGTCCCTAATGAGCAACCCGGTGTTTGTTCAAGGGGAGGATGTGTTTATCTTCATGTGTTGACTTCCTTCAAAGTACCATTGTTCCTAGGTTTATTGTTAATAGGACAGCTCATACGACCATAGCTCCATGCTATATGCATTGGAGACACAATGTAGAGCCATTTCATGTTCAATCTGAAGCCGTTAGGGCTCCATACCTTATCCATTTGTGGTTTGAGGTTGACCATTGCTCAGACATTTGGAGAGTTCTTTTGAGGTTATATGTGTGGAGGTTAAATGTAGTAAAGTGATTACTACCACCCAGGAACAAATGGAAGGGCTTTAAAGCTGTTGCAGGTGAAATGTCTAAGTACCATGAATACTCCCTTTCCTGTTTTGTATGGAAGGCCATTTACTGTACCCATTGGAGATCATATATTACTCAAAAGAATATCCCATTTTTTCATATGACCATAGTTGATCTGTCATGGCAGGTGGTGTTAACTGTTTGATTGGCATTCTAGAAGTTGGTAAGAAAGTAAGAAAACACAAGTTTATGGATAACAACTTCAGGTTTATTGCATATAACGACATTTCGATGTAGATTCTTACACCGTTGTCAAGCTGGAGTGACAACAACCAAGTGATGTGAGGTATATATGCATGACATGTTGTGATAAGCAGGAGATTAACATTGACAACAAGAAGTAATAGATAATAAGTAACATTCAGATGATTGGATGAAGCCAGATGTACATTAATAATAACAAATAGCACACAGGTAACAAAGTTGACACGATTTATTGATAACAACTTCTTTGTTTACTGTAAAGGTGATGTTTTGGTATTGATCCTTATACCATTGTCGTTGCTTGACAACGGTAAAAGGATCTATACCGAAACGTTGCCTTTACAGTAAACAAAGAAGTTGTTGTCCATAAATTTGTCTACTTTGTCATCCGCCAACTTCTAAGTAATGCAATTCAGCTCCCAGGTAATGAAGCACATGGTTATGAAGCCAGATGTACAGCAAGGATAAGGAAATGTTGTGACAGCTGATTGTCCTAATCAAAGGGCTCCATAGTGGGTGTTCTTTAACTTTGTTTTGAGTAGTATACATGTATAATGCCTACTCCAGCTGCTGTGTGCTTTGCTACACCTGGTCAAGTAAATAGGAAATACTTCAGTTCCATGGGTATCCATTAATGTCCCAGAATGTGAAATCAATTATCTCCCTGATGACTACTGTGTAAAACAGTCATGCCCAACATTGGCAGTCTTGATGGGGAGCCTATGATGAAGCATCTGATTCTTATTATGTGCTAGCTGTGTTGATTTAAATGTTTGTGAACTAATTTTTACTAATATTGGTTTCAGGTTGTTCAAAATATTTTTTTATCAGAAGTTTATTGAATGTTAGATGTAAACTGTCAAAGATATGGTATCAGCTTCCCATATGTTATGGACCTGTAAAGATTCCATTTTAGAAATGGTCTTCCGCAAGCTGTGTTTGTCGTAAGAGGCGACTGACAGGATTGGGTGGTCAGGCTTGCTGACTTGGTTAATGCATGTCATCATATCCCAATTACATATATCGATGCTTACGATGTCAATCACTGGATTGTCTGGCCCAGCCTAGATTATTTACAGACCGTCGTCATCTAGCTGGAATATTGTTGAGGCGGCGTTTACAGTTCATCTTATGGATGAAACCAAACAAACAAACATATGCTGTATTATTGTTCATAGGTATGAATCTTATATGAAATTTGCATTTTACGTACATTTTCGATCCTTACTGTTTAAATAATGAGTTCTACCTGCCATAATGAACCGCTATGATCTACAAGGTGTATGTTTCTCAATCACACAACTCTGATGCTACATTTCAGCTGATGGCCAAGGCCCGTCACATTCACTCCGCTCAGGTATACAGTTATCCATTACATGGTGTTTTGTTGTCTTGTGTCTCGTCAGTACGTGATGTTAATCAAATCTCTGCTCTCTTTTGTGGTGTTGAAACATTTTTGTTTTTCTATGTACTCTGAGATATCATAAATACTCACTGGTATTAGGGCAGCTGCCCCCAGACAACTGGACCCTGGGAAATCTCCCCTCCCCCCAAAGAAAACTGCCCTCAAATCTGCCATACAGGAAGCTTTGTTTCAATATTCAGATTTTAATTTAATTGTTTTATTCAATTACGTTATCTTAGAAACATGTCTTGTGTTATATTATGAGGGGCAGTTTTCCAGGGTTCCCGTGTCTTTAGGGGGCAGTTGATCTTGAATCTTATTTAGCATGTTGACATCGCTTAGAGGTGCAATAATGATGAATGTGTAGGAATTCAACTTTCATGGGCAAAATTAACATTCATATATAAGCTAACATATATGTATCTGGTATATGCATTTCTGCACTAATTCAATATTGTAATGTGAGCACATTTTGGAAATCTATAAGAACAGTGAACACAATAGTATGGACCTTAAATACAGTAAACTACAGAAAACTACGGTTATAATAAACCCAAAGGGACCACTAATTTTAGTTTGTTATAACCGTAGTTAGTTATAAGCATATATACAGCATATACACAGCAAATGACTGAGACACAAAAAAAGTTTATTATATCTGTCAGTTCGTTATAAGCGTGTTTGTAATACGTTTATATCGAACACGCTTATAATGAACTGATGGATATGACGGACCTATTTTTTGGTCTCAGCCATTTGGTGTATATAAGCTGTGTATAACAAACTACAGTTATAACAAACTAACTTAGAGGCCCCTTTGAGTTTTAACCGTAGTTTACTGTAATTAGAATCCCTTGCTTACAGATGAGATTGCTGTGGGGATCTATGTTGGAATAGGTCCCCGACAAACCTATGCTGGTTGTAAGAGGCGACTAAACGCATTTGGTTGTCATTCTCAGTGACTTGGTTGATTGTGTGTAATTGTTCCCTGATGAAGGGGATCATTCCAAAATCAATCACTGGATTGTACAATCCAGACTTGATTATTTATCGACAACCATTATACAGATGGAATATTGCTGAGTGCAGTTTTAAACAACAAACAAAGGTTTACATAGATACACACGGTGGTCTATGGTTTATTGGTAGAACGTCCGCACAGAGAATGGAAGGTCCGGGGTTTGATCCCGGTCGTGTCATACCAAAAGACGTTAAAAGATGGTACCTGTTTGGCGCTTGGTATTAAGGGGCTAAAACAAGGACTGGCTGGCTTGGAGTCAGTATACTGTGTTTGAGTGGGGTATTCATGTTAAACTGCAGCATGGTATCTCAGTGGGCTAGCACAGTCCGGACTAGTACAAGCAGCCACGCACACACACACATGCATGCACATCGCTATATAAGTGCAATAATATTGGATGCGACGTTAAACCCTATTTCACCTCACTTTTACTTAATTCTTTTATATCCCCTCCCCAAAATAACAAACAAAAATTTAAACGTGAATGACTTGGCTGATTTGGTACTGTATTTTATCCTGCATAATAAGAAAGGAATCTGTGCTGTCATTAATATGGGTTCTGTAATATAGCTAAAGGAATCTGCCTCTATTTATGACATTTGAAGATATTTCAATCACAAACTGCTCTGTAATATCTTTTTTCGCAAATACCTGTTTTAGAACTTTTCACAAATACTATGCATGCATGTTCACAATTTTATCAATTTTCAGTTGGCCGAACTGGATCAAAGTCATCATTAATTAGCATTGGTACATGAGTGTTTCACTTTGCTTGGTTTGCCTGAGCTTCCACCATGTTGTACACCTTCTTGGTTCTCCCTCACAAGCACCTGTTGTGGTTACATAGTTAGCCCTGGAAAACGGATTGTTTGTTACAAAGTTATTCATTTCTTACTAACTTTTTTTTATCATGATTATCCTGAGAAAGTTAACAGATTTGTTATCACATAATGTCATGTATTTATAGAGTGTAAGCAAAACAAGACTACCGTATTCGACGTAATAAGCGCCCAGGGCGCTCTCAAAATTAAAAATAGGGGGCTCTTGTTAGAATATTATTTTGATGAAAAAAACAGAGTTGAAAGATAAATTCCGTGGTTTATGTTGACAGCCTGAAATGTTTATATAAGACAGATATATTTTTCCAGAATTTAACTGCCCATAATTAAGGGTGCATATTACACACGAGTACGTATTATACACGAATAAATCGGTCGTGTGTACATTGATCAATCGGAAGGAGTGCTAATTGGGATTGTTCACTAGCCAATATATTAGCAAATATCGCCGTGGGCGCTTATTAGAGCGGGGCGCTTATTAAGTCGAATACGGTATATGAAGTTGTCAGTCTACCGGTATAGAGCATCACTATAGGGCAAATCTGTTTTTCACCACATATCCTACGTGACATATTGTTGGGGATTTGTGTCATCATTCTGGGACGACTTGGTGAAAGGGATTTAAGATTGTGTTGTCTTTCACGCAATCGGAATAAATACATAATTTTATTGTTTTTGAATACCCAAATACAGCTTACATTGTAAGAATACCTTGGGTCATATTCTTTTCATTAACTGGAAAATAAACACTATTTGACGATAACATAATTTCATATATTGTCAGATGATTTTATCGTCATTTCTGATTAATACTAATGTGCCAAAGTCAGTTGTGTGTATATAGATAAAGCTTATAGACAATTCTTTCCAGTGTTACACAACACATTATGGAAATGTTCCTAGAATGTTTTTCTCCCTTTAACATGTTTAGTTTGCTTTTATGTTGGTGCTAATATTTCATAAAAGTCTGTGTTGATTTTCTGATCAATTGAAGATTTTGAACCATAGTATTTCCAAATAAACAAAGTGTTGTTCTTGTTCGCTTGATTGGGGTGTAGAGTGGCTTTCTGGTTAAAGAGCTTTCTCATCGTACTGAAGGCCCACGTTCGATTCCCCACATGGGTACAATGCTTGAGTCCCATTTCTGGTGTCCCATGCTGTGATACCATGCTTACACACTCACTAACTCTGGGGGCACAGGTGACCAAGTCGTCTACGACGCGGCATTTCGCTGTGCAGAGTAGCGTCCCTTGGGCACGCCAGAAACCTATGATTGTGGGTTCGAATCCCGGTTCACCCCAATAATGTTTCTAGGTTTGTCAGCACCAAACCCATGCTCGTGGGTTTCACCGAAGTGGAAAACGTCTAAGACCTGCATCACTTTCCTCCCACATTAAGCTGACATGCCGTGATATAACTGGTATACTGTTAAAAGCGATGTTAAACACAACTCACTCGCTCACTCACTTACAGTCCCTATGGACTGATGGCATTATGTATAGTCAGTAGCTTCACTGACGTAAATATCTTTGTTCAGGCCTTATTCTTCTGAAACTGGTCCCAGATTGAATTCAAGCAAAGGATTTCAATATAAGATATATCACCAAAACAAGAAGGATTTCAATATAAGATGTGTTTGTTTATGTAAGTATCTCCTTCAGGACATTTCTAGGTCTATAGGGCTGAACTATGTGCAGACAATTAGGGATCAGTCATAGTTATCATGCATCATCCCATATAAGTGTCATCCTTCAAAAGGTGCAAGGCCCCGTTCCACAAGGCGATTGTACTGTAGCGCACATCAGCCAAGTACACCCATCTGTAGGCGAGCTGCAGTGCCCCAGTGCTCTCTCCCTAAAGCCTTTCAGTTGTAGAATAACGTACAGTGTAGTTCACACTTGAATGTAGAATACCTGCAAATATGATAAGGTTTCATTGAAGATTCCATCAGTTTGCTTTGTTGGTGCTGGTCTTGTTTCAATCAAACCCTTTGATTGCTTTCAGCTCCCAGATTAGAGGCCTTAAAATCAAATTTCATTTTTGAGGCTTTAAAGTGCTGTGTGGTTTAATTGTTTGTAGTTAACAGCTTCTGTTTTCACATATATAAATGGTTACAGTGGAAGTTTTCATTTGCTTAACAAGGATGGATATTTGCTGATACCCTGAAAATTGTAATAAAGACACATGTTTAAGAAATACAATCTATATGATTTTTTGCATGTCAATTCAAGTTACAATTAAGACACATGTTTAAGAAATACAATCTGTATTGTATTTTGCATGTCAGTTCAAACTATTCAGTCACCCTGAAACAAATAAAGTCCACAAAGTTTGTATTATTTTCAATTGGTAAAGATAAATTGAATAATCAGAACTCATCTAATATAATGTTAATTGATTGATTTAATACTTCATTGAATAGTGCAAGCTGATACACATGGTAAGCGTAGGACAGAAACATTTTCTGTAACCTATTCCCATGAAGATATATTATGTGTTTCAGATGACATGCCAAGGCCTTCCCCAAGAGTGAAGAAAGACAAGGTCCGAACTCCGGTTGGGTCCAGGAGTGCTAAGGTGTCTGAACCCTCAAACCTCAGGGTAGGTCCATGTCCTGTAGTATAGTCTTGTGGTGGTACCAGGGTATCCCAACCCTCAGACTTCAGAGTAGGTCCCATGTCCTGTAGTATACACTTATGATTGTACCAGGGTATCCCAACCCTCAGACTTCAGAGTAGGTCCCATGTCCTGTAGTATACACTTATGATTGGTACCAGGGTATCCCAACCCTCAAACCTCAGGGTAGGTCCATGTCCTGTAGTATAGTCGTGTGGTGGTACCAGGGTATCCCAACCCTCAAACCTCAGGGTTGGTCCCATGTCCTGTAGTATAGTCTTGTGGTGGTACCAGGGTATCCTAGCCCTCAGACCTCAGGGTAGGTCCATGTCCTGTAGTATAGTCTTGTGGTGGTACCAGGGTATCCCAACCCTCAGACTTCAGGGTAGGTCCCATGTCTTGTAGTATAGATTTGTGGTGGTACCAGGGTATCCCAATCCTCAGGCTTCAGGGTAGGTCTCATGTCCTGTAGTATAGACTTGTGGTGGCACCAGGGTATCCCAGCCCTCAGACCTCAGGGTAGGTCCATGTCCTGTAGTATAGTCTTGTGGTGGTACCAGGGTATCCCAACCCTCAGACTTCAGGGTAGGTCCATGTCCTGTAGTATACACTTATGATTGGTACCAGGGTATCCCAACCCTCAAACCTCAGGGTTGGTCCCATGTCCTGTAGTATAGTCTTGTGGTGGTACCAGGGTATCCCAGCCCTCTGACTTCAGGGTTGGTCCCATGTCCTGTAGTATAGTCTTGTGGTGGTACCAGGGTATCCCAACCCTCAGACTTCAGAGTAGGTCCCATGTCCTGTAGTATAGACTTGTGGTGGTACCAGGGTATCCCAGCCCTCAGACTTCAGAGTAGGTCCCATGTCTTGTAGTATAGACTTGTGGTGGTACCAGGGTATCCCAGCCCTCAGACTTCAGGGTAGGTCCCATGTCCTGTAGTATAGACTTATGATTGGTACCAGGGTATCCCAACCCTCAAACCTCAGGGTTGGTTCAGTTGTTAAGTATCCAACCTTTTTGTTAGTATCCATTTGAAATCTAAACAAATCACTGTTTTTAACTAACATTGCAAGAACTAAACTATATAGGCTATTGACTAGATCTTCATGAGCCTTTCAACACTATGAGTGCAACATAACCAAGACAAACTGTTGCCAATAATGAAACCAAAATGTCGCTTATAACCAGTTCACACATGCATGGTATGAAAACACTTTTGTTTTTGTGCAGGACTGGACCCACACCAGCTCCAAGGGCTGCTTCTTTATCGATGCTGATGAAGGAGGTCAAATAATCAGTCACCAGTACACACTGGATCTGGCAGACGACACCAATGTCTTCATCACCATGCAACCCAACAGGATTGGCGATGCTGGTAGGTCAAGGTCAACCTATGCACGATGTCATGGCTTAGTATAGGATGGTAGAAGATAGTCAACTTCAGCATATTCAGATACCTATCCAAAAAGCTTTGACTTGTAAGGTCACAAGGACAAGGTCATCCTATGCACTATGTCATGGCTTAGTATAGGATGGTAGAAGATATTCAACTCAAGTATGTTCAGATGTCTATCTGCTGTTGTATGTAAACCATTGAAAAAGCTTTAACTTGTAAGGTCACAAGGTCAAGGTATGTGTCGTGATATAGGTCGATTATTGCTGACTGTGGTGTAACAAGAAACTAAACAAACATTGTTGCTGACCATGTCTTCCCCCAGGCTTCACTGATGATGGCCCCGTGGACACCGCCATCTATGTCCTGCGAGAAGGCAGCAGCAGCAACAAAATTGTCACCTTTACTGAGCAGAGAGACAGCAAGGGGGTGAGTTCACTGCAACTCTAGAACATGTTCCACTTATGCAGTAGTCAGGATGTGTCTTTACTCAGATGACCACCTCCGTGGATAGATCGTCTGCCTTCTTGTCTGCCTGGAGAGCAGACAGTCAGTGGTTCGCTCCCCAACCTTGTCATGCCAATAGACGTTAAAAGATGGTACTTGTTCTTCTCTTTAAGGGGCTAGAGTCAGCTCAGAGTTAGTATACTGTGTCTTGGTGGGGTATTCATGTTAAACGATGGCAAGGTATCTCAGTGGGCTAGCTCTATAAAGCCAGCATTAGTTCAGTCTTGTACAAGCTGCCACACACACATATAGGTGCAATAAGTAGCTCCATTTCACCTCCACCTTTTCTCAAATATCTTGTGTCTTATGGTGCATTCAGCCAAGACAACAATGTATTGCTGGTTGTAATCTGTGAACTTGATACCAAACTATCATGTCCGAATTTGGTGCTGTGCTGGAAAAGAAATTGAGCCTTTGAACCAGGTTAGATGAATATCCTTTTGGGTTCTGTGATACAACAGGTACTGAGTGCCAATGGCTTGTTTTCTAAAATGTGTGATGCAGGCTCTTTAGGATGAAAAGTACTATTAAAAACAAGCCCTGTTTTGTGATGTCACTCAGAGATACTGTGTGCGGTGCGACCTGTCTGCCGGGAGATACAAGCTGGTTCCCTTCACAACTGGCTGCCGACTGTACGAGCGCAGCGCAGGCAGGGAGACGAAGGAGGTGAAGCTCATCAAGCAGGACAAGGAGGATAAGATTGTCCTCTCCAAGACATTCAAGTAAGACTTTTGTTGAAATTATTATCATTGTTGCTGTTGTTGTTATTATATCATAGTTATTATCAATATTATTAAGTCCATTTATGATGTTTCACATTACCCTCTCATCCAACCCACGTACACATTCACTGCTGGACGAATAAAGGGGGGTTTAAACAAAGTTTCTTTCCTAAGGAGACACCTCAAGTATCCTGTATTCAGTGTGCGTCGGGGGGCACGGGTGGCCCAGTCGTCTAAGGCGCTGTGATTCGCTGTGCAGAGTTGCGTCCATTGGGCACGCCAGAAACCTTTGATTGTGGGTTTGAATCCCTGTTCGCCCCAATTATGTTTCTAGGTTTGTCAGCACCATACCCGTGCTCGTGGGTTTCACCAAAGTGGTAAATGTCAGAGACCTGCATCAATTTCGGGCTTTCCTCCCACATTAAGCTGACACGCCGCGATATAACTGGAATACTGTTAAAAATGGAGTTAAACCCACTCAGTGTCCGTCGTGTACAGGGTGCAGGGGAGATCATAGTTATATCAAGAATAAAAGTAAAAGATGGTAAAATAATGAAGAAGCATTGCAGGGTGGTTCACAATGATTGGTCATATTTGGGGAGGGTCAATATTTTAGAATACACACAGACATGAACTAAGGCAATTGAATTTTTCAGTTTATGACCTTGCTTAGAGACGTTATCAGAAAATGAGTGAGTGAGTATGGTTTTACGCTGCTTTTAGCAATATTCCAGCAATATCACGGCGGGGGACACCAGAAATGGGCTTCACACATGGTGTCGGGAATCGAACCCAGGTCTTCGGCGTGACGAGCGAACACTTTAACCACTAGGCTACCCTACCGCCCTATATCAGAAAATGAAATGAAATACTTTTAATTTCTTAAAGTAACTATACATTTTAGATAATAAATGATAAAATACATTGTATAATGCAAACTATAATTCGAGTGCAAGCTGTTCTGTCACTGAGTTGAGATATTGAGGAATGATTGCAGAAAAGCCCTGGAGGATATATTTGACATGGCTGACTTGGACGGGAACGGACTGCTGAGTCGCGAGGACTTCAACTGGTACAACATACGCACGAGCGGAGAGGAGGTCGCTGACGATGAGTGGGATGTGGTTGAGGGTGAGTAGATACAGTTGCTTAGATGGATGGATGGAGGCGTGCTGGAGCAAGTGGGTGAGGGAGCATTTGGTGTATGTGTGACCATTAAATGTAGGGATCAAGAAATGAGTGAGATGAGTGGATGGATGGATGGCTGGGTGGCTGTGTGAGTGAGTAAGTAAGTGAGTGAGTGTGTTAGGTGAGTGGCTGGATTGGTGGGTGTCTGTGTGAGTGAGTGAGTGTGTTAGGTGAGTGGCTGGATTGGTGGGTGTCTGTGTGAGTGAGTGAGTGTGTTAGGTGAGTGGCTGGATTGGTGGGTGTCAGTGTGAGTGAGTGAGTGTGTTAGGTGAGTGGCTGGATTGGTGGGTGTCTGTGTGAGTGAGTGAGTGTTTTAGGTGAGTGGCTGGATTGGTGGGTGTCTGTGTGTGTGAGTAAGTAAGTGAGTGAGTAAGTAAGTAAGTGAGTGAGTGTGTTAGGTGTTTGGCTGGATTGGTGGGTGTCTCTGTGAGTGAGTAAGTAAGTGAGTGAGTGTGTTAGGTGAGTGGCTGGATTGGTAGGTGTCTGTGTGAGTGAGTGAGTGTGTTAGGTGAGTGGCTGGATTGGTGGGTGTCTGTGTGAGTGAGTGAGTGTGTTAGGTGAGTGGCTGGATTGGTGGGTGTCTGTGTGAGTGAGTGAGTGTGTTAGGTGAGTGGCTGGATTGGTGGGTGTCTGTGTGAGTGAGTGAGTGTGTTAGGTGAGTGGCTGGATTGGTGGGTGTCTGTGTGTGTGAGTAAGTAAGTGAGTGAGTAAGTAAGTGAGTGAGTGTGTTAGGTGTGTGGCTGGATTGGTGGGTGTCTGTGTGTGTGAGTAAGTAAGTGAGTGAGTGTGTTAGGTGTGTGGCTGGATTGGTGGGTGTCTGTGTGAGTGAGTGAGTGTGTTAGGTGTGTGGCTGGATTGGTGGGTGTCTGTGTGTGTGAGTAAGTAAGTGAGTGAGTGTGTTAGGTGTGTGGCTGGATTGGTGGGTGTCTCTGTGAGTGAGTAAGTAAGTGAGTGAGTGTGTTAGGTGAGTGGCTGGATTGGTAGGTGTCTGTGTGAGTGAGTGAGTGTGTTAGGTGAGTGGCTGGATTGGTGGGTGTCTGTGTGTGTGAGTAAGTAAGTGAGTGAGTAAGTAAGTGAGTGAGTGTGTTAGGTGTGTGGCTGGATTGGTGGGTGTCTCTGTGAGTGAGTAAGTAAGTGAGTGAGTGTGTTAGGTGAGTGGCTGGATTGGTAGGTGTCTGTGTGAGTGAGTGAGTGTGTTAGGTGAGTGGCTGGATTGGTGGGTGTCTGTGTGTGTGAGTAAGTAAGTGAGTGAGTAAGTAAGTGAGTGAGTGTGTTAGGTGTGTGGCTGGATTGGTGGGTGTCTGTGTGTGTGAGTAAGTAAGTGAGTGAGTGTGTTAGGTGTGTGGCTGGATTGGTGGGTGTCTGTGTGAGTGAGTGAGTGTGTTAGGTGTGTGGCTGGATTGGTGGGTGTCTGTGTGTGTGAGTAAGTAAGTGAGTGAGTGTGTTAGGTGTGTGGCTGGATTGGTGGGTGTCTCTGTGAGTGAGTAAGTAAGTGAGTGAGTGTGTTAGGTGAGTGGCTGGATTGGTAGGTGTCTGTGTGAGTGAGTGAATGTGTTAGGTGAGTGGCTGGATTGGTGGGTGTCTGTGTGTGTGAGTAAGTAAGTGAGTGAGTAAGTAAGTGAGTGAGTGTGTTAGGTGTGTGGCTGGATTGGTGGGTGTCTGTGTGTGTGAGTAAGTAAGTGAGTGAGTGTGTTAGGTGTGTGGCTGGATTGGTGGGTGTCTGTGTGAGTGAGTGAGTGTGTTAGGTGTGTGGCTGGATTGGTGGGTGTCTGTGTGTGTGAGTAAGTAAGTGAGTGAGTGTGTTAGGTGTGTGGCTGGATTGGTGGGTGTCTCTGTGAGTGAGTAAGTAAGTGAGTGAGTGTGTTAGGTGAGTGGCTGGATTGGTAGGTGTCTGTGTGAGTGAGTGAGTGTGTTAGGTGAGTGGCTGGATTGGTGGGTGTCTGTGTGTGTGAGTAAGTAAGTGAGTGAGTAAGTAAGTGAGTGAGTGTGTTAGGTGTGTGGCTGGATTGGTGGGTGTCTCTGTGAGTGAGTAAGTAAGTGAGTGAGTGTGTTAGGTGAGTGGCTGGATTGGTAGGTGTCTGTGTGAGTGAGTGAGTGTGTTAGGTGAGTGGCTGGATTGGTGGGTGTCTGTGTGTGTGAGTAAGTGAGTGAGTAAGTAAGTGAGTGAGTGTGTTAGGTGTGTGGCTGGATTGGTGGGTGTCTGTGTGTGTGAGTAAGTAAGTGAGTGAGTGTGTTAGGTGTGTGGCTGGATTGGTGGGTGTCTGTGTGAGTGAGTGAGTGTGTTAGGTGTGTGGCTGGATTGGTGGGTGTATGTGTGTGTGAGTAAGTGTGTGTGTGTAAGGTGAGTGGCTGGATTGGTGGGTGTCTGTGTGAGTGGGTGAATAAGTGAGTGAGTGTGTTAGGTGAGTGGATGGATAGGTGGTTGGCTGTGTGTGTGAGTAAGTAAGTGTGTGTGTGTAAGGTGAGTGGCTGGATTGGTGGGTGTCTGTGTGAGTGGTTGAATAAGTGAGTGAGTGTGTTAGGTGAGTGGATGGATGGGTGGTTGGCTGTGTGTGAGTGAAATAGGAAGACACAGTGAGTCTGTGTATAAGTCAGTATGTTAGCTAAGTGGATGGCTGGCTGTGTGAGTGAAAGCGATACACTTGTAGTTATTTTTGTGAGTGCACGAGTAATAGTATGGATTGTTTAACATGTTAAACCATACACCCACTTCACCATGTTAACCAATATGTTAGGCTGTAGAGTACATTGTATCTTGAAATGAAAGCAACTGTTGATGATTGCTTCCAGGCAACATAGAGCTGGAGCGTGGCGAGATCACAAAGACGGGATTCATCCACCTCAACCAGATGGAAGCAGAAGACAACGATGGAGACACAGATGACCTCTGGGTCACCTTGACCAGCATGGGCTTCAACAAGAGTCTTGTTTTAAATCAGGTACAATTCACATACTTCAAAATAAGGATGAGTTAAGATGAGGCAAACAATATTTCCAGACAAGGTTGACACAATATTTCCAGGGTTGAAATTGCTTGTATAAGAGGGATAAAGGCATGCTAACAATCAGAATGACACAGTTAAGATATGTTCTGGGTGCCTTAATGCACACTTGGATATGATATCCTTTCAACACAACTTTATAAAAATGTTTCTTATATGAAGCCTGTGAAATGTGTACCTGCTCAAGAAATCTGGACAAACACCGGATGATGATATAAACATAAATATGGACATATAAGCACAGTAGGATTCATAAAAGAATCCTAGGGATTCAGAAATTGAAAATGGTATTGTCAGTCTCATTAATTAAGAAGGGGCAACTCTCTAAATTACAGCTGCTTCATATAAAAGTAAAGGGGAAATGCCATTCAATGACATTTCCATATTATTGCATACTTTTTTATTCCCCACTCCCACCCAGCCAAACCCCTCCCACCAAGCTTTTTTAGATTAGGCAAGTAAACTTTTATATTTTTGGGGGTTGCATTTCTTTTTTTATTCTTTACGCTTTCTTTCCCCAATGGTATAAGTGCAACCCCGTGTGCGACATTTGCCATAGTGTAATTTATTACACACGGAAAGCGCACGTTAAATCTCCAATGATAGATAGATAGACATTCAATGAAATGGATTGTATTTATTCTTCTTATTGCCACACTTGACTTCCAAAGGGCACACTTAAAGATCTGTCCTGTGGCACACTTGATGCACTTCTACCTAGGATTTCAGATGTAGCAATAGGTTGTCACTGTTGTATTATACGTGTGATCCTGTGCACAGGCCTGCCCCTTCAAGCTAGATGTCTACACGGAGGACTGCCGTGATGCCAGTCTGGAGGTGATGGGGCTGGAGGCCCAGGCAGTGATGTTGGAGGACGCAGTCTGTGAGACAGTCACAGCCAAGGTAGAACTTCTAGCATCTTTGACAGTGTGTTAGGTCTTACCAAACACAAATTATTGCATCCGAAATAGGCTCCAACTTTTAACATCTTTCACAGAGTACAGAGTCTTACCGAACACAAATTATTCCATCCCATACGCAGAACAATTAAAAGAGTAACTGTTTGAATCATTAATTGGTAATTCAGTTGGAGCAAATACTATAAGTTTAGCTGAGAATTTGATTCTGATTAAAAGCAAAATTAAAGTTCAGACTGCACATGCTGAAGCTGGAACACATTTTACCATGGTTGCAGGGATCAGGAGAGTATTGCTCCCCAATTTCATAATGTCCATTCTCATCAAACTGCATGATAAAGAAGCTGTTTGAAGCCATGAATCTTTGTATGACTAAGGAAGCAGTTTGTAAACCAAGTTGGGGATAGACTCTGGAAGCAGTCATGTGAGGGGATATAAATAACACTTGATCTTACGGTTCTAGGGTGAAGTGTCGAAAGTGAAGGGCATGAAAGACCTCAGTGTGTACACCTACATCGGGGACGCCAGAGCAACGGTCGTTGTGGAAAACCAAGTAAGTCCTATTAACATCTACCTCATTAAAGGTCAGTGTGACATTTTAGTACCCATCAACAATGGTGTTCATATTCATCATCATTTTTTTCAGTCCACTGTACACTCAATATTAGGGGAGATAATGCTGAATTGTATCCCAGTTATCTACCCTTGAAGGTGGCCAGTTTGTCTTTATGATTTAAGTATGCATGATTATATTACAGTTGCAATGTTTGTAACAAAATATGTAATTTCAGTGTTTGAAATTCCTTGTATTCTAGTGCCAATGGCATGGTTAAAATCATATTGGCCCAATTAAACTAAGTACACACTTAGAAATATTTGAAGGGGAAGAGAGGGGGATATATTATACACAAAGCCTGTGATAAAAGTTCTTTCAAATAGTCATCTTAAATGTTAATAAACACACTTACTGCTAAGTATGATTCATGAAATAAATCTAGGGATTAAAATATTTTATTGGATGTTATAAATCTCCAAAAAAGGAAGAGGGCAAACTTTGTTAATTACAAATGCTTATTATGAAGCTCATGGTGAAGTGAAATTACCGAGATTGAAGATGAATAGTAAATAATCTTGTTGGCACACTTAAGTTTAAAGGGCTCATCTTTGTGTGTGGCATACTTGAAACAACCTACATGTCTATCCCTGATGTGACCGCCTCTGTGGTCTTGTGGTTGAGCATACCCCTGGAAATAAGAATGTCGGGGGTTCGATCCCCGGCCGCGTCATACCAAAAGACGTTAAAAGATGGTACTTGTTGTTACCCTGCCTGGCACTCAGCATTTAGGGGCTAAAAGGACTGGTTGGCTCGGAGTCAGTATACTGTGTCTGAGTGCAGTATTCATGTTAATCTCAGTGTGCTAGCACTATAAATCGGCATCAGTCCGAACTAGTACAAGCAGCCACACACACATGTGCAATGCACATCACTATATAAGTGCAGTAATCTTGGATGCAATGTTAAACACCATTTCATGTAACCTATCCCTGATGTTGTGTTGTTTGTTTGTTTGTTACAATAGTCGTACAGCAAGATCAGGATCCAGCTGGACTGCAGTAGAAGTAAGAATGTCGTCAGCAACCAGCGAGATCTGAACTATACTCTGACCGTGCCATCAAACACCACTGTGGTAGGTGTCCTGTGGCCTCTCTGATGAGCATATCACATAGCAAGTTTAAACCTACATCATAAGTTGCTCAAGAATAAAAAAAATTATGCACTGCAGTCATCAATAATTTCATTGTTTTATATAAATCACTGGTTTGTCTTGTCCAGACTCAAGTATTTACAGACTGCTTCATATAGCTGGAATATTGCTGAGTGCGGCATTAAATATACAGAAATAAATATATCTCTGCGCTTTTGAGCCAGCTCTTCCAACAATCAAAACTGGGGACGTATTCAGGCCCACCACTGATGTAGGGATACACATTAGGATGTACTTTGATGCACTGATTTTTTAAGATATTTTTTTCTTTCTTTGGTCGTTTGTCAAGTGGACCAGATTCTGATTATTTTTAATTCATTTCCCTGAAGTGTATCCTAACTGGCGGGATGCCTTTTTGTATCATATGCTATGCAAAAGAAGTTAAAGAACAGCCACAAATGGAAGGCTGTGTGTTGCAATACCCACCAGCAATGACAGATTAACTACCAGTATAATGCTATGAACAAACTGGGTGTTCTTTAACTTCTTTTAAGTTATATAAACCCTAAAGAGTTCAAGGGGGCACGGGTGGCCCAGTCGTCTAAGGCGCTGCGATTATTTGTGCAGAGTTGCATCCCTTGGGCACGCCAGAAACCTATGATTGTGGGTTCAAATCCCGGTTTGCCTCGATTATGTTTTCTAGGTGGAAAACGCCTGAGACCTGCATCACTTCGGGCTTTCCTCCCACATTAAGCTGACACGCCGTGATATAACTGCAATACTGTTAAAAGTGGCGTTAAACCCAACTCACTCACTCACACACTAAAGAGTTCAATCCTGACTACTGTACTCAAATCAACTCTGGAGGAAACAGTTTTGTGTAATTTATACATCTGGTTTTAATACTACATCTCCCACTAGTATGTTTATGACTGTGACATACATGCTTATATGATGATGTGCCCTTTCTGTGTCACCAGGTTGGTCATCACCTCATACCCAGGGACGAGAAGGCAGAATGGATTGTCCGCTGTCAGGAAAGCATCCTCAGATAATGTGACACCATACAAATACAGCACGTGTATGTCAGTGTTCAAAATTAAGCATGAAAGTCAAGGGGCCCTTGTCGTGACCCTAATGTCATGAAACTGAGGCGATCCCATGATTCTGACACTATGGAAGCAAACCTCAAGGACCTGGACTCCCTTAATTTTGAAAACTGTACATTGATAAAGCATTCACTGTTCATTGTGTTTTTGTGTCTCAAAATTTCACAAATAAGGCCACAGTAAATTAATTATTAGATTTTCATCGAATGTTTCTATAAATCCCATGTTGGAGCATTTATGTATTTTTGTGGGACAAACTGTTCAAGGCATCTGTGGACATTAACTGTTCCAGGATGTGATTCACATGCAGCATGATTGTTCAGAAGGACTATGTACATTGTGTATATGCAGAATGAAGTGAATACTGGTACACACTCAAGGAGTTTCTTTGTCTGTAGTTGCCGGGAAACAATAAAAGAATGTGGGTGGGGTTTTGGTGGCGGGGCATATAGGGATGAGAATGTAATACTTGATATATGATGGCCTAAGTTCAAAGTCACCTGTGTGGGACAGATTTCTAATAAAGACTCACACTGAAAATGTTTACTCTCCATCCAGTAATGATACGGTCCTGAGGCAGGATGTGTGGTAACCTCTTGAAGTTGTGGTCTTTGCGAGACACAAAGGCATGATCTGAATGCTGATACTTGATAGGCAGCTGAGAGACCTGTAGTTACATGTAATTTATTGTCTGAATGTCTGCAGAGTAGTGTATGTTTAATGAGCAACCAGATAGAATTGCAAATAATATTTCACCCTCATCTCACAAGACATGTCCTTTCTCAAACCAATGTGACAATATATATCTATTAGTCTGTGTAAGGAATCTATGTGCCTTTGGTATAGTCAGTGGAGTGGATTGGACATTTTCTGCAATATGTTGAAATTAAAATATTACCTTGTGGGTAAATGGAATTTTGTCTGTCTGCAAATTACATTTTATTTATGTCATACTTTTTGTTTCCTTGTGTGTTATTTTCCGTCCAGAATAATATAATATTTATAAATAGAAAAGTTATACAAACTGCAAAATATATTGTACATACAATTCAACATTCATATTCTTATCAACGACCTCAAAGGACTGTTGTAACCTGAGTTTGACCAGTTCAGATTGAGTGTTGTCTCATACATGTATCAACTTATCCCAGCAAGCACTGAAAATCAACTCACTGTTGAAAAAAATCACTCTCTGAAAACAATCTGTGTCAGCAGTTTTTTCTTTTGGACGTGAAAAGACATTCATCACCGAGGCTTTGTGGTCATGTCCTCATTTATCAAATATGTCGTGGACTGGTGCATAATTAATATCATGTGGCATATTTTCATTGATTTGAAACAATGTGACAAGTGCAGAAATTAAATGCTTTTGCATTTTTCCTAATGGGAAATAATTTTAGTATATTTTTAAATTAAGCTTAACAGTATTCATTGAAACAAGTGTTGTAAGTGAAAACTTCTGGGTGCCGTTGTACAAAATGACCTCAGCACTATGTCTGTCGGAAGTCTATGTTAAGGTAAGATCGTTTTGTATTGAACCCCAATCCAGTACAATTTTCAAGTATTTAACTTCTTTGGTAACTATAACTTTGGATTGTTTTAAAAAACAAAAGCATTTTTGTCAAAGGTCACAACTTTTGAAGGATATTTTATAAGAGTTTACTTCTACAGCATCCATTCCATTTTACATCATGTCTGTGATAGTACCATGCAACAAGAAGCATTAAAACTACAGAGACCAAGTCTACAGCATAAATTGTTTCCTTTCAGTGTACACTGTATATTCTAGTTTTTCTTGTTGCTAGATGATATATGTAATAAAAATTAAACTCATAAAAGGTTGTGTATGTGTTGTGATTTATGTAAATATGATGTTCGTTTAACGCCACAACACAGCAATATATGCAGCACATACCTTGTCCTCATGCTCCTGCACATTGAGCGGACGCACTGATCACAGGAGTTTTAAGTTCTGATTAAAACAAACTGGAGATTGTGGTTCATGCCTTAAGTGAGTGATTGAGTTTGGTTTTACGCCGCTTTTAGCAATGTCACAGCAGGGGTCACCAGAAATGGGCTTCACACATTGTACCCATGTCGGGAATCGAACCCGGGTCTCCGGCGTGACGAGTGAATGCTTTAACCACTAGGCTACCTGACCGCCCCTATCATGCAATTACACAGATTGAATAGTGATGACTGCAGCTTTAAACAACAAAGATGAAGTTTTATTTGGTGAGATGAGGTGAAATGGAGTTTAGCGTCACATTCAAGATTATTGCAACAGGACACACTTTTATAGTTTTATGTTTCACAGATTTATTCCAGCTTTTCCACACAAGGTCGATCGAAATAAAAATAAAAAGCTTTGTCAATCATTTATTTAAATGAAAGTCATTCTGCAGTTGAGTAAAAATTGCAGCCGCCTTCTTTTAATCAATGATAGTGATGTCGACATGGACTTTCTCTACATTTTTTTATTGTACAAGAGGGTCTATAATACTTGCAGGTGATATAACAAACATAAATATTTTTATGTTTAATTTATTTCTTGGACTGGCTGCTTTTCAGAAGGGGCAGCAGGCCTGTGAAACGAAAAATATAAAATGTGTGGCCTTAATATAGCGATGTGCTTGAACTACTCTAGCCGATTGTTAACGCCACACTCCTGGCAAACAAGGGCATCTTTCCAGGTCTTTTGGTATGATGCAGCCAGGGGAATGAACCACCAATCTTCCACTCACTCGTCCACTAGACAACAGACGCAGTCCCAAAGATGCTTTGATTCAAGGGACTATTGCAGAGTTATTGTAATACTGTGACTCTGCAGTTTCATGGGCGAGGCCAATCAGCAATATTGTTTCCAAATAATAAAAATCCTATTGTGGAAGTTTTGTGTTTTAAAATAAAGGAATCCACCATGTTCTCTGGCATTGCTCACCAACTCCAAAAACGGATAAACACGAAACACTTTAAATCAAGGACACTGTTTATTTTTCCTTGTCAAACCATCCAGTATCAATGCATTATTGGTACATCGAATCAAAACCTAGAAGGCACAGATTAATTACCTTGTATTGCACAGATTCAAGAATATGTTGTTTTATGGACTGGCAAATTGCTCCCATGTTATATCAATCTCATAAAAATTCAGATCTTGGTTCTCGCTACGGCTGAACCTGCATTGGGATGTCCTCAAACCTAAGTGTAGCAGTAGCGAGCATTTTGATCTGATTTAATGACGTTGATGTTACACACCTATATGGTCAATTTCCACTTTTAAAATTGCTAAGTTACAATTTAGTTCCTCTAAAACAAGGACTATGGATGTCACGAATCATAAATAAAACCTGCAGCGAAGTTAACAGTATTCCATTCAGTCAACTGGAAGGCTTAGGTTCAATCAATACTACAAACACTTAACTCATTCACACATTCTTCAAGGACTTCATAAAAAATTTTGGTGCATACATTATAAACATGGTAAAGTTTGGGGAAAGTGATAGTATCATAGTGAAAGTCTACATGCTCGGTCTCAACATCCAACTAACGCTTGCTATGAAACGAATACATGCAACACCATAAACAATTTAATAACTTCGTACCTGAAACGATTGAATTAAGCAGACATTGACAAAACATTTAGAAAATTGATATAAAGTTTTGTTATAAAAATAACTTTCTAAAAATAACTTTCTATTTCATCTCCTAAACATGAGAATAATCAGTCGGTCTTAGTCCTTTTAGACCAAGGCTGATGTTGGTATATCTCTGCATAGAATAGCATTGCATAGCACACAAAAACATGATGCATTGTGCCCATGATGAAGAACTACTTCAAAGATGGTGATCTTTCGGATTCAGGATGCAATATCACAAGGTCAAGGACAACTTGGAAGATGTTCACAATTCCAATGTATCTTTGGAGAATACTGATGACATGATGTCAATACATATCCAAAACTCCTCTCCCATGTCTTTCTCATAACACAGATGATGTTAGCTTCAATAAACTAACCAACTGGCACATAACACCTAGGTCTTGCATATTTAAGCCTCTTCAAGAGACCAACGTAGAGGCGTCATATCAACATCTTTTCCGTCATCTCTTCTATCCATCAATGAAGTCTTTTGGTTTGGAGTGTGGACACCTCCATCCTTTGCTTCATCAGCTGTATTCGGACTTCTCCCTCAGGGCATACAACACGTCATCCTGACTGACGTTCAGTCTGACTCGCATGTGAAGGTCGTTGCGTCCATGCTCCACCAGTAGCAGACGGGAGCTGCCGAGCCGGGAACACATGGCTGCCAGCTCAGTGGTTGATGGCGGCTCCAGACCTGTTGAAATATATCATACATGAAAACTCAAAATTAGGTTATTTTCCTATAATTTCCCCAAAAGTCCATTTTAGTAAACAATCACTTTCTCCTCCCTGTCATCTGCCAAGTGGCATGAGTCGTAGCATTTCTCTCCAGTCTCTCACACTCAGGTCATAATTGCCAAATACATAATTTCTGTCGTTCATTTGACATGTAATTTATGTTTTGGAGGTTTACATGCAAAACTTCTTTTTTTTATTAGAACCCTGCAATTATGGTAGATGTTATCAGGAATGTTCCATTTAATTATAGCTTATTGGTAATCAAATAAATCTTAATGAGTGAGTATAGTTTTACGCCACTTTTAGCAACATTCCAACAATATCACGGCGGGGGACATCGGAAATGGGCTTTGCACATTGTACCCATGTCGGGAATCGAACCCGGGTCTTCGGCGTGACGAGTGAACTAGGCTACCTGATCGCCCAAAACCTTAATGGCCCATTAGTGTAAACTTTGATAAAGCCAAATTTTATGGCACATACGTTAATGGAGGTTGCTACTGGTTTCAAAACATCCAATTTAAGGGACGTTTCCTTTAGTTCTGCTGTCAGTCAAAATTGAAGATATCACATGGCAACACCAAGAAAGGGTTTCACAATTTGTACCCATGGAGAGTCCAACCTTGATCTTCAGTGTGACCAACACATAGAGAACTAGCTACCCCTGTCTCTCCTATACAAGAGAACTAGCTACCCCTGTCTCTCCTATACAAGAGAACTAGCTACCCCTGTCTCTCCTATACAAGAGAACTAGCTACCCCTGTCTCTCCTATACTAGAGAACTAGCTACCCCTGTCTCTCCTATACTAGAGAACTAGCTACCCCTGTCTCTCCTATACAAGAGAACTAGCTACCCCTGTCTCTCCTATACTAGAGAACTAGCTACCCCTGTCTCTCCTATACTAGAGAACTAGCTACCCCTGTCTCTCCTATACTAGAGAACTAGCTACCCTTGTCTCTCCTATACTAGAGAACTAGCTACCCCTGTCTCTCCTATACTAGAGAACTAGCTACCCTTGTCTCTCCTATACTAGAGAACTAGCTACCCCTGTCTCTCCTATACAAGAGAACTAGCTACCCTTGTCTCTCCTATACTAGAGAACTAGCTACCCCTGTCTCTCCTATACAAGATAACTAGCTACCTCTGTCTCTCCTATACTAGAGAACTAGCTACCCCTGTCTCTCCTATACTAGAGAACTAGCTACCCTTGTCTCTCCTATACTAGAGAACTAGCTACCCCTGTCTCTCCTATACTAGAGAACTAGCTACCCCTGTCTCTCCCATACAAGAGAACTAGCTACCCTTGTCTCTCCTATACTAGAGAACTAGCTACCCTTGTCTCTCCTATACAAGAGAACTAGCTACCCCTGTCTCTCCTATACAAGAGAACTAGCTACTCTTGTCTCTCCTATACTAGAGAACTAGCTACCCCTGTCTCTCCTATACTAGAGAACTAGCTACCCTTGTCTCTCCTATACTAGAGAACTAGCTACCCCTGTCTCTCCTATACTAGAGAACTAGCTACCCTTGTCTCTCCTATACAAGAGAACTAGCTACCCCTGTCTCTCCTATACTAGAGAACTAGCTACCCCTGTCTCTCCTATACAAGAGAACTAGCTACCCTTGTCTCTCCTATACTAGAGAACTAGCTACCCTTGTCTCTCCTATACAAGAGAACTAGCTACCCCTGTCTCTCCTATACAAGAGAACTAGCTACTCTTGTCTCTCCTATACTAGAGAACTAGCTACCCCTGTCTCTCCTATACTAGAGAACTAGCTACCCTTGTCTCTCCTATACTAGAGAACTAGCTACCCCTGTCTCTCCTATACTAGAGAACTAGCTACCCTTGTCTCTCCTATACAAGAGAACTAGCTACCCCTGTCTCTCCTATACTAGAGAACTAGCTACCCTTGTCTCTCCTATACTAGAGAACTAGCTACCCCTGTCTCTCCTATACAAGAGAACTAGCTACTCTTGTCTCTCCTATACTAGAGAACTAGCTACCCTTGTCTCTCCTATACAAGAGAACTAGCTACCCCTGTCTCTCCTATACTAGAGAACTAGCTACCCCTGTCTCTCCTATACTAGAGAACTAGCTACCCCTGTCTCTCCTATACAAGAGAACTAGCTACTCTTGTCTCTCCTATACTAGAGAACTAGCTACCCTTGTCTCTCCTATACTAGAGAACTAGCTACCCTTGTCTCTCCTATACAAGAGAACTAGCTACTCTTGTCTCTCCTATACTAGAGAACTAGCTACCCCTGTCTCTCCTATACAAGAGAACTAGCTACTCTTGTCTCTCCTATACTAGAGAACTAGCTACCCTTGTCTCTCCTATACAAGAGAACTAGCATGAATATTAAATACCCCCGTAGCGACCATATTGCGTATACTCCTACTCTAGATAACACCCACCTTCGAACCTGCACAGCGACATATGCTGTGTGTATAGCTTGGAGAACATGGCCTCCTCAATCCCAGCCCTCTGGAACTCCGCCACCACTGCCTGCAGGAACAGCTTCTCATGCTTTGACAGGTTCCTGGAAGAATACACCGATATCTTGAAGTCTTGACAGACATACAAAAGCATCAGTAGCACAACTCATGAAAGTTTTGAGCTTATTTGATAATGTTTCATCAGTATCTCAACAGCTGACATATGCAGTCTCAGTCATCAAATCAACAAATATCAGCATTATTGTGTTTTATGCGGAACAAGATTAGCTTATCACCCAAGGTCAAGTAAAACCAAATCCCAAACACTTTACCACCCTATCAAACTTGTGAGTCCTCACTTACAAGCAAGAAGTGCAAGTAATATATTCAACCCTCACAGCAAAGCAAGTTCGGTTGACGCCGCATTCAGCAATATTCCAGCCATATCAAGGCAGGGGACATCAAGAATGGGCTTCCAACATTGTCCCATAGAGGGAATCAAACCAAGTCTTCGGTATAAGGCCAACACTTAACAAACTAAGCTACCTTCCTGTATCCCAACAACATTTTTTTCATAATGAAGTCATACAAAAGCATCATAAGCTGTGAATTCGAACCATCTCAAAGCGATCATGTTTGTATGTTGATTAACGCCTCATTCAGCAATATTCCAGCTTCATGATGGTAGTCTGTACATAATCCATTCTGGACCAGACAATCAAGAGATTGACATCACGAGCATTGATCTATGCAATGTGGTTTACAATGACATGCATCAACTAAGTGAGTTTGACCACCTGATCACGTTAGTCGCTTCTTACATTAAGCATGGGTTGTGGAGACAATATCTAACACAGATCTTCATGGAATCAAAGGGGTCATGGAGAAAAAGGCTCCTCCTTACCTAATGGCCACAACTTTAGGTGAAGTAAACATCTCCTGCAGAGCAGCATCCACATGCCTCATCCCGATCATGATGACCGTCTGCTTTCTTTTGGCTTCTGTCTCTGCAATCTCGGTGGCTCGGCGGCAGATGTCCAGCGCTCTCCTGGCATCTCCGGACAAGGCAGCAACCTTTCTGGCGGCCAACTGGACCGCGTCCTCCTCAAACACTCTGAGGCCTTTCATACGTGACTCCACAATCTCCTCCAGTTGTCGGAATGTGTATGGCTGAAACGTCATCCTAGTCAGACCCTAAAAAGGAGAAAGTTTTGTTAAAAATACATCAGGTTTCCTTGATAAAAGCCTAAGGAATTCAACTTTCTGTCATACATATAAACAATTTTTCAGTTAGCTGAGGACCTTAATTTCATCGTGTAAAACCACTTATCAGTGACTTCCAACTTGACATGCAGAGTTGATGGGGAACTATTCAATCCTCCTTACAAATGGATGGGGTTGAGAGTTTGGTTAAGTTTGTGACAAGAAACAGGGCGACTTATTAATCAACAAATTGGTACTGCCTAGCACTAGCAGATACACGGTTTTAAACTGGATGACCATTAGGTGAGTAACGAGACACTGCTCCTTTGGATGAGAGCATTACAAACACCATCATCCTCATCTCCACCAGACAACCATGTTTAAACTGTATGATCAATATGAGAGGCACAACATCCTGCTGCCTGGCAGCCTCTTGATGCACACATAACCAAGATCACATCCGTGCTAGGGCTGGGTAGAGTCCAAATTTACTACCCGGGTATCCACACCCCTATTACCCGACCCTACCTGGGTACCCGCTGTTGGTGTCAAGAGATAGGTACAAAATGTCCGATTGGGAATAGTTTGACAGTAGCCCTGGCAAAATGTATTTAGATACACGTATAAAACGATGTGGTCATGCTTACACTGAAGTTGACTGAAGTTTTAACTTTGTTTAAACATATATAAGTCAGAAGTCAGAGTCATAAGTCACTTGTCGAGTAACCATGTAGTAATATAGTGAATTTTCGTCATGAAACAATATATCACGTGACTAACCACGGGTCCGGGGAGTCCTGTGGGTACCCGGGTCCTACTCAGTACCCACCCGACCCTTGTACCCGAGTTACCCGTCTCAGTCCTAATCAGTGCCCTCACCAGTCTACTGGAGACCCTCTTCATCATGATTCTCTCAGGAAGATCCATCGTGTTCGCCACAGCCAGGACTACCAGTCTCGCCTGCTGCTTCGTGGGCCAGTCGAAGATGTTGTACATGACGTCCTGCTTCCGTGTCCACAACAGGTCCAGCTGAAACATTATCTCGGTCAAGTCTCCATGGCAACAACACTGTATTGACTGTACAGCAGATGTTCATGAAACACAAGAGGCTGACACAGATGAAGGGTCAAAGAAATGTTCATTGGCCATTTAATATGTTCATCCATCTAATTCTCAGCAACAATCATTCAACTACAGTAAACTATGTTTATAACAAACACGCTTATAATGAACTGACAGATATAACGAACTTATTTCTTTGTCCCAGACACTGCTGTATCCATGGTGTACATATGCTTATAACGAACTACAGTTATAACGAACTAAAATTAGTGGCCCCTTTGGAGTCATTATAACCGTAGTGTACTGTTAATCAATTGTCACTTTTTGGAAACAGTATGTTAACACGGATCTCATAATTGTCAAATATAATCATGATAAACGGTGTTGGGAGGTCCTGCAGTATTTGAGAAATGTGGCAGCAGTATTTGAATCCAGAGACCTTTAGGTGTTCATGCAAAAGGCAATCTGCTATTTTCATGTTTCATTTTGAACACTGACAGATATCCCATTGTGAGAGCAGCAAGCAAGGGATTTAACTCTTCTCGTTCCTGCCAGATCAAATCATTACTGCAGTCACAGACTGATGCAACAAATCCCTACCTCATCCACGAGCAGGACAACTGTCTCCCGTCGGGGGGCAGGTGTGCTGAACTTCTTGTTCAGTAGTTCCATGGCATGTTCAGGTGTAGCCCTTTGACCTGTCAGATCCTGCAATAACATGGCTTCTTCTAAATGTGGGTAAAGGCAATTTTTTTGCATAAAACAGTGAGTGAGGGAAATACTGAAAAACACAAATAATGCCCCTATTTCATAAATTGATCTCAGCACAAAGATCACACACACACTGGGGCCACCCGATCGTTATGAGACAGCTCTTATTATGGCGCCCTATCCAGCCTTGGGATTCCAAAATGGCTGTGTCTCACCTACCTTTAGTAGATGAACGTAGGCTTGTCTGGGGTCTGTGAGCTTCATGCCGTTGAGCTCGAGGAATTTGAACTGAGGGACGTCACCGTCAGTACAGCCTTGTACCAGCGACCTCATCACCTCTCTCACAGTGGCCGTCTTGCCTGTTCCTGGCACCCCCGATATGTACATACATCTGTCATAGGAGATAGTGTGGGATATGTAATGGATATATGACAGCATGTTTCCACATTGTTACACATCAATTCTTTAATAGTTCTTCCAAATGAAAAGTATAATGAATTGTTACGCTCCAGTGTATGACTTTAATTCAAATGCAATTATTGAACACCTAGCAATACGGAAAAAAACACTTTTGTTTAAAAATGTTAAACCTTTTCAAAATCTGTCATAGACTAAGGTCTACTTGGGAGTCCCAAATATTTGGCTACAGCATTTAGATCTAAGGACCTACTCAGTCTATCATCTCAACATAGGAGATAGGATTAAGCAGAGCTACAGATAAGCAGTGTATTTGTACAAAATATTCAAAACCCAATCACTTTCAATTAACTTGCATACAGAAACGCATGCATTAAATGAAAAACTCAAATGTATAAAAACAGTTCGCGTAAATACCCAACGAAGCTTTTTCAGCATACATACAAAGGAGCTAATTTCGGAAACCCAATTACAAGCTAATTTACTTTCCGAGTCAAGCCCATATATATATATAGAACAGTCATGAAACATTATTTCATTTTTTTCAAATCTTTAAATGTTCACTCATTTTGGGAAAAACGCAATAGAGTGATGAATAGATGAGTGAAAAAATACTGGTTACCCAATGAAAAATGTAATAACCCAATTAAAATAGAAACCCTAGGGTAAAAACTCAATTGCTCCAAAAGTTATCTGGAGCTCAGGGACTATGACAATGTCTCCTCGTTTCATCCAATTTTTTCAACACTGTAATTGATAATTTTGTATTCTTATCAAATTTTCCAAATGCATTCAGATTATCGAAGTGTCAAAGTGTCAAAGTGGGTGGAATGATATCATCATGATCATACAATGATCCCCCCCAAGTGGTTCTTACCCTCCAGTTCCATCCATCAGCTTACTCTCCACAAACGTGTAGATATCCGAGAACTCATTATCTCGACAGGGCAAGCTGTCTGGGACTGCGGATACATGAAGTCTGCAAAAAATATACCTAACTTTAAAAAAATTGATATTTGTATTCTTGCCAATACATCATAGTGGCTTGGAATCAAAGCTTCTAGCAAGTCATGCAGTCAGGCCTAGAAACACTGAGACAAGACACCCATGTGCAATGATAGCATGACTGACAGAATGCCCTTCGAAGTCCTCCAAGGTACCTGCCACCACCATACAAAGAAACCTCATTTAGGCCTAAAAAGAACAACTGCTTCTCAGGAAGAATGGGTTCCATACATTGTAATCATAAGGGGAAACAAACTCAATGTGAAAAGCGAACAGTTCAACCCCCAAGCTTCCCAACTGCACAGGTTGCTGTAGGCACAATATTTACCCCACTGCACAGGTTCCTGTGGGCACAATATTTACCCCACTGCACAGGTTCCTGTGGGCACAATATTTACCCCACTGCAGGTACAATATTTACTCCACTGCCCAGGTTCATGTGGGCACAATATTTACCCCACTGCACAGGTTCCTGTGGGCACAATATTTACCCCACTGCACAGGTTCCTGTGGGCACAATATTTACCCCACTGCACAGGTTCCTGTGGGCACAATATTTACTCCACTGCACAGGTTCCTGTGGGCACAATATTTACCCCACTGCAGGTACAATATTTACGGATTCTGGTTTTGATCATGAGTCAAATGTTTTTCAGCCTAACAGAAGAAACATGAATTACAAACCTCGCTCTGGCCTCTTCAAGGGCACTAGTTGGTGACATGAATGTTTTTCTACGGCTCGGAATTGAAGGTGTTACTGTATCTATGAATGATTTCTTGCCCTGAAATTCAAAGAAAAGTCACATATATTATCTAGTATGCTTCATACACCTATCCAAATTTACACACTGGTAACATCAGCTTGAGACCTTGGACTAGCTTTATTTCCTCATAATGAATCAGGTCATGTAATTCATGAAGCAATGAGTTCGAACAGTGAATCAACTGGAAATACATAATAAATGACCATGCCATTCACCAAATTTCTGTTTCTTCTCATCAGCAACCAAATAACATGCATCAAAATAAAAGACATGTTTATGACATGCAAATATATAGATATGAGTGAATGTTGCTTTATGGAAGACAGTTATATTGCACATCTCTTTCAGTGTTTGTCTGGTTGGGTGAAGACAAAGTGGTTCAAAGCGTGTTTTTTGTTTTGTTCGTTGTTTAACGACATACTCAGCAATATTCCAGCTATATGACGGCAGTCTGTAAATAATCGAGTCTGAACCAAAATTTCCAGTGATTGACATCATGAGCATAGATCCACGCAAATTTGGATGATGACATGCATCAACCAAGTCAGTGAGTCTGACCACCCGATCCCATTAGTCGCCTTTTATGGCAAGCATGGGTTACCATGGTTACTGAAGACCTATTCTAACCCAGATCTTTACAAGTCTCAAAGCATGTTATCAGGGTACAATGACCAAGTATTTCATACCCCTGATCCTCAGCATTAGGACCTATTGTACTTGGATCGTATTCTGTCATGGAACCCTCATAGCAATCAGTGATACTGCCAGTGGAACAAGCCTCTTAGCCAAAGGACCAGAACTAACCCGAGGTGTCTTGCCTTGTCTGGGAGTCTTCACAGCACTTGATGACTTTGATGGCTTCCTTGAGCTTTTGGGAGTCCTAGTCGACTTCTTTGCTTCAAACACTTCATCCTCCTCCCCATCATCATCATAATCAGCATCATCAGCATCATCGGACTCTGTTTCTGGGCAGTCTGTGTAGGTGGGGTCATATAGACTGTCATCCAGCTCCTTCATATTTCTGGTCGAGAGTGATTGAGTGAGTGAGTAATTGATTTGACTGACTGACTGACTGACTGACTGATTGATTGACTGATTGATTTGGGTTTAACACCACTTTGAACAGTATTCCAGTTATATCATAGCATGTCGGCTTAATGTGGGAGGAAAGCCCGAAGTGATGAAAGTGTTAGACATTTAGCACTTTGGTGAAACCCACAAGCATAGATATAGTGCTGACAAAGCTAGAAACATAATCAAGCCATAACATCAGTTATATATATTTTAACATGAACTGTAAATGAGTTGGGTCTTATGCTACTTTTAACAGTATACCAGTCATATCAAACTATCCAAAGCATGTCAGCTTAATGAGGGAGGAAAGCCCAAAGTGATGCAGCACCCAGATGTTTATCACTTTGGTGAAAACCAATGAGCACGGGTATGGTGCAAATAAACCTGGAAATGTAATCCAGGCAAACCGGAAATTGAACTCACAACCATAGGTTTTAGCTGTGCCATCCCAGTTCGTATTTACAGACTGCCATCATATAGCTGGAATATTTCTGAGTGCGGCGTTAAACAACAAACAAAGAAGAGTGAGCGAGCGAGGTTTTACGCTGCTTTTATCAATATTCCAGCAATATCACGGCGGGGGACACCACAAATGGGCTTCTAACATTGTACCCATGTCGGAACATCGAACCCAGGTCTTGTGGCACCTTAGACGACTCGGCCCCCCCATGCTAGCTATGGTCAAGAGTAAAACAACAGTATTTTGTGATACTTAACAAGCTTCATACATGTCATACAGAATGGTGAGCAGTTTTATTGTTTGTAACATTCCATCTATATGAGGGAGGTCTGAGACAATGAAATGATTGACATGAGCATCGTTCCATCCACAATGACATGGAATCGACAAAATCCACAAAGCCGAAAGAACCACTGATCTATTTAGTGACCACACAATCTATTTAGAACTGCGATGAATCCTGGTTGGAACATAGGTCCCCACTAACCTATGCTTGTCTTAAGATGTAAACAATTTAAAACAGTGTTCCGAAACAAGTTCAACTTCCAATCAATTACAACAATCAATGACTGCCGAAGATTACCTGGATAGAAATCATGTGATCACTCAATGATGTTTATCGCAAGCAAAATGGATATTTCTTGAAAAGCGCACATTGCAATTTTTGTCATTACTGTAAGTACTATTCCTTATCGGCGGGATGGCTTATTTTCACTTATCAGGTTATAAGTGTAAGCACCAATCTCATAAAAATCAAATCTTAGTTTTCGCTACTGCTAAACAAAGATCTGAGGACATCCCATTACGGGTCACGTCAGAACGACCTTTCACGAATTTTGACCGACCAGTGAAATGACTGACAAGAAATCGACAGTAGCCAATCAGATGGCAGCTTTCTTGAGCTTTACGACAGTAGTTTCAAACTGGCAACTACGCTTCGAAACATATTTTGACGTATTCTTGATTAAAAATAATAAAACTGATAAGAAGAACATTCTGGAATGGCTTATAGATGGCCTAGATTGTATGGATATAATCATGAAACCCGTAACTGTCGTTCGGAATACCCCCTGTTAAATATTTTGTGGTTGCATGATAAGAAAACACATTCCGACTGGCACTTTCATGATCTGGAAAGCGACGCTCTGATTGGTTGGATGAAAGGTCGTTCTGACGTGACCCTTAATGGGATGTCCTCAGATCTTTGTTTAGCATAGCGAGAACTAAGATCTGATTTTAATGAGATTAGTTTAAGCACATATGTAACTATCTTCGGTAATTAATCATTGTGATATTTCATATTCTATTTCAAGTAGCGAGAACTATAGACCTATCAATGTATCAAGTATGGTCAAATTGCATGGTGTTCAAGATCTGCTCTGGAACAAGCACTACTGCCATTTTTAGTTTAAGTCAAAGTATTTTTTGTATTTTTTTATATATTTTTTTTTTTTATTGTTCCTGGTAAAAAGTACATCATGTTTTGATAAGAGTCGAAATACATGACCAGGGTTTTTTAAGAAAGTACATATCATTCACACACGTCCATACACACATTCACACTCACTAGAAGCTTTAGTACTTATGAAGACAGAATGCAGGATATATATTTAGTAAAGTTTTGGAATAGCAAATGTTTATATTTTCAAAAGGTTTTCATAAGGAGCCCATTTCATATAGAATTCGGTCTGTTTGGCTTTATTAAAGTGTCTATATTTTTCTTGTTGGTAATAATATTTAACCTCATTTTGGAAATGTGTAATGGTTGGTTGGTTATTTTTCATTTTGCATCTATAAATGTGAAATTTGGCCAATAAGAGTATCAGATAAAAAATATCATCGGTGTGGAAATGTTTTGAAAAGCCAAAAAGAATTAGGTCTGAAGTAAGATTTATCTTGCCAGTATGTGGACACTTGGATTCAATCCATTGTGAAAATCTTTTCCAGAAGTTTTTGCTTACCCTACAGTGTTTAAGTCAAAGTAGCTGCCATGGATGGATGGAGTTCATTTTAATACCCCCTCAAAATTGTGAGGGATAATTACTGATGGATAGGCATGCCGATCCCTGAATCCACCAATCAAAGATCTTTAAATTAATAACTCCTTTTGTTTTTTTCATGCATAATAGTAAATAAACAGTGGATTTTACATGTTTCAGAGGTTTCAGTCACTGAAAAATAATATTATGCAATTCACCTACCTTATAACAGCTTTTGACCGTCTGCTCGGTTGTGACCTTGCTGCACCCTTTTTTGCAGCATCAACGTCTGTCTGTAATCTCCGGCGAACTGGACGCATTGTACTATCTGGTGTGTTGTTTCGTATCGATGTATAATTATTTTCCGACACTCTTTTCACTACAACTGTAGGTACACGTTTAACTTTGTCTGTCATACTCAATACCCGACTCACACCTTTCCCAGCTTGGTTCACAGATGGAGTTTTCACCCCTGACCTCTTAGACTTTTTGGGTTCAGTTCTACTTCGTTTGTGTTTGGATATACCAGACCCTTGGTCACTTTCCACTGACCCACGTTTAGACCGAGCAGATGTCATACCAGATCTTGTGTCCTTTTTCACAGATTTTCTTGTACTACGCACACTTTTTCTCTCCTCTGGTTGTGGAGTGGCATTGTTATTCAAATCTATGGACTCTTTGTCATCCATTTTGGATTTTGCTTGAGATTTTCTTGCTGACCTAGTGCTTTTGTCTCCTGTATTTTTGTTGATGTTGGTTTTGGATATTCCAGAACTGCTTGTAACATCTGAAGTAATCGACACACTGCCAAAATCACTTGCATCATCATCATCGTCATCCACCATAAGGAAATCTGACACATCTGCACCCTTGTACCACCGGTATTTGGAATTCCCTTGTTTCGGGCTGGTTAAATCTTTATAATGGAACAGAAAATTAACATAAGATTTCATTTTTCACTACTGAAAGCGTTTCCTTGTCATGTCGAAGCTTGGTTCGAAGTTCCGACATGGGTACAATGTGTGAGGCCCATTTCTGGTGTCCCCCACCGTGATATTGCTGGAATATTGCTAAAAGCGGCGTAAAACCTTGCTCGCTCACTCTTCTTTGTTTGTTGTTTAACGCCGCACTCAGAAATATTCCAGCTATATGATCGCAGTTTGTAAATAATCGAGTGATTGACATCATGAGCATCGATCCATGCAATTGGGATGTGATGACATGCATCAACCAAGTCAGTGAGCCTGACCACCCGATCCCGTTAGTCGCCTCTTACGACAAGCATAGTCGCCTTTTTTGGCAAGCATGGGTTGCTGAAGACCTATTCTAACCCTGATCTATGCAGGTACCGCAAATCAATCAATTTACTCTGCTCCAAGTGCGCTTCTTTCAATATTCTGTGCTTCTGTACTCAAAGCACATTAACAACTGAAGCAGGTTTATTTGACCTTCATTAGATTACAAATTCACAAAAGACATTAGTGTTTGCCATGAAGGGTTACATCAAAAAGTGCAACTTTGGAACTGAAATCTTTTTATACGCAGGACCGGAACCCAACATAGCATGCCAAACAAAGAAACACTTCAGACTCAGGAGATTTTGATGGGAAAACCAAAACAGTTTTATGTGGCTCGATCGTAAAACTTCCAACTGTGTCGTAAACAACGTCAACTTCATATTTACGAAAGAAGTCGGCCACATAAAAAGGTTGCTTAGGTCAAAGTTGTTTTTTTAAACACTTTATTGACTCTGTAACGGTCGAAGAGGAGAAAGTTGACTTGACTTACCAATTACTGGAGATCTTTTCTCCCCACTAAACATCGGTCCTTGCAAGGGGATAATTGGTGACTGACTATTTCCTAAACGTTTGACGTTTACATCGGGGGACTTGTTCATATTCTTCATCACTCTGTTAATAGGCTGGCACCGTTCTTCATCCAAAAGTCCATTCCGTCTGCCTGTGGTGCCGTTCATTTTGGCAGGAGTTCCTGACGGTGTATTGGCGTTTTCCTTGCAGTCCTCATCAGCCGCAGCTAAGTCAGTGAACTTTCCCCTTCGGTAGGACTTTCTCACAAAAAAATGAGGCACTGTTTCTCTTGTTTGCTTTCCCACTGGTGCAGACGTCAGTTGCTCAACCTGACAAGGTGATAATTAAGAGTTCCATAAATATACACGAAATTTATGCAATTAAGTTGCATTATTCAAAGTCCAATGCAGCTTCAATCACAAGGTGAAATGGGGTTTAACATCCAATCAAGATTATTGCACTTACATTGTGACGTGCATGCACATTGTACTAGTTCTGACTAATGCCGTTTGATAGTGCTAGCCCACTGAGATACCATGCCACAGTTTAACATGAATACCCCACTCAGGCACAGTATACTGACTCCGAGGCGACCAGTCAACAACAAGTACCATGTTTTAACATCTCTTGATATGACACGGCAAGTGACCTAACCCCCGACCCTCCACTCTCCGGGCAGGCACTAGAATTCCCAATTATGAGTTCAAAACACATATACCGAAGAATAACGAATACATTCTTAAGTATTGACCTTCACTGACCTAACTGGTTTGGGAAAAATTACAGAAAAAAATCGGGAGTTTCTTATTAATTACCTATGGACATGATGTATCGTCTCTAATATCACAATACATCAACACTGTAAGATTTGTTTGGTATGCTTGACAAAAGAAATACAAAATTCAGGCTGTCTTTCAAGACCTTTAAGTACTGCTATTGTTAAATTTACACCTTTTCAAAACAGAAAGGCATCCAAATTCAAGACCTTTTTTAGCATGTTTAGCATTGGCAAAATTCTTTTAGCATTTTTTACAATATGATTGTCAAAAGCCTAAAATTAGCATACATCAAGGTATATGTTCATGAATAATAAGAAAAAAAACACACTATTTTTTCACTAGAAAGAAAACACATTCAATGGCTTCTGTTCAACCACCAGTGAATGGAAATGCAGTTTCTGCTATATATCCACCATGGAAAAAAACGCAATATAAATTGACTAATATCTTTTTTTGTATATCATAATTTGATTTGTAACTTACCACACATTTGCCAATGATGCTCTCCACATCAACTTCACAGGCCACCAACTTGTCCGTGTTGAGGAACACCTCACGGTCATCACCCACATCCGATAGTTTACACAAGTCTTGCTTGGGGAGCTCACTGAGGCGCCAGTACCAAACTAAACTGGCCGTCTTCTTCACATCCTTCTTTACACCTGAGAAGTATATACATACCTCTTAATTTCTCATTAATTTCAAATTGACATTTCAACCAAAACTGTTCAGATAATCTCATCAATGTAGTAACTATACTTATTTGACATTTCATGTCACCCTCAAACCAAACATTGTCAGCTTCAATCAATTACAACATAGAAACAGCCACTGTGATGGCGTGTATATTGCAATAAACACATCTCTACCTAGCTGTGATATTTGTCAGGAAGCTTTTAACACTATGGTGTGAATACAGTCTGGTTTAATCTAGAATACTGTTTTCAATATATGCAGACAATTGAGTCTGCAGCCTGACATGTCACATGACCTGAAAATCACAATAAAATGTTTTGTTGTAATCATACTCTAAATTGGATCAGGGCACAACCCATTACAAGGCATTCTTAACGAGCTAGCATCCTGTCTGTAGGTGTAACAGGTAAGCTGCCCACAGTCCTGTGCATGGCCGAAATTAACACCTAGTTAACTTGTCAAAACAGTGTTTACAGCACCAGGTTGAGATGTCATCACTTGAGCTGACTGTTAGAGAAACTGATTCCTCCAGTCTGGTAATTAATCTGCTCCAGTTCCCAAAAGTAAGAGGTCCAATACTTTGCTAGATGCAAAGCTAACTATTTCTGAAAGATGGTCAGCTACTCAGCAATATTCAAGCTATATAACAGCGATCTGTAAATAATCAAGTCTGGAACAGACAATCCAGTGATTGACATCATGAGCATCAATCTACGCAACTGGGATATGATGACATCCACCAACAAAGTCAGCAAGCCTGACCACCCGATCCTGTTAGCCTCTTACAACAAGCATAGTTGCCTTTTACAGCAAGCATGGTTTGCTGAAGACCTTTTCTACACAGGATCTATCAATTTCTAAAAATCAAATCTCATCAATTCGGAAATAGAAATCTTATCAATACCAAAAACAGGTGGGCTGCTCCGCACGATGGAGTTCAGAATATCAGTGGACGTATCGGGCAATCATTTTCTGAATTGAAAATATCTCATGTTTGAGCGTGTTAGTGAGTATGGTTTTACACACGGTTTTAGCAATATTCCAGCAATATCACGGCGGGGGACACCAGAAATGCGCTTCACACACTTTACCGATGACGGGAATCGAACCCGGGTCTTCGGTGTGCCGAGTGAACGCTTTAACCACTAGGCTATCGACCGCCCCCCTCATGTTAATTGTTTGATAGTTTGCAGCACAGATCCTTATGAGTGAGTGAGGTTTTACCCTGCTTTTAGCAATATTCCAGCAATATCCTGGCAGGGGACACCAGAAATGTGCTTCACACATTGTACCCATGTCAGGAATCGAACCCAGGTCTTCGGCGTGATGAGTGAACGCTTAAACCACAAGGCTACCCGACCGCCCCCCTCATGTTTGATAGTTTGTTTAAGTATTAGCAGCACAAATCCTTATGAGGCAAATGCATAAAAACTTATTCACTTTTATCATATAAAGCTTTGATTCTTCCAATGTAAGCTGTTGCTGTATCTTCATCATCCTTGTCTTCTGATGACACAAATACAAAGTCCTTTTCAAGATATTCTTCTCCCTTAAGAAGGAAGCCTCTGAAACAAAAGAACATCATTTAGAGATATCACCATGGCAATCGGATCTTCATGTCCCACCACAAATGTTGAGCATAACAAAACATACTAGAGGTACATACAGAAATATTGTCCTACATGTACCACTTTTGTTTGTTTGTTAGTTGTTTAACCCCCCACGCAGCAATATTCCAGCTATATGACGGAGGTCTGTAAATAATCAAGTCATGAGCATCGATCCACGCAATTGGGATCCATGACATGCATCAACCAAGTCAGCAAGCCTGATCACCTGATACCCTGGTAGGGTCGGGTAATAGGGGGATGGGTACCGTCCCAGTCCTTATTTCACAGGCCCTTGTGTCTTTCTTTAAATATTTCTAGATCAATTAATATATTGGATAGTGCATTTCTGATACTCGTGATATCAACTGATCTACATATATATATATATAAACGACACTAGTGCATGTGGCCATTTAAATAATATTCTATCAACATGATTATTAGTTACAATTTACATGCATATATTGTCCTGTCCTAACAAATTATTTTCTATGAATATTTAAATTTTAGTATCTCTTAGTCCATCAAAATGATCACGGAAGATGAAATAAATGACAAACTTAAAGTTTGTTTCGTGGGTTTTGACTCCCGTCATAATTAATATTCAAACTGATAATAGAGCATGTCGCTGACAATAGGCTTTAACAAAAATCCATGCACTGACGGGATATTTTGTGTTACATTAAGTTCAAGCAACCTGTATCGATGATGTCGTTTATCATCAGTCTGAGGGCCTCTTCCGAGCCAAGACGCCTCATCAAGTTTTGGTCCACGGAAATATCTCCGCTCAGAAGGCATCTTGAAATCAACAAGCTTTCAGAGGAACATGCTGTGTTGTTGTCATTCTCGCAGCGCCCCCTAGTTTCGCGCCAAACTGAACGCGCTATAGACCGTTTCAAAACTTTGGGAATAACGCGATGTATTTGTGTCGTTCTTTACTCATCAGATTAATGAAATGAATAAAACATTATACCTCTAAATCGAAATTCGTTTTTCAAACAGAAAGATTTATTTTTCCTGTGGTAGCCATGAGGATCTGTGAGCAGCTAGGTTGCTTAGTATATGGGTATTTGCTGAGTGCGGCGTTAAACAACAAACAAATAGTATATATTTAGCAGCCGGGCACGGACAAGTTAACAGTTTGTTTATCTTACGTGTAATATTAGACTTATATAAAACACGTGTAATATTAGACTTATATTACCTCGATCAATAGTAATACTAAATTGTACTCAGCTATACCAATCAGCTCGCTCAACATCTCCAATGTTATCATCATACTCCACATCTACCAGTTCGATGATGATGCTATCAGAGGTTTTACGAGTGCTTCCGGTGGAACCAATTTCCCACGAGAGTCAACTCTAACAGTAAGTGAGTGAGAAGGGTTTTATCAATATTCCAGCAATATCAAGGCTTCACACATTGTACCCATGTGGGGAATCGAATCCAGTCGGTGTGACGAGCAAACGCTTTGATATAGGCTACCCCACCGCCCCTCTAACATGCAGTAGTGCCACAGCTACGGAGGCTGCAGGGCGCATCCCTGGTTTGAGGAGCATATCGGACCATGGCAGACTGTTAGGAACCATCTTCGCGAGGCTGGAATCCGACCTAGGAGACCAGTTATCGTCCCTGTTTTGCGACAGATCCATCGACAGCGACGCTTGCGTTGGTGCCATACCTTACAGCCTTGGAATTTGAGAAACTGGATTTCCTACACCACGAGATCTGACTTGCTTGTGGTTCAGGGAAATTTGACAGCAAATCGCTACATGAATCAAATTCTTCTTCTCACCTTCTTCCAATCATTGACCGCTAGAGGGAGCTGTTTCAATAGGACAACGCTCCACCGCACACAGCTCGTGTCACGGTAAACTACCTCCATAATGCCAACATCAACGCCTTGCCCTGGCCGTCGAGATCTCCAGATCTCAACCCAATCGAACACCTCTGGGATGAACTCGATCGACGTGTACGTCAACGTCAGAAGACGCCACAGACATTCCCACAACTGGCCAACGCGTTACAAACAGAATGGCGCAGAATTCCGAAGGGCAGAATTCGTACACTTATCCGGTCAGTGCCGAGGAGATGATTGCTGCCCGGTGTGGTCACAGCCAGCACAGCGAGTTCAGCGCAACCTTGTGGCTTTATGTGACATGACAATGAACAGTTTTCGAGCTAAGTGGAGTTAATGACATGTTGATCCTGAAAAATTCAAAAGATTTTCTTGAAGTTGTAGTTTCTTTGTTGTTTAACACCGCACGCCCAATATTCCAGCTATATGACGGCGGTCTGTAAAATAATCGAGTCTGGGCCAGACAATCCAGTGATTGACATCATAAGCATCGATCCACGCAATTGGGATCGATGACGTGTATCAACCAAGTCAGCGAGCCTGACCACCCGATCCCGTTAGTCGCCTTTTACGACAAGCATAGTCGCCTTTTACGGCAAGTATGGGTTGCTGAAGACCTATTCTTTGCATGCGAATTTAATTTTTTTCACTGCTTAAGTTCAACCTCAGTTTCATCATCTCTTTCATCAATACCAGGATAAATTAGTATATTTTATTTATGTCATTGTTTATGACTGTTTAGAAACTGAAAAAGCGAAAAGAATGATTTTTGATGATAAATAGAATCTCAACCTTGTGGTTTTATTCTCTTTTTTTTATATCAAATACTAGTATGTCGAGACGATAAAAGTTCAAAACTCCGTTTTATATCTGGAATATGGCAGACTGGCGTTTCACTCAACAAGCAAAAATAAAAAAATACCGGTACAGAATACAGAATAAAAGCGTTTTCATTCCATTTTCAAATTCAAATGTTTTCTTGTAAATATGTTTTAAGTATTTTACACGTTGTTTTATGGTATTCTACCATTCATTCCATTTCAAATTCAATTTTTTTCTTGTAAATATAATGTTTTAAGTATTTTACGGACAACTTGGTATTCTACGGTATTACTAAAGTTTCCATCATCGTGAAATGATCATTGCTTCCGAATTAGGTTTGTGCGACGTACATACGTCTTTGTTGCGATAAACGCCGCATGCAGATATTCACGCCAACCTCCTCAGTGTAAGATGGTTTAGTTTTGGGTGCCGGTGGTCTAAAGCCCGTACTTTGATAGTATAACATGTAGTGTTGATATATGAGGCATGTATATGTGTTGGTATGAGTATTTTTTAAATGTTATTTTTTATTAATCTACGGTTTGTGATATCTTCCTGACATCTTACTTGCCTCTGTGGCAGATTTTTATCAATATAACTGTTCTCGTCACAACATGGCTCAAATATTGCTGATGTGATGTTAAATTATAACTCACTCATATACAATCACTATCGCCTTCACTATCGCCTTCTGGGCGTCATCGACTTGCGCATCGAAGCAGCTTTCTGATATCAAGAGACGGGACCCAGCCTAATACAACCGGAACCGGAAGCGTACTGCTCGTTCATTTGAAACAACATGGCGAATCGCACAGTGAAAGATGCACATTCTATCAAAGGAACGAATCCTCAGTACTTGGTTGAGAAAATCATACGCACACGTATCTACGAATGTAGATATTGGAAGGAAGAATGCTTCGCTCTTACAGGTGCCTCATATGTTTTTCACTTTCTAGAGACTATTAAATCAAACATGCAAACATACCTTCTCGTCACCTGTTTTCGTGGCAACAGTGTAACATGCTATAACGCGCAGTGGAAACACTTTAGGGCGGCATGTGCTAAATTTTATGGACGCTACATTTGTCGTGTTAATGGACAGATGATAAATTGGAAATAGTTTAAGTGATCATGATTCTAAAAGTTGAAGACGTGAACCGAAAATGTTAATTGTATGGACCGAATGTACAGTACAATAATATAAATGACCACATCATTACTTCTTTGATTGACATTCTAGAAGTTGTTGAATAAGTAAGAAAACTGGAATACTTTATCGATAAAAACTTCTGGTTTATTGCAATAACCCAGAAGTTGTTATCCATAAAGTTGTACGTTTTCTAAACTAGCACATGATTGTTTTGATGTGTGGTCATGTATCTTAATCCGGTGTTAATCACTAAGTAGACGAGCACTAATTTGGTGTCATAGTGGCCATGGTTTTGACTTTGGCTCTGGAGGTGAAATGGTGTTTAACATCGCATCCAAGGTTATTGCACTTATATAGCAACGTGCATGTATGAGTGTGTGTTTGTGTGGCTGCTTGTACTACTGCGGACTCATGCCGATTTATAGTGCTAGCTCACTGAGATACCATGCCACAGTTTAACATGAATACCCCACTCAGACACGGTATACTGACTCGAACCGACCAGTCCTTGTTTTAGCCCCTTAATGCCGAGCGCCAGACAGGGTAACAACAAGTACCATCTTTTTGGTATGACGCTGCCGGGGATCAAACCCCGGACATCCGCTCTTTGGGCGGACGCTCTACCACCAGACCAAGGAGGCAGTCGCTTTTGCTCTGGGAAAAGGAAACATCGTTGTGTGCTGTTTTCAAGCTGTTTCATTGGTGATTTCGCCAAATGTGTTACAGGAGAGAAGTTCGTTCAGTTAGCCAGATTAGGGGTTGTTCTGAACCTGTTCAAGTCACCACAACACTTATCCTCTACCGAAATAATGCTAATTAAAGTCAGCAAAACAGAACACTGTAAATAGAGTTTACTACACAAGTGTCTGTCAGATACAATTTATCTTATGATTTGTTTCAAAATGTATAGAACAAGCTAAAGTGAGTTATGTGTATTAAAACAGGTTGTAAGATAAATCATATATTACAGGCATGAATCGATGATTATATTGTCTATTCTCATGAATAGTAGTAGCACTTTAATACATAGCACAATGGTCATGAGTGATGTCATCCAGCTTCCTGCTTAGTACTTATGCCAAGTGTGACCCTCCACAAAAACGTTTCAGTCATATCTGTTGATGATAATGAAAACTAAATAAGATCAAAGAACACTTATCAAACACTCTAAAAAACTATTTATAAAATGTTTCAAAACAGATGTAGGTAAAGTCTACTGATGCACTTGAGGCTTATAATGAATTACATTCAGGAAAGTAGTGTGTCATTATATGACCTTATGTCCTCACCATGGAGTAGCCAATGACAGACCTGGAGGGACGGTAGGGTAGCCTTGTGGTTAAAAAAAGTGTTTGTTCATAAACCCGAAGACCTGGGTTCGATTCTTCACATAGGTACAATGTGTGAAGCCCATTTCTGGTGTTCCCCACAATGATATTGCTGGAATATTGCTAAAAGCTGTGAAAAACAATACACATGTGTTTGATACCTGTTATCTCAATGGGCTTTCTTACCCACAGATGTGTAACTAAGATAGTGCTGTACTCCCTCAATATGTGTTGTGCTTGCCCTACTGCTGGTGACTGTTTATCCTGGTAGTTGACATGTAAGGGCAAATGTCGATTTTTTATTGTAGGAGTATCATTGTCAAGAAAATACCCTGCGTCTCATTTTAACTAAAATGCAAGTATTTCTGTACATTTTCAGCTGCCTTAATGGTAGACAAAGCCATGGAGCTGAGGTATGTGGGAGGCATCTATGGGGGGAACATCAAGCCCACACCATTCCTATGTCTGGTTCTGAAGATGCTGCAGATCCAACCTGAAAAGGACATTATTGTGGAATTCATCAGAAATGAAGATTTCAAGTAAGCCACCTGATTATGAGTCATGCACTGACAGCACCGTTCCAAGTGAAATCATCCAAATAATTATGTTTGCAGATTAATGAACCATGACAAGACTAGAGAGTAATTTCCATTTGTATTCATTTAGATATACCATGAATACTCACCATGCTAACAGTAATCATTGTAATCATCCCTGAAGACTGGGTATCACATGGGGCACAGTAAACTAGGGGCACAGTGGCCCAGTCGTCTAAGGCGCAGCGATTCTCTGTGCAGAGTTGCGTCTCTTAGGCACGCCAGAAACCTATGATAGTGTGTTCAAATCCCGGTTCGCCCCAGTTATGTTTCTAGGTTTGTCAGCACCATACCCGTGCTTGTGGGTTTCACCGAAGTGGTAAACGTCTGAGATTTACATCACTTCGGGCTTTCCTCCCACAATAAGCTGACACGCCGTGATATAACTGGAATATAGGTTAAAGGCGGCGTTAAACCCAACTCACTAAATGGGTATCCCAACACTTCTACTATCGGTAGCACTATTTGAATAAGAGAAGTTTACTGGTGGGACTAAATGTTAGTCTACTCTTACAGTTGACCATCTTCCCGAGCCCACTAGTGTCCACTAGCCTATATCTAAGCCTAGTTTCTACCCTTGCCACATCAAGGCCACTTTTCTTAGCTTAGCCCTGGCAGCACCTCATGTAGATCACGGGTTGTGCCACTTGTGATGAAAACGTGATATCCAATCTGATCGCTGTTCTTTTCTTGTATGGCTTCACCAAAATATCGACGACCATAGGCGACGACCTCGTTGATCAGACAATGAAAACATTCGCAATTTCATCCCTGACACAAAAATATAGGCAATCTTTGGGGGGTTTAAAAGATGAAAAAGATGTATTCGTGTCAACAAAGACTGTGATAAACGTGGTAAATTACGAAGGTGTACAGTCGTGGATGTTGATTTTGTGAAACGTTCACTGATTGGACTAATGATATGTGCGATAGTCCAATCATATTGAGCACAGGAAAGTGGGCTGGATGTGGAAAGGGTGGAAACAAGATTTTGAAAAAAATGCTACGGGATGCTCTGACTGGCTGGCTGGCAGTGAAATAGACCCCCACCTCTGTCGAGTGATGATTCTAACCATGAGCCAAGTCCAGTTGCCTCGAACTTTAACCAGTTGTGATTTATGATCACTGATGTCTCCACTCTCAAGAGTATAATATGAATTTATCGTAACCTCAGCATAAATCATGATATACAGCAGAATTATTTCACTTACAGTTCTGACCTCATTGCCAATGATATGATTTAACCTCGTTGTGTTTATGATGTAACACTCTCATGTATGAAATACAAAAAATAAGAGTTGCAGAGTTCAAGATCCAATGTTTCAACCTCTACAGGAAATAATACAAGTTGCAGCAGGATCACGAGGGGTAAATGGGGTTTTATGCATCCCACATTGGGTTTTATACCACAGGCCGAACATCCATTGACCTAGGAAAAGTGTGCGACCCTTTTGCTTTGAAGTGGAGTATAAGGGATTTTTTCTGCCTCTCAGAAATCCACATGCAGCCTGACTAGCTCATGGTGGGGTATAAGAGATTTATTCCCCTGCTGAGGAATTTATTCCCCTTCAAGGTGGGATACACTGTAAGTTGTAGGAGGAGGGGTATCCTGAGGTTTCATGCGTCCTGAGTCAGGAGCCTCTGGCTCATGGTATAAAACCTAATGAGGTACACATAAGACTCCATGTACCCTGAGTGATCCTGCTACAACAATTTCTCTCACCAACATGTTTTATTATGACATTGTAAAAGAATTCGAACAAATTCATAATTGATAGAAAATAGCGGTTCGATTAAGCTGAGGTTAACTATGTCACATGACTTCCATTAACTTGGGAAAAGTGTGCAGCTTTTTGCTTTGAAGCGGAGTATAAGGGATTTGTTCTGCCTCTCAGAAATGCATGTGCAGCCTTAATTGCTCGTGGCACGGTGTAAGGGATTTATTCAGCCGCTGAGAAATTTGTTCCCCTCCAAGGCGGGATACATGATATTTTATCAAGATCACATGGACCAAACAGATCTCATCATTCTGACATGGAGGTATGACAATACATTGTATTCAGAGCCTTCTGTCATTGCTTGACAGTGCCTGTCCATGGGTGTTGTAGGTATGTTCGAGCTCTGGGCGCCACCTATATGAGACTTGTCGGGACATCGTTAGACTGCTACAAGTATCTGGAGCCACTCTACTATGACTACCGGAAACTACGGAACATGAACAGATCTGGAGGTGAGTACACATGGACAAACATATGCCATCTCTTGTTTGACTGGTCATGTGTTCAGACCCGGAGTGGAGTGAACATGGTGAAATTTCCAAAATTAGAATAAGAAAATCAAAATTCAGTTTGTTTTTCTCAATTTTTGGTAAAGTTTCAGATATGTAAAAGTGACTTGTATTTCCTTATGACAGAACTAATGTTTTATTTATGATTTGCTAGCTATTGCCATATGTTCAAATTCAAAATAAATCCCAGTGTACTAAGGTCTACTTGTAACAGCCAAGAACTGAACAAGATCGCATGCCATTCTCCATTGTGGGGGGGGGGGGGACTTTACTGAGACTAACTATCAAGCATTTTGACTGTGCCGCTAGCGCTAATGTTTGTGTCTGCATACGACTGTCTATTTTTCAGAATTTGAAGTGATGCACATGGATGAATTTATTGATGAATTATTGCGAGAAGAAAGACTCTTTGATATCATCCTTCCAAGAATACAGGTAACATTTCATGTACATACACGTCCTCATGCAAGGTGAACACAATGGTTGTTTTACCGTTAGTATGGTTTTAGTCTGTGCTGCAGCTTAGTATTTATTTTCAGGATATATACTGATACTTTTTCGACAGACATCTGGCATTGCCAGATTAAGGTAGATACTTTTGATATCTATGGGTGATCGCCTTACTGTCCTGTGCTGGTTGTTATACTGTCATTCAAGTTTTTTTAATATTATATGCAGTCAAACATCGTTATGTCGAAGGTAAAGGGACCCATGTAAATACTTCGCGTTAGCCGTGGTTAGACACAACCAAAAACTGATGAATAAGTAAGGAATATGCAGGGACCAAATTTTTACTTCGAGACAACCATAAGTTCGACACATCAAAGTTTGACACAACAGTTTTCGACTGTAAATGCATTGCTGTTCAAGTCACAATATGGCTGAAATATTGCCATTGTCACAAATATTAAATCATTCATTCACTCTTGTGGGGGCGGTGGGGTAGTGTAGTGGTTAAAGCAGTCGCTCGTCACGCCGAAGACCTGGTCTTGATTCCCAACATTGGTACTATGTATGAAACCCATTTCTGATATTGGTGGAATATTGCTAAAAGCAGCGTAAAGCCCTACTCACTCACTCACTCACTCCTGGGGGGCGGTCGGGTAGCATAGTGGTTAAAACATTCGCTCGTCACGCCAAAGACCCGGGTTCGATTCCCGACATGGGTATAATGTGTGAAGCCCATTTCTGGTGTGCCTCGCCGTGATATTGCTGGAATATTGTTAAAAGCGGCATAAAACCATACTCACTCACTCACTCACAAACACTCCTGGTTGTGATGGTAAAAATATTTTATTCATAGCTGAAAACAAGAATGCTGACATGATTGTGACATGATACATCAAATTGAGTGTACAATGTGTAGGTTTGTATTTATGAAGCAAGACATTGTAGTCATTCAGTCATTCTGAATTTGAAATATATTTTTTAAATGAAATATTTATTTGATTTACATTTATCAACATGATCAAGCACCTAATACATTTTACTGTCTTCAAGCATTCAATAAAATATTTTTTTATGTGTGTTCCTTTCTTCCTTTGCCATGTCTACCATGTTTACTTGATAACATATGATGTCAATCACTGGATGCATGGTCCCAACTCGATTATTTACAGACCACTCTCATTATCTGGCATATTGCTGCGTGTGGCGTTAAACAAGCAAACAGACTTGATGAAATACACAGTATATGTTGTCCCACCAAGTATTCATGCTTCACATAAGTCACATCAGTTGACAGTTAATGGACCTAAGATGCCCTGAACAATATGGTTAATAAAATACATACCAAAAACATACTCCTCACCTGACATTTTTAGCTTACCTGAACTCACATCGTGGCTTTTCATCTTCACTCGTTAACTAACTATGAAAGTCCAGTTTCCACTAGGCTTGAATTTCCTTGCTCAGTCGTAGTGCCATCAGTGGACATTGCTAGTTAAGTCCCTTCTATGTCACTCCTACTGACCTATCTGATTCCTCCTCTCATATCACTTGCATTTTCTTCAAACAAAATGGCGGCACCCAGTCAAGACGATCTGATAAGATGGGCCTTACCTCGCGAAGCTCATCAAATTACTTGAGCACCTTGATTAAAAACATGAAAAGATTTGGAAAACATCTGTCAATGCCAAGTTGACGGAACACATGCTTTGCAAATCCTGCAGTTGACCAAAATCTGCACGTTGAAATCCATGTTTACGAACCAGATGTCTAGTTCATTACGCGATTTTGATTGGACTATGCATGGACTCTGTAGTCCAGCTGGCATTCCAGCCTAGTACAGCAAAGGTGGAAACTTGACTTTTATAGTCCGTTAACTCCCTTACCTCAGGAAGATGGGTTAGAATAGGTCATCAGGAAACCATGGTTGTTGTAAAACATGACTAAAGGGATCAGTAGGTAAGACAGCCTGTCTTGGTTGATGCACGTCATCGTATCCCAATTGCGTGGGTCAATGCTCATGATATCAATCAATAGATAGTCAAACTGTCCTGTTTGATTATTAACAGATCGCCGACAGGTTACATAGCTGGAATATTGCTGAGTGTGGCAGTAAACAACAAACAAACATGCTCGTTCTCACCAATGATGATACCTGAATTTGTTCAAGAGGTTTGATTCTGATTTTCAACATGGCCACCATGACAGCCATATTGAAAAAGTTATGTATAGCCATTACTCAGTCAATTTTGTTCAAAATGTAATGCAACTTGGTACATGTGTACTTTAGCCATACTGAAAGCTGAAACTTCTCATGGCCATAATTTGGCCATTTGCTTTCAAAATGAAATTTGATATATGTTATAGTTTATACTACTCAGGCTCAGAACATATGTACTGTTTTTTTCAATATAATATTATTAGACTTTAATTTGACCTGTTAGCTTCGAGCTTCGAGCTAAGTTCTCTTACTGAATTTCCTCACACCTTAATACATCTCAGAAACCACTGGACCGAAGAAGCTGAAACTTAACCATGTTAACATTCTTCTTCCCACCAATGATGACACCACAGTAGCCATTTTGAAAAATCAACTTCTAGTTCAAAATGTAATTAAATGTGTTTAGTTTCTTGTAGGATTCATCATTAGGGCTACATTTTAAGAATTTTTCCTTGCCCTTAAATCCTCTCAAAACGAATATTTGGCTTTGTAAACTCCTCCTCCTTTGGCCTGTAAACTCAAGCCAGACTGAGGAAGCTAAACTTAGGTTCAAATCATCAGATTTTAGTGTTAGTTTTCCTTAGTGTTTATGCAGACATTTTTTCATTAAAGTGGCTGTCTTTAAACTGAAGAATACATATTCAGATGAGCAACAGTGCCATGACACTACTTTTTGAAGATTTGGATGAAAATATAATACTGATCATAAGTTTGTCATGGCCTAAAAAATAAATTTTATTAAATTCTGATCAAGTAGTAAGAGGTATCCATTTCAAGTATGTAAGTATCATCATGGGTAAAGGGCAATAAACTGAGCATTATGAAACTGATTAAGGATTTCTGATTTTCCTTACTGGTTGTCATGGTTACAGAAGCGGTGCGTGTTGGAGGAGACCAACCAGCTGGAGCCCCGAGTGAGTGCAGTGGAGGAAGACCTTGAGGACATGGAAACAGACGAGGAAGAGGAGCTGGTTATGGTTTGTTAAACTTAAATCATGGATATGTGTATGCAAATAAGCACAGTAAAATATCTGGACATTCCTGAATCATTTAGATTAAATTAAAATTGAAATCAAGTCTCTTTGTTCAAACATTTAAGTTAGTTAAACTTCATTATATCTCGTTCAGCATTTAGGGGCATTGGTGCCCAGTTGTCTAAGGCACCACACTTGGCTGTGCTGTTACATCTTTTAGGAGTGCTAGAAGCCTATGTTCCTGGCTTCAAATCTCAGATGCACCCTCATTATGATTCATGGTTTGTCAGAACTGTGCCCATGCAGGTGGGTTTCATCAAAGTGGTAAATGTCCAACACCTGCTTCACTTAGGACTCCCCTCCCACATCAACTGACATCACGTGGCATTCAATCTTTTTTTGCATTAAACACCATCCTCCAGAGTACTACCCGGACTTTCAAGGACAGTGCTGTTGTCTGATATATTAAATTCCTCACATTTGGTGCTATATGACATGATGTATGCAAGTGTCTTGAGTATGATATGGGATGTTGTATGAAAGTATGGTCTGTGGCTTTGTCAGGAATCTAAAAGGAGTCCATCACCAGAGAAGTCAAAGAGTCATCGAGATATGGACAAAGCGAGAAGTCCATCACCCCGATTCCGTCGCAGTAGGTCAAGGTCACCACATAGGAGGTACGTTTATGATTCACAATTGACAGTTATTTTGAATCATCTTCGTCTACGATATAGGCTACATACATTCATAGACCCCTGAAGATCCGGGTAAGAAAAGGTCTTCAGGAACCCATGCCTGCCGTAAAAGGCGACTATGCTTGTCGTAAAAGGAGACGAACAGGATCGGGTTGTCAGGCGCTCTGACTTGGTTGATGCATGTCATTGTATCCCAATTGTGTGGATTGATGCTCTTGACATTAATCACTGGATTGTCTGGTCCAGACTTGATTATTTACAGATCGCCGTCATATAGCTGGAATATTGCTGAGTGCGGCGTTAACCAACAAACAACAACAACACTAATGACAGTTATTTTGAATCATCATCGTCTACTATATAGGCTACATACATTCATATCATTGTAACTGTAACACAAAGTCATTCCATTCACGACCAACATGTACTATGTTAACCATCATTACGTTTCATGTTGATCCTAGAATGCTGGATTAGGATCTTGGACGGCAACAGTATGTTGAGGGTTCACTGTATGTGATAAATGTTTTTGCAGAGACAGAGACAAAAGTCCATCCCGACGCAAGAGGTCAAGGTCGCGGGAGCGAGAGAGAAGACATGGTCACAGATCACATAAAGAAGATGATGATGATAGGTAGGAAGATTGTCTGGACATTGTCACTGTAAACGGGGTCCACTGTGGGGTTGAGGGGTCCTTGATAAACTGAGCATCATTTCTTATACAGTAAACTACTGTTAAAACAAACTGAAAGGGACCACTAATTTTGGTTCATTATAAATGAAGTTCATTATAAGCATATAAACAGGATATACACAGCAAATGACCCTGACCAAAATAACAGTATGTTATATCCGTCAGTGTGTTATAAGCGTGTTCGTTATAAACATAGTTTACTGTACTTATTTCCAATATTCAACTGTACATTGCTTCAAACATCACATGAATCATTCCCAAAAGAATAATGATATTTCAAAACGCAAACAACTTTGTATATATAACAAACTGTACAAGTCAGATAACAGCAATCATGGCGTCTGAAACTTGCTATGAAGAACAGGGTAGACTCCAGTTGATCTTGCTGTGATAGTCAAAGCTGAAATATAAAGGATATTGAGTTTGCCTACCAGTAAATGTTGTTTTAATTTGGGCAAGTGTAGAGAACATATTGGCAAAATTCAGTGTTTTCTGTTTGCGGTAATATTAACATTAAGAAATTGTTTGAACTTAAGCATAAAAATCAAGGGGTCCTTGTCATAATCCATATGTTAGAGATTAAAGATTTTGGGAGTTCTCCTTTGGAATAACATAGAAGACCTCAAGGACCCAAGGACCGCTATTACTTTGGAACACTGTTTAAGGGTATTCTCCTGTACCCTGAGGTAGGCTGTACGTATGTGGAGGTTTATATCTACCATGCCTCTGTGCAATGTTACAGGAGGAGGAGATCTAAGAAAAGCAAGAAAGACAAGAAGGATGACGATCGACACCGGGATCGCGATCGGGACCGGGACCGGGAACGCGACAAGGACAGGTCTCGACATCAGGACCATGATCGGGACCGACGTGATCGTGGGGACAGATCACGTGGAGGGGGTCTTAAACAAGAGATTAAGGAAGCGAATGAACTACGGGCAAGGCTAGGCTTGGCACCACTGAGGCCATGATTGACCGTATCTGTTATGAAAGGTTTCTTAATGCATGACAATTGGTAATATCCACTGAGAAAGATCAGTTCAGGATCTTTGAAATACAAATGTTCCTGTGTTGATGGTCTATTTCTGTAGGGCAGGACTCAGATCTCTTTGGCCAAGTTGTGAGATCTTAACAGCTATAAACAGCAATGCAGATTTCAGTCAAAAGTACAGCCGAATCTTTCAAAGCTCTTTTGAAGTAATACTTCCATTCAGTGCGAGTTTTGTTTCATTTTCAAGGGAATCAAATAACTGTATGTGTATTTGAGGATTAGCCTGATGTGAAAGTGAATTTCCCAGCTTTTCATGAAGCTTGTGTATATATCAATTTTAACATGACTAAAATGATTGCAATGTGTGTCATCTATATTGAATTTCATGATCATTGTGTAAATAAAGTCATCATCAATGAATCTGTATTAAGTCTTTACCGTATATTAAGGCAAGTGCTCGAAGAGTGGTGATGCTATGGTGAACCCAGCTGAAAGTTGTCATAACAGCACACAACCCTGGTGTTTCTGCTTGATCTTCTTGAACAAGACACCACCACCAGCAGATTCTACTGGGACTAGGAGACAAATTCAGGAAAATACTTAACTTAGTCAATAAAGACCAAACAGATTTTGCAATGCTGGATTTACACAGTCAGTGTCCGAAATAATTGCCTGCCTGCCTGCCTGTAGCTGGTAACTTTTCTGTCAGGCAGTGTGAAATTTTCTACCACCTGTCTAGCAGATAATTTTAAGACCACTTATATATTCAGTTTAATCATAACTCATTGTAGATTCTCTAGTGATACATTGAATTATTTCAATTGAATCAAGACACAATTGGTCTCATATTTTTTGCAATTTTTCAAAAATGTTCAAAATTTATGTCTGAATGCAGGCAGGTAACTTTGAAGATGGGCAGGCAACATGTATGGGTCACCTGTCTTGTTGGGTTTTAGAAGTATTGCAAACACTGCACCCAGTGCACGTTCATGTGATGCTTTCCTAAAACTATCACATGTTCCATACACTAAGCACAGGCCAGAAGAGAGTGAGTAAATACGGGTGACTGACTGGTACAGCAACTATCCATGCTGTTGGGGTACAGTGATATGCACTCTGCAATGTGTCACATTGTTACCACCAGGGCCCTGGTGCGCAAAGCAATCTTAGAACTAAGAGGATCACAACACCCATACATTAACACAGACTTCCTATAATCGTAGGGCTAAGATTGGTTTGTGCAACGGGGCCCACATTGCATTGCTGATTCACAGTCCAGTGCTATCATTTAGTGAAGTATTAATTTCCAGAGAATCAAGACTGATATTCTGGCATTTGATCAGTTCAGATAAGCTGACCATCAGAAGTACTTTTGCAGTCGTTCTTCTTATTGACAGCATTTGCAAATGTAGAAATATGTTTATCCATGTTGCCAAGGGGATATGTTAGTGTTGCAATGCTGGAAAATGGAACATGCTTGGGTGGAGCGCATGTTTGATTCAAAATGGAAGCCCCCAGCAAATCACAGAGAATAGTCTCTCTTCAAGACAATCATGCAGTAAGGGGTATACCATAAGAAATTACACTGCGATGTTGGTGCACCAGTACTTGTAGCTTCAGCCTTCATGAACCTGAAGAAATTTGGACCTGGGAGATCCAGTCAAGGTTCCATCTCTCATAAACAAAGTCCATACTAGCAATAAAATGGCTACTGTGCCAGTCATAATAAGTTCAGCCTTCTTCTGATACTTGCCAAAAACTGGGAAAATAACACACACAGGACCAATGTTTCTAAAACAAACAAGATACCTTTTAAGCAAACCTCTTTATTAAATACTGGAAAAAACAGAAAAATAAATTGCATCCATTCATGCATTACTTTAATCACAAATCTTAAATATGAACAACTGTTTTGAAGAGAAATAAAACAATTTACATAGTGAGTACCATGTCATTCAGATTTATACTTCTAAGAAGACATTCTTCTCACATGGTAAACCTCAAAATGCTGATATAATCTAAATGCATTATATGCACATATTTGTCTGTTTCACAGGGACAATCATCTCGCATACACACTGATACTACTTTTACTACATAACCATAACCCATGCAAATAGTAACCATGGCAACATAGCATTGAAAGTCTCCAGTCTCAAATATTACATTAAAAAACAACAATGCATCAGACGTGAAACAAATGTAGTTGTGACTGATAACATGCCTTAATCAGTAGATGGGATTTTTGTTGTTGCTATTTGACATATAATACATTCAATATTTTAGTTGTCATTTATTCAAAAAATTGTCTTCAACATGGCCACAGCTGGCACATTAAACGAAAGTCATGTCAGCATTCAGAACCACATGTTTCCCGTCCCACTGCTCTATCCATGTTCCACACGGACCACCACAACTGGCACAAAATAACACCTCACATAACTGGAATAATATCATGCATTTTATGCAGAAGAAAAGACTTTCTGAATATACATGCATTCTTCACCGAGGTTCACATTTCTTTGCACGTTCCAGGAGTAAATATTTCCCCTTGAATGGATCACTGCACATATATAAAAAAATGGCAGACATTTTGCTTATATCTAGTCAAACGCCACCAACGACCATCATGTAGTTATAGCACCTGTCGTAGCTTGTATTAGTCTTAGCACCTGTTGTAGCTTGTGGCAAGTTGTATAATGACTAAGTTATGTAAGATGGAAACAAACAACTGGTTCTCGGGCAATAACTTTCGTTTTTGCTTAGAATGTTTCACTCAGCAATATTCAAGATCCAAAATGGCCACCCGTAAATAATCAAGTCTGCGTCATACAATCCAGTGATTAATATGAGCGATCAGGTGCAATGACAGACTATCAAAAAGTGACTGAGCCTAAGTCTGATGCTTTGAATTCTTTCATGTTTACTGATATGGGCCTGCCCGAGAACCTAGAGGTGTTTCCAACCTTATGCGCAGCATTGAAAATTGTAAATAATCATGAACACTGATGAACACAAAAGGTAAAAAAACTGTTTGATCAATACTTTTGTCACTATGTTACACACGGCTTGGACATTCTGACATGGAGGTGAGATAAGCTTTGGTATGAGATGTTAAACTGTCAGGATTTAGTAATTTGCCATTGTGCCAAGCTACACAGCAGTTGATTTAGAACATTCCTTTTCATGAGATACATTACCGTGACCCAAATCATCAGGATCATTCACACCTTGCACTGAACAGATTCAAACCATCTTATCCAAAATACATTATACAGTACCACATGTTCAATCTGCATCTCGCAACATTTCCTCCTCTTATTATGAACCGTGGATGCAAACCTTGATATGCACTCATATGCCAGTTGACATATTATGAAAACAATACAATTATACAAAATGCCATTTTTACAGCACATGAATTGAACATAATGTTATAAAAGCAAATTTCATAATACAAATGCTACAAAGTTTGGCAAACAAGAATAAATGTCAGGAATGATATTCGTAACATTAAACATGTTAAAGCATTATACCAGTTAACACAATGCGAATGCAACAAATTTAACATTTCAATTATCAATATGATCAACACAGGCAAAATTGGAAAGACAATTGACTTTTAATAGAATTCCCTCAAATTATCAATAATGCAGGATAGCAAAGGATGTATTTCGTTTGATTGCGTTCACATAACAATGAATAATGATGAATAGATTGACTCATTTCAAAAGGCATAAACAGCTCTTTCAAAGAAACTTTTAAAAAAACTGTCAACTAATGTTCTGTCAAGCCATAAGTCGCCTCACAGTCATTTTGACAATGAGCTGGATATCCTCAAACAATTTACTATTGGGAACAATGTTACAAATCACTAATCATTCAGGACTACGGATGAAACCAGCAGAAAGCAACCAAACTGGAATATGTACACACCTAAATAGCCACACCAAGTACAAACAAGACACAATCTCTGTAAAGTGTGCATTGTAATCATTAAAACATGCAACATTTTCGATGGTGACCGCAACTCACGAAATACAGGTGTACTCACTGTGTTGTGGTCTGCATGATCTAGAGTAGTTTGATTAAAGTGTGTAATATTCTTTAATTTGGTTGCTCTCTGCTAGTTTTCATTTGTAGGCCTGTCATTGTGTATTGCAATATTTATTGGATCATCAAACATGTCAAACACGTTCCTTTTTCTACTGGGTATCTTATTCACACAAAAATGCACCAATCACAACAACCTAAAAAGGTTTGTCATGGAATAACTTGGAATACATGAAAATCTATGGCAAGACATTATGAAGCCAGAAACCTAAGTTCCATAGGCCTCTGAGCAATTATGATTACCATTGTTTTGGTTAACACCGATTCCTTAATCAAAGGCAGTTTTGCATAGACATATAACGTCATGAGAAGATGCTCTCATCATCAACCTTTGATGATTCATTACATGTCTACATGAGCTCTATCCCTGAGGGTCCTGGCCAGAACCACGATGGTATCAGTCAAGCCAAGACGTTGTGATCTTATCCTCAAAGAAGACCGCATATACACTTCCTGGAAATCAGGTTTTTGACTTGTCAGTCTTCGCTTGTCATGCAGACATCATCAGCATTATATATTTGTAGGCGGAGAGACTTTTCGTCATCAGACAAACTCTCCATTGTGGCTGTGCTCTCCTGTGACTGAGGAAGATCTTCCTCTGTTTCTCCTTGGCCTTCTTCCTGGACACCTTCACAGTTCAGCACAGGAGGATCAACACAGGAACAGGTAGCATGTGTTGCCTGACCATCAATATACATGTCCACCTCACATTTCAGGTCTTCCCTCCCTATCCTCTGCATCAGCTCCCTTAACAGTGACGTGTTGTATCTGGATATTTTTTTCTGTCCATGCAAATGTCCAAGTAGGTCAGCAGCATTTCGTATTTCACAACATTTCTTTGTCTTGATTACATCGTCTGCTGAGAGGACAAGTTTCATCTGCGAATATTCTTCATCATTAATGTGAGTCGAAATGTGCAACATCAGTTTGGCATAATCAGAAAAATGACCACTTGTTCTGTTTTCTAGTAACACTTTTGTCAGTCCTTTGGAGGCATGTTGATGTTGATGATCTTTCTCGGAGCCATCATTTCTCTCAGAGACTGGCTTAATGTCGGTGAACCGCTTGCTTCGAACTGCTGCCATGATTCTGAAAGAATATGAACAATTATTCAGGTTATCCACTTTACAATTTTTATATTTAAAGACATTTTGCATAAATTAGAAAATTTATGATATTGGTATTCTTATTTTATCTTCAAACATATTTTCATTAAATCCAGAAAACTATAGGTCCCAAAAATAGATCTAAGAGGTCATAGCTTCATATGGTCATTAACATTATGGACTGCACGAACAGGGTTGGGAAATGACAAGATTGATGAGGTGAAAGGAATTGAGGACAAATTTCATTACATGATTCACGATATCTAACGATAAAACTGTTCAAAACATTTGCACAGAAATATTCTTATCAGAAAAAAAGAACATTAGCTCTATGAGAGTATGATGTATGAAACATTGAAATAGTTGCACATGTATGTTTAAAGCTGAGCTGACAGGCTTCAGCCAATGTGCAAACAAAAATTACAAAAGTTTTGTGATGTATGTCAATTTGTAGCAGTTCATGATTATCCTAAGTAAACAGAGATGATTCATTTCTCCAGCATATCAACCTAAAAACTGGAAACAGGCACCGGACTGCATGTATACCTGACAATTGCAAGTATCTAATCGACATAAATGATTTTCTTTTTTCAAATGAGTAATTTTTGTAACATAGAATATAAGAGACATAGGTGTCTAGACTGCCTACATGACATTGCAATTTATACAACCAGACTTGTGCTTTTCTCGTGTTCCAGGTCCAATCAATCAGTGCAGTGCCTAACTGACTATCTAATAATACTAGGCCTACAACTTGACTTTCTTATTGACTGCAAATATTCGTCATAAATGGTAGTGGAATCTCATCCGAACAAGCATGTCAGTACAAGTATAGAATATAATACAGACACTGCGACACACGTGTCATTGCTTGACCCAACTGCACCAACGCTTGCTTCCTTCTCATCGAGAATTTCCCACGAACTGTTGTGATGCTGGTTCCCGCGTTTTCAACTGCAGGATCTAAAATAGGGAATGTTTTTTAAACGAACATCGAAGATTATTAATGAAATTTACCTTTATATGTACCAGTTTTCAAATTATATGAATGGTCTAAAGAAGACCATAAAATAGGTTCCAGAGACCATAAAATAATTATTTTATGGTCTCTTGTGGTGCCAGAGATACTGTATTAAAAATTATAATCTACAAGCATACAAATGAAAGGGATCTGGATTCTCAGGACAAAGTAAGAAAACCGACCCATATGAAAGCGAATATAATAGTTGGTTTGAACAGGAAAATTGTACCCAATTTTGTAGTCTCCCTGGTTTGAACAAAATGGACCTCTTGGTCCGTTTTGGCATTGCTCCATTATTGTTATAACGTCAACTTAGATAATTACATCATCCGTTTGTACGTTTGTAGGTACGTTAAGTATATTATTTACCATGGTTTATGTCTTTAAGTTTCCAGGAACTTGTATAGCTGCTGTTTTTCGTTGTTTTTGTTTTTTGTTTTTCTAAATTAAATAAGTTACTTTAAAGGCAGGTATAGATGAGGATGTTGTCAAAGGTTAGGCATCGTGCGCACTGGCAGCCCTTGCAAGTTGGATTCAATGCCCACAAAACATGAACACGAATAATTCTAGCAGTGTCTAGCTCAGGTTCAAATTCGGGTCTAATTACAACGACTTCGACTAGACCTCGAAATGGAAGCCAGATCGCGGAAGTATTGTTTAATAAAGGGAACTTTATATACTCTTCGATCCTTAATTATTTTTATGTTAACTCATGTCATTATACACGTACATATTATACCAAAAATGTTTACCGTATTCGATGTATTAAGCAACCGGGACTCTCAAAATTGGAAATGGTAGGCTCTTATTAGAATATAATTTTGGTGAGAACAAAAACAGAGTTGAAAAATTGTAAATTTCGTAGTTTATGCTGACAGCCTGACATGATGCAAAAGAAAAGTATGTACGTATCATACACGACAGATATATTTTCCAAAATTAAATTGCCCACAATTAAGGGTGCATATAACACACGAGTGCGTATAATACACGAATCAATAAGTCTTGTGTACATTGATGAATCGGAAGGGGTGCTAATTGGGATTGTTCACTAACAAATATATTAGCAAATATCGCCATGGGCGCTTATTAGAGCGGAGCGCTTATTACGTCGAATGCGGTATGTTAAGCGTAATATTTTCTCGGCCATTTTGTACAAAACTAGAATCGATATTGGCCTGCCGCCATCGGGAATAGTATATTTTGTATAAATTTAGGTACCTGCACATGCACATGTTTTAGTTTGGAAGCACTACTGCTACAGTGTACCGCCAGTTTGTGAGGTTCTGGGAGCAGATAGTGGGGTTTTGTGCGTCTACAGTCAGTCAAATAAACCGTGTGAATGTTGCATCATATATATATGTATGATAACTGGGTCTGAGGCGGTGGGGTAGCCTAGCTAGTGCTCAAAAAGCTGGGTCGTCACGCTGAAAGCCTGGGTTCAACTCTCCACATGGGTACAATGCGTGAAGCCCATTTATGGTGTGCCCCGCAGTGATATTGCTAAACACGACTAAGCCACTAGCCACAACTGGAGAAAGCTCCACTACCACGATGTTCACAGACCATACTATACACTAAGCTGACTTAGTTGACACTAAGCACTTTTGTAGACATTACAACTATTTATATTTGTTTATTAATGAACGGGATAAAGCTCAGTTGACGTGAAGGTTGCTAAGCACAATGCAAATTTTAATTTATTTTATTGATACAATGTTGATCCATAAGTGTGTGGCTCAACCGTTTTTTGTTCATAAGAATTTACGCCGTTCGTTTTCGATTGGCGCAAGGTTTTCTATCAACCTATATGTCCCGAAGCGGGTCGCTCAAACGTGTTGTAACCTGCATTTCAAAGCAAGTCTAGTCAAACGCATGACAGGAAGCACGTTTTTACATTGTTTTGCAGCTGTAGCAATCTAACATTTATATACTCAGATTAGAATATTCACGAATCATATGAGCGTGAACTAAGGAAGTGCGAAAATGTGAAACTGATAGCTACGATGTCAAAACATGACTTCCGGATACAAATGGCATGCTGTCAAAACAACAATACATGAACTAGGCTAGATATGTTAGCCGAGTGAGAGAGGGGGGATGAGCAGCTAACCCATTTTCTTGATTGATAAACTTCATTGCTTCAACTATGGCCGACGAACTCTTTTCTAAACGGCTACCTGTTGTCGTCAAATCAACCGACAGAGAAGAAAGGTTTGTGTTTTTCCCACACTTCTTGCCAAAACACCTGAATCTCTATAATTTGTTTCCATAGAGCTACGCAGGCCATTCAACTGTATCATCAGCTGTTTGTGTTGAACAGTATTGTCAGTGTAAATCAATTTTGGATGATGTGAGCATGAACACATTTTATTAGGAGTATGATGACAAACTAATACAGCCAGGGCGATGTTTGTTGTGATTTGAGAAAGTTAATCTCGATGAACTTACATCAGTTTTCATCTGTTCCTAATGGTGCTATTTTTGTTATTGGAAACTATAAGTATCAATATAAAAATAGAATATCCATATGCATGTTTGGAATGTATATATAATGTCCATAGCCAGTGATAAGATCAGTCAGGACGATTTGGCTACACATATGGCTAAGCCTTTTTTCCATGTAGTGCAAATCAAGAGCGAATATTGTGTGAAACATGTTACCCTTAGTTCCTAATACACACATAGATCTACATATGAATAACATTTTGTTTGAACATATGTTTCAATCAGGGTATCAATACAATGGATCCGTGAAGATCCGGTGTAGAATAGGTCTTCAGCAACCCATGCTTGCTGTAAAAGGTGACTATGCTTGTCGTAAAAGGCGACTAACGGGATCGGGTGGTCAGGCTTGCTGACTTGGTTGATGCATGTCATCGATCCCAATTGCGTGGATCGATGCTCATGATGTCCATCATTGGATTGTCTGGTCCAGACTCGATTATTTACAGACCGCCGTCATATAGCTGTAATATTGCTGAGTGCAGCGTTAAACAACAAACCAACCAACCAACCAACCAAATCTCTGATATTCACTGTACACGTTTTTAGTATTCTTTTTCAGTATTCTTTTTTGTTGGTATTGACAGTGAAGTTGTGAATAAAACCTGACACTATTTTCATTTCAGAAAAGTTTCACTCCACTTGCGAATGGAACTGCAAGCAATAACATCTCCATTACATAGAAAAGTAAGTTTCCAGGAACACTTTATTTGTGAGATCTCTTTACTGGGCATCACACTGGACTGTTTGGTTTGTAATTAATGGTGTTTTCTTTCAGTGCTTTTGGAGTATTGTTTGTTTATATACAGTACTGGGGGCACGATGGCCCAGTCAACTAAGGCGCCGCGATTCGCTGTGCAGAATTGCGTCTCTTGGGCACGCCAGAAATCTATGATTGTGGGTTTGAATCACTGTTCACCCCGATTTGTTTCTAGGTTTGTCAGCACCATACCCGTGCTTGTGGGTGTCACCTGAATGGTAAACGTCTGAGACATGCATCATTTCGGGCTTCCTCCCACATTAAGCTGACACACTGTGATATAACTGGAATACTATTAAAAGCGGCGTTAAAACCGACTCACTCACTCACTATAAACAATATTACTATTAATACAGATATTGATATATTTTTATGTCAATCTTATAATCATGATAATATCTTCCTGCTTTGATCATGTTGATGGTACTTGAAACTTTCACATTCTATTTCAGTCTCGTGTTACAAGAGTATCATTGTCGGTTTCTCATGTTTCACATGTTTCAGGAGCTAGTTGTCAGACTCACAGATGAAAGTGACTTATTTTTCCTGTACACTCTCAGACTTGGAGAAGAGGACTTTCAGAGGTAAGACCTCACACAGTATCAAAATAGCAGCACAATACAAACCCACTGTCAACATGGACATGCATTGACTTAAAGCATGTTATGTATAATTTCTGATAATAGTGTTGAATATTTCTTCCACCAAGACATGCCCTTGAGTGGCCACTCAGGCCTGCGCCTCAAGCTGTGTCATCCATCTTGTCGGGGTGATCAGGTAGCCTAGTGGTTAAAGCGTTCGCTCGTCACGCGGAAGACCTGGGTTCGATTCCCGACATGGGTACAATGTGCGAAGCCTATTTCTGGTGTCCCCCGCCATAATATTGCTGGAATATTGCTAAAAGCGTCATAAAACCATGCTCACTCACTCACCCATCTTGTCCATGGGCAAAGAAAATGCACAAATCTTCTCGAATGTAAGAATACTTTTCTGGAATCTTTAGGTTAAACCTTCTTCTCTGTGTTTGTTTTTAATGCCATTGAATGAATTAATTATAGATAACATATGATGTTTATCATCATTTTGCAGCCTAAAAATACAACAGGGACTTTTGGTTGATTTCGGTGCTTTCCCCCAGAAGTTCATTGACCTGTTGGAGATGTGTGTGAGGGAGGAACACAAGGACGTCCCTAAGTATGTCCTTGAAAGAAGAGATGCCACATGATCTGCCGTTTACACTCGTTTTAGCCACACTTTTGTAGTTGAAATTGTCATTAGTTAGAAACAGGCAATTGATAAAGAGAAAGAAGGCTAGTTGTCGGTTGTATAAATATGTCTATAGCTTTAAAATGCCATTTCCTGTTGGCCAAAAAGGAACTATATGCACTTATTCAGTTGGAGAATGGGACTGGTTGAGTGTTCATTTGTGAAACATTGGCTTGATGTGCATGTATTACCATTGTGCTGTTGTCTGTCCAGGGGGTACGGGTGGCCCAGTCGTCTAAGGTGCTGCGATTCGCTGTGCAGAGTTGTGTCCCTTGGGCACGCCAGAAACCTATGATTGTGGGTTTTCGAATCCCGGTTCGCCCTGATTATGTTTCTAGGTTTGTCAGCACCATACCTGTGCTCGTGGCTTTCACCGAAGTGGTAAACGTCTGAGACCTGCAACACTTGGGCTTTCCTCCCACATTAAGCTGACACGCCGCGATATAACTGGAATACTGTTAAAAGCGGCGTTAAACCCAACTCACTCACTCACTCACTGTTGTCTGTCCAATCGTGAACCATGAAGCCAGTTTCCAATGTACTTGTATCTTGGTATGCATACTTTATTCTGATGCTGATATTACTTTCATATGTTGTTATCAACTCTCCCAAACAGTCTGGGGTGGCCTAGTGGTTAAAGCGTTCGCTCGTCACGCCGAAGACCTGGGTTCTATTCACCACATGGGTACAATGTGTGAAGCCCACTTCTGTTGCCCCCCGCCATGATATTGCTGGAATATTGCTAAAAGCAGTGTAAAACCAAAATCACTCTCTCACTCCCCCAAACAGTTTGATGTGTTTCTCTGTAATATAAAGCTAATGACGTCATCGTCCTCTCACCTGAAATGAAAAGATTTACATTTAAAATGCCACTTAAAAAAGGTTTATCCTCAGAGTGACGTTGAACAACATCATGAGCAATAAAAATACCTTTGCAGACAGAGTACTGTTGAAGATATACACCAATTGTCACTGACTAGACCCGTGATGATCCGGGGTAGAATAGGTCTTCAGCAACCCATGCTTGCCATAAAATGGGACTTTACGATAAATGAGATCAGGTGGTCAGGCTCGCTGACTTGGTTGATGCATGTCATCGTATTCCAATTGCGTGGATTGATGCTCATGATCTCAATCACTGGATTGTCTGGTCCAGATTCGATTATTTACAGACCGCCATCATATAGCTGGAATATTGCTTAGTGTGGTGTTAACAACAAGAAGCAGAAACAAACAGTCACTGACTGCTATGCTGTAAATGTTTTTGTCCAGTTCAGGGGCACAATACAGAGGATGCGTTGGTAGCGGCCGTAACATTTTTGAGTCCTGTGATTCTAATCAAGGTCATATGCCTCGTCCACATGATCCATCCCACGTTGAACAACAACATGATCCATCCCACGTTGAACAACAACATGATCCATCCCACGTTGAACAACAACATGATCCAAAGAATACCTTTGCACACACAGTAATGTTGACTCTGTACATCAAGTGTCACTGACAATGCTGTGAAGGTTTTAGCCCACTTTGAGGTACAGTACAGAGAGTGCCTTTGTTAATGGTATGTTCTGCTTGTTGTAGATTCATTCTGCAGTTTGTGAGTCAAGGGTCAATGTCTGAAAAGGTGACAGGGATGTTAAACATTGTAGAAACAAATCCATTCAAGCATCTGACCCATCTGTCACTGAAGTTCATCCCTGGGCAGGATGCTGACGTCAAGAAGTACCTAGCAGACTGCCTCAAGCAGCTGAAGGTGGATACCGTATTTACTTTTGTTATACCTCTATAAAGAATCTTGCAATTCCATTGGTTAATCCATACCACATAACGAAACAACACATTTCAATGTCCACCCCAAATCACGTGACTGACACTGACCTCAAATATTGACTCGTCTCATGATCAGTACTGCCTTGTCACATAGTGAATATTGACTCGTCTGCTAGAAAACAAAATAGCGTCTGGTTCTAGCATTTCACTGTTTGCAGCTAGTTTAATGTAATGAAGCAAAGGATGGTTTAAAGGCTTCGTAAACTTAAAGTGAATTTCAATATATAACAAAATGCATGATTACTCTGGACCCGGTCAATATGCAAATACAAGGACCGGACCCCTTCCGCAGCCTCGGTCTGGTCGGACCACTTCAGGGGTCGGGGCCTTGGGTCCTTGTTTTCACATATTGCCCTAGTCAGGAGTAATTAATTGTTTAATGTATACCACGAGGACATTTCAGTGACCAAGTAACACTGTAAAAGCATGTCAACTATGTGCAGTCATTTATTAAAGTGTTCATTGTGTATTTGGCCTTATGTTTGTAATCTAATTTATTAATTTATTCACAATTTCATTAGTTATTGTTCACATTAGTTTTGGCAAAACTGTCCGTGTACTAAATGCCAGATTGCACCTACTCAGAGTTACTTACAGCAAACACCCGATTAGTGTTTGATTGATGATTCTTGGAGATTAATGGCCTCCCTGACAAGTGTTTGATGCCTGTTGTTCCAGGAGACGAACGGCCTGCTGCAGCAGAGGTTGGAGCACACTCATGGAGATCTGTCCCAGAGATTGCAGGCAACACAGGAAGTATGTTTTGCTATGCTTTGTGAATTTTATGTAATTTTGTTTCTGCAGAGGTGCTTTATTTTTACACACAAAGCCAAAATAATGCCACTTTAGAAAAGACAACTTGTACAAACCTTTCTCCAAAATGATATTGTGATATTTATATCTGTATGTCATGTTCCTCACTCCCAGTAGGTGGGAGACCCGTGAAGATCCTGGGTAGAATAGGTCTTCAGGAACCCATGCTTGCTGTAAAAGGCGACTATGCTGTCATAAGAGGCGACTAACGGGGTTGGGTGGTCAGGCTTGCTGACTTGGTTGATGCATGTCATCATATTCCAATTGCGTTGATTGATGCTCATGATGTCAATCACTGGATTGTCTGGTCCAGACTCGATTATTTATAGACCACTGTCATATAGCTGGAATATTGCTGAGTGCGACGTTAAACTACAAACAAACAAACACTCCTAGTAGGCAGATTATAATTCACGAATTTGTGTGAAATGTTGTGTTATCCATGCAGTCTCTGGCGTCCAAATCATTGGAGTTGGAGAGTCTGAAGACTGAGTGGACGTCCAGGTTGTCAGAGGTTACATCAAGGCACAAAGAAGAAATGGCATCTGAGAAGGAGCGCTCGCTTCAAGTGAGTTCTGGATTGTATTGGTCAAGGATACTATCCGCTGATCAGACTTGTTTACTTCAGAAAACTGTGGATAGATGTCAGCATTTATAATGAATGTTTAGCTCTGTGGTAGAATTCTGGGGTAGAAATTCTGGGGTAGAATTGGTATCCAATGCTTGTTGTAACAGCTGTGTGTCATCAGAGGATCAGAATGTAGGATGCTGCTCATGATATCAACCACTGGTTTATCAGTCCCAGACTACAATATTGAAGAGTTTAGATTTAGGATTTGGTACAAAAGGGACTTGGTCATGGTGTTAAACTATGATTCACATGTTTGGATCTGACATGACAGAATAAATGTTCAACTATTCCAGTCTTGACCGGACAAACCAGTGATTAATCGCAGAATTTAATCTGGAAAATCTACGAAGCTTTGAATCTTATTACTTGCTAACAGACCCATGGGGACTCCATGTAAAAATGTCACCAACACCCTATGCTGGTAATGGTTAGTGGATCGGGTGGTCAGGCTCAGTGATTTGGTTCATTATATCAATCACTGGCTTGTCTAGTCCATGACTATTTACAGGTAATCACAATATGGCTGGGATATTGCTGAGTATGGTGTTAATTCAATAAACTGTTAGATCAGAATAACAACTCATGCTTGCTGTAAAAGGTGACTATGCTTGTCGTAAGAGGCGACTAACAGGATTGGTAGGTCAGGCTTGCTAACTTGGTTGATGCATGTCATCGTATCCCAATTGTGTGGATTGATGCTCATGGCGTCAATCACTGGATTGTCTAGTCCAGAGTTGATTATTTACAGACCGCCGTCATATAGCTGAAAATTGCTGATTGCAGTGTTAACCAACAAACAAACCAAACCCAGATCAGAATAATGCCCAGTGGTGACACAAAGATGTCTTGCTTCAGTGTCATTCATTCATTACATTCAGTTACAAACATGTACCTGCGCACACAGCAGCTCTCAGAACCAGTCTAACATCTAACAGCCCTTCCCTTGCAACCTGACCCGTGAAGATTCCGGGGTAGAATAGGTCTTCAGCAACCCATGCTTGCCGTAAAAGGTGACTATGCTTGTCGTAAAAGGCGACTAACGGGATCGGGTGGTCAGGCATGCTGACTTGGTTGATGCATGTCATCGATCCCAATTGCATGGATCGATGCTCATGATGTCAATCACTAGATTGTCTGGTCCAGACTCGATTATTTACAGACCACCGTCATATAGCTGGAATATTTCTGAGTGCGGCGTTAAACAACAAACCAACCAACCAAATCCCTTGCAACCTACCTCATGTACATCACACATACAATCACACAGAATGAAGTGTTGCCCTCGCGAGATCTTATTATGTATTACAAACTAACTATAACTTTTAGCAAAACAAACAAAACACATTTGAATTTGATCATGATCCAGACACACAAGCTGAAGGAGCTATGTTGTATGTTGCAGATACAGGGCGGCCTTCAGCAACGGTTTGACCGAGAGAGAAAGGAACTAGAGCAGGCCCATGCCAAGATAGTCAAACAGCTGGACAACAGACTCTATGAAGTGGAAGGGGTCAGCAAGGTCAGGGGTCATGGTCACACGGGGAACTTAATCATGCATGAGTGAGGATTTTGTGAGCAGACTGAAGATTTAACCACTCACCTCCAGTCAATATTTGACAGAATGGTTTGATGAAACCTGTAGGCCATTGATGTACAGTTTACTGCAATGGTTAGTTTCAAATTGTCTTCACTTTGCTGTTGGCATTTGTACATTCCAGCTGTAACACTTCAATTTCCATTTCAGGATCTGACAGACAGGAAATATAAATCCGAGTCGACAGTCCGAGAATTGAAATCGAAACTATCAACACTAGAGGAGGAACACACACGGGCCAAACAGGATGTACAGACACTGCGGAAGCAGAACTCCAGCATGGACTCCGATTTCCACGAGCAGGGCAAGCTGGTGAACCAGCTCCAGACACGGATTGCTGTCCTGGAACAGGAACTCAAGGATAAGGAACAAGTGCTCTCCAAGTCTTCCGATCTTCTTGGGTCCGAACAGGAGAAGAAGGTCAGTGTTGTGAGGTTGCCTTGTTCTTCATATTCTCTACTTGGTTTCAAAGACTTCAGATCTTCTCGAGAAGAAGGTCATTGATGTGAGGTTGCCATGTTCTTCAGATTCTCTACTTGGTTTCCAAGTCTTTCTATCTTCTCAGGTCCAAACATACATAAAGCTCTCACACTGAAATATGACATGTTAAATTCATATCATAAAAAAATTAGGTTATTTTGTTGGATTATTTTGCAGAAATACCTCTTGTCTGTTAATTAAGATGTACATGTGATGTACCGTGGTCACTTTGTTCCAGAGGAAGTATGAGGAAGACTTGGACAGGAAGCACAAGGACGTCAGTAAGCTGGAGTGCAAGGTCAAGGCCATGTCGGAGGAGCTGATGAAGGGCAATGAGATCATCAAGAAGTTGCAGGAAGAGGTCAAGAGCAATCGGGCAAAGGTGAGATGCACTTACTGTAATGGCTCTTGTGTGTCTCAAGTTCAGATACCTGGACAACACAGTGTCCATCTGCAAATTGAAATTACATAAGGCAGAATAAATTCAAATGGCTTGTTCTAAGGATTGTGGCAACTGTTGTTTGCGTGATGAAGTGTGCTTACTTGGAATCATCGTTTTCACTGTGGTCTAAAAGTAAACAAAATTTAATGGTGTTGTATCAATGATGACATTGTCTGGCCAACTCTTTCACAAAATGGATAACATGAGTGCAGGTTATAAGAGGAAATTGGATGGATCAGGTGGCAAGGCTTGGTGACTTGGTTGAAAGCATGTCATTGTAACCCAGCAGTGTGGATCTTGCTTATGATATCAGTTACAGTATTGTCTGGTCCAGACTTTATTAATTACAGGTGTTTAGTAATGCTGACTGGATGAGATGTGTAAGACAATGATATAATGGCTCAAGTCGGGCAAAGTGTACACAGGAGTAACAGTATGCTGATTATATAGTCTGGGCAAAAGCTTGTAATAAAATGGGTCTTACTACACAAAGTGCATCAAATCACATAAGCACCTTGATTAAAGACATGAACAGATTTGGAAAATATCTGTTGAGGCTAAGTTGATGGTACACATGCTTTGCAAATCCTCCAATTGACAAAACTCTGCTAGATGTAGATTTCGTTACACGATTTTGATTGGACTATGCATAGACTTGTTAGTCCAGTCAAAATATAACTCCATAATTCCAGCCTAGTTTGGCAAGGGTGGAAACTGGTCTTTTATGGTGTGTTAACTTCCTTCCCTCGGGAATGTGCATTTGTTCAGGCAGATAAACCTGGCGCCTTGTTTGTTGTTTCTGGACTACCCCATGCGATTGTTGCAGGTGAAGTTGCGGACGCAGATCGCAACGGAGCAGGAGAAGCTGTTGGGGGAGAAGGACCAGGAGTTGGAGAAGATGCGGCAAGACCTGGCTGTCACCAAGGACAGTCTCAAGACCACAGGGGACGAGGTAGGGCTGCTATTTAAACGTGGCTGGGAACATGTGTCCAATTGAAAGTTCTGATTCATAAACTAATAATTAAATGTAATAGGCTTAAGGATTGAGGATATTTTCTTCAGATTCTTAGTTTAGTAAGCTTTGGTGTGGTATTGTTACCTCAATACTCCCTTCAACTAGCTAAAATGTGAACATTTTACTGATATTTGAAAGTTTCCATTTAAGTAGAATATGTGCCAGTGACATTACTCTTACAGCTGAGAGATATTAGTTTGGTTAGAGTTATCTGTTTTTGTTTTTTAGAATAGACGACTTTCAGAAGGTGTTGAAACAACCACAAAGAAATTGGAAGAAAGTCGCCAGCTGTTAAAAACAAATGAGAATGGTATGAAGCTATTTCTTTATGAAAATGTGCTATTTGACCTTATTCATGAGTAAACCATCTGTTGTCACACTAATATGTTGTTTTCTTGTGTCTGACATGTCAATATTGTCCCAGGAACAATAATAATAAGATATGTCTGGATCTACAGATGTTGTGGCATTATTTTGCTAATTGTTCTCCATCTCAATTGCAGTGATACAGTGGTTGAACAAACAGATCAACGAGCAGCAGCTGACCCATCACAGGGTCGGGGCGTTCGAGATGCCCTCTGCAGCATCAACCATGGTCAGGCCAGGGGGCGCAGCACTGGTATGTAGATGTCAGGCCAGGGGGCACAGCACTGGTATGTAAATGTCAGGCCAGGGGGCACATCACTGGTATGTTGATGTCAGGCCAGGGGACACAGCACTGGTATATAGATGTCAGGCCAGGGGGCACAGCACTGGTATGTAGATGTCAGGCCAGGGGGCACTATAATATAGATGTCAGGCCAGGGGGCACAGCACTGGTATGTAAATGTAAGGCCAGGGGGCACAGCACTGGTATGTTGATGTCAGGCCAGGGGGCGAAGCACTGATATGTCGATGTCAGGCCAGGGGGCACTGGTATATAGATGTCAGGCAAGGGGGCACAGCACTGGTATGTAGATGTCAGGCCAGGGGGCACAGCACTGGTATGTAGATGTCAGGCCAGGGGGCGAAGCACTGATATGTCGATGTCAAGCCAGGGGGCACTGGTATATAGATGTCAGGCAAGGGGGCACAGCACTGGTATGTAGATGTCAGGCCAGGGGGCACAGCACTGGTATGTAGATGTCAGGCCAGGGGGCGAAGCACTGATATGTCGATGTCAGGCCAGGGGGCACTGGTATATAGATGTCAGGCCAGGGGGCACAGCACTGGTATGTTGATGTCAGGCCAGGGGGCGCAGCACTGGTATGTAGATGTCAGGCCAGGGGGCGCAGCACTGGTATGTAGATGTCAGGCCAGGGGGGCGCAGCACTGATATGTCGATGTCAGGCCAGGGGGCACAGCACTAGTATGTAGATGTCAGGCCAGGGGGCACTGGTATGTCTATGTCAGGCCAGGGGGCGCAGCACTGATATGTTGATGTCAGGCCAGGGGGCACTGGTATATAGATGTCAGGCCAGGGGGCACAGCACTGGTATGTTGATGTCAGGCCAGGGGGCACAGCACTTGTATGTTGATGTCAGGCCAGGGGGCACAGCACTGGTATGTCGATGTCAGGCCAGGGGGCACAGCACTGGTATATTGATGTCAGACCAGGGGGCACTGGTATGTAGATGTCAGGCCAGGGGGCACAGCACTGGTATGTTGATGTCAGGCCAGCGGGCACAGCACTGGTATGTTGATGTCAGGCCAGGGGGCACTGGTATGTAGATGTCAGGCCAGGGGGCACAGCACTGGTATGTTGATGTCAGGCCAGGGGGCACAGCACTGGTATGTCGATGTCAGGCTAGGGGGCACAGCACTGGTATGTAGATGTCAGGCCAGGGGGGCACAGCACTGGTATGTAGATGTCAGGCCAGGGGGCACAGCACTGATATGTCGATGTCAGGCCAGGGGGCACAGCACTGGTATGTTGATGTCAGGCCAGGGGGCACTATAATATAGATGTCAGGCCAGGGGGGCACAGCACTGGTATGTCGATGTCAGGCCAGGGGGCGCAGCACTGGTATGTCGATGTCAGGCAAGGGGGCACAGCACTGGTATGTAGATGTCAAGCCAGGGGGCACAGCACTTGTATGTTGATTTCAGGCCAGGGGGGCACAGCACTGGTATGTAGATGTCAAGCCAGGGGGCACAGCACTGGTATATTGATGTCAGACCAGGGGGGCGCAGCACTGGTATGTAGATGTCAAGCCAGGGGGCACAGCACTGGTATATTGATGTCAGACCAGGGGGGCACAGCACTGGTATGTAGATGTCAAGCCAGGGGGCACAGCACTGGTATATTGATGTCAGACCAGGGGGGCGCAGCACTGGTATGTTGATGTCAGGCCAGGGGGGCGCAGCACTGATATGTAGATGTCAGGCCAGGGGGGCGCAGCACTGGTATGTAGATGTCAGGCCAGGGGGCACAGCACTGGTATGTAGATGTCAGGCCAGGGAGGCACAGCACTGGTATGTAGATGTCAGGCCAGGGGGCACAGCACTGATATGTCGATGTCAGGCCAGGGGGCACAGCACTGGTATGTTGATGTCAGGCCAGGGGGCACTATAATATAGATGTCAGGCCAGGGGGCACAGCACTGGTATATTGATGTCAGACCAGGGGGGCGCAGCACTGGTATGTTGATGTCAGGCCAGGGGGCGCAGCACTGGTATGTCGATGTCAGGCAAGGGGGCACAGCACTGGTATGTAGATGTCAAGCCAGGGGGCACAGCACTTGTATGTTGATTTCAGGCCAGGGGGGCACAGCACTGGTATGTAGATGTCAAGCCAGGGGGCACAGCACTGGTATATTGATGTCAGACCAGGGGGGCGCAGCACTGGTATGTAGATGTCAAGCCAGGGGGCACAGCACTGGTATATTGATGTCAGACCAGGGGGGCGCAGCACTGGTATATTGATGTCAGATGAGGGGGGCACAGCACTGGTATGTAGATGTCAAGCCAGGGGGCACAGCACTGGTATATTGATGTCAGACCAGGGGGGCGCAGCACTGGTATGTTGATGTCAGGCCAGGGGGGCGCAGCACTGATATGTCGATGTCAGGCCAGGGGGCGCAGCACTGGTATGTCGATGTCAGGCCAGGGGGCGCAGCACTGGTATGTAGATGTCAGGCCAGGGGGCACAGCACTGGTATGTAGATGTCAGACCAGGGGGGCGCAGCACTGGTATGTTGATGTCAGACCAGGGGGGGCACAGCACTGGTATGTTGATTTCAGGCCAGGGGGGTGCAGCACTGATATGTCGATGTCAGGCCAGGGGGCGCAGCACTGGTATGTAGATGTCAGGCCAGGGGGCACAGCACTGGTATGTCGATGTCAGGCCAGGGGGCGCAGCACTGGTATGTTGATGTCAGGCCAGGGGGCACAGCACTGGTATGTCGATGTCAGGCCAGGGGGCACAGCACTTTCTCTTTTTTGAAGTTCAATGTGAGTAATGCGGTACTCTGCGTAAAGCAAGCAACATTTATGAGGACATTTCAGCCACAGTCCACTGTATACCAACATTCATTCAGACAGTAAAACAGCATCTCAACTCGGCTACACTCAACTTATTTCAACTTATCTCAACTCCCCACCCCTTTCAACCGATCTAATGGCCACACCCCACCCCACCCCTGAAATGTTGTGTTTGTAAAATAAAGAAGGTATTATCCATAAAACTCCTTATCGTGATAACACCATTTCCTAAATGCCTGTAAAGACTCTATGCCCCTTGTTCTCCAGCATAACTACAGCACTTCTAGCTACGGGTCAGCAGCGTCCCATCACAGTGACAGCCACGTCATGCAGTCAGGTGCTGGCATACCAAGGCAGTACCCACACAGACCGCCACAGGTATCGCACTCGCATCCAGATATCATAACCAGTCATAACATCTGACATCAGCAAATCATTCGAAGTATCTGTTCCTGCTGAGAACTACCGTCTGAGACCTGTATCGCTTCAAATTTTACTCCCACAGTAATCTGACAATCTTATATACTGAACACAGCAAGTTAGGGATCATGAATTTTTTGGGGGATATTTATTATAAATTATGTGCTCAGTCTTAAAAAATGTCCCCAAAAATATTCATAATCCCTAATTTTTTTGTTCAGTATATATTCACTCAAAACTATGGCGTTTCCCTGAAGAATGCACAAATATGTCATGTCCAGACCAGCTGACACATCCATGGCCCCTGTAATTACTTAAAGATAAAAGTCTTGTGATGATTTGGAAATGTTCTGTGTGATATTATTTTCAGAAAGATAATGGAAATAAAAACATATAATAAATCTAAGAATTATCATTTGAATACTTGTAGGTTCAGTACAATCCAGGCAATGCTCGACGGAGTGGTCTCCCCATGCCAGTCCCCGGCCGTCCTGGTCCCCCACCCCCAATTCCAGAGGAAATCCGCCCCCAGAGCAACCACAGCTCCCCAGCCTCCAATGCCGACAAGGAAAAGTGAGTGATCTCCGCAACACATCTGGAAACCTCATTGTAAAGAATTCCACATACAGTGAAAGCCTGTGTTTATGGAATCTCCATAGTTAGAGGGAAGAGGCATGTCTACCAGTACGCGAGACCATGGTGCCAAAAGGGATTCTGCTGGGACTATAAGCATAGCCTTATATAGAGAATTTCACTATTGTGAGATTCTAATGATCCAGAATCATTCTTTAAGCTTTCTTTTAGTTTGAAGACTGTGATAAACTGTGTCTTGTGTGGAAAAAGTACAGTAAACCAGCTTCAGTGGCAGGGAGATTGTGACGTCATAGTAACCGATGATGTCACAATTTTCTGGAAAACAATGGGGTGCAATTTTATTGTAGTGATATTTCCTTGATCTCCACCAAAAAACATATCTCCTGTGGAATCCAGTTTGGGATGTTAAATCAATATAACAGATGTTGAATGACTAGGTTTTTGTGTAAAGTTATTCCTCATACAGACCCTCAACACAAATATCGGAGAACTAACAGTCAACAATACTTTGGCAAGTCTAGGTTTTTTTTAGTTTCAGGAATGGATTCTCTGGGCTCCTTTATATTAAAACATAAAACACAGATTAATTAGTATAGTATATGGAGTAGACTATTATCCTAACTGTTGGAAAATGTTCAAATGTATAAATCTATTTTATGTATACATGTAGTTTGTAAATGAACATGTATGTTGACACATCACCTTCATTTTCAGTGACCCTCCTATTGACCCGAAGTTCCTACAGAAGCGGGAGGATGCTATCCCGGTCCGGGGGCTGCTGAACAGAAGCAACTCCCCTCCTCTCATCTCCGGCGTGGCTCCCCCCCACCCCCCCATCAACTCAGTCCGACTCAGCCAGCAGATGATTGTCCCCCGGACAGTTCAAGCCCCACTAGCTTCAGCATACTTCCCTGGTCAGAGCAAAGCTTCATGATATCGTCCCTCGGAGTGGATTTCATAACTCCATATCATTTCTCACCAGAACATGTTTGGGCCACAAACTCATGAAGTTGAACCAAAGATCATAGAATTATTCAGGACGTGCAACAAATGAGACAATTTGACGGTTCCATGGTGATTTGGCCTGTGCAAAGCTTCAGGATGTCATATTGCTGTACACTTTCTTCCAAGAAGATGTTCAGGGTGAAACAGCTCCTCGGTCACAGAATTATTGGTCAGGAAGTGCAACGAATGAGACAATTGCACTGTTTCATGATGCCTTGGTCTGTGCTAAGCTTCGGATGTCATGTTACTGTGTAAATTTCTTGCAATAAGTTCTAAGTACAATCTAAGACCAAAAAAGTATAACTGGAGTAAAGATTGAGACATTATGAGAATGGATCCATGATGACTTGTGATTTTACTGATGAAGAAGGGCTGTCGCTATGAAATGTTCCAAGCATCTGTTCTCAGTAATCGTAAACTTAGTAATGATAAGATTGTAAGGATGATACACTTCTTTATTAGAACTGTCGCTACGATTGTCTCTAAAACTAATCAAGAAGTTGATCATCCATACTATCTTGTGACATTAGTTTCAGATCAAACTTCTAAATGCCACTGAAAGGTTGTACATTATGTAAAAATGCTTACTGATTTCGGCAAATCTGTGAGTGTGGAATAACTGGCTACAGATTTCATTGTGGTCACCTGTATTGTAAAACAATTAGGTGTCTTTGTAACATCCATCCACCGCCAGAGAATAGCCCTGTTTTGGAGGGTTTGATCATCTTGTACAGTGTTGACTCACGATGGTACATGGTCATCTTGTACAGTGTTGACTCACAATGGTACATGGTCATCTTGTACAGTGTTGACTCACGATGGTACATGGTCATCTTGTACAGTGTTGACTCACGATGGTACATGGTCATCTTGTACAGTGTTGACTCACGATGGTACATGGTCATCTTGTACAGTGTCGACTCACGATGGTACATGGTCATCTTGTACAGTGTCGATTCACGATGGTACATGGTCATCTTGTACAGTGTCGACTCACGATGGTACATGGTCATCTTGTACAGTGTCGACTCACGATGGTACATGGTCATCTTGTACAGTGTCGACTCACGATGGTACATGGTCATCTTGTACAGTGTCGACTCACGGTGGTACATGGTCATCTTGTACAGTGTCGACTCACGATGGTACATGGTCATCTTGTACAGTGTCGACTCACGATGGTACATGGTCATCTTGTACAGTGTTGACTCACGATGGTACATGGTCATCTTGTACAGTGTCGACTCACGATGGTACATGGTCATCTTGTACAGTGTTGACTCACAATGGTACATGGTCATCTCATTGACGGATGATGAGGCAATGACATTTGAGGAGGAAACGTAAGCCGCCTCATCACGTGATAACCAACTGGTGTCAGCTCTTCCATTTGCCGAGCAGTCAGTAAATGCCAACATACAATATGGGAGGTGAGATCCAGTGTAGGAGTGTTCCAGATTCCTTGGAACAAAACCCTCCTCATTGTAAATGTTGGGATGTGTTCCCCGTTCAGCATTATCACCTGAGTGTTCAACATTTTACCTACACATATATTGGAGTCATGATAGTATCCACTGAAATTCTTCTGTTAATTTGTATCAAAATTTTCAATTTCTTATTTTACTGTAAACAAAATCAAATACCATTTGGATTAAATAATATGTTTTTTGTTTTGAGGTATCGTAAAAGATTTGGAGGTTTTATGATAACTTTTAAAATCAATGATAGTATACCTCCTACAATGCAGACACTATGTTGTAAGAGGTATTAAGTGATGTGGCATTGGATGAGTCTAATAGGTTTTTACTAAAATGCTGATCAGTAATCGTAGATAACCGATATATGGCTGGACTTAGTTTATTGTCAAATGCAAAAAGGCAGGAGACCAAAATTAAACACAGTATCTCTCATCAGTGTTGAATGGAACTGAAAAACAAAATACATGTACATACAAAAGGTGTTCCAATTAAACTATTTTCACTGAGAAGCATATTTTTTTGGTTATCCTTTTTATTACTTTATGTTGACTCATTAAAAAAGTAAGAAATAATCTTGTCTTGTCAGAGGCAACTTATTCCGTGTATTTACTTTTTTTATCAAATATGCATTTCTTGCATGGATGGAGATATGGAATTCCAACAGGCGCACCACTAAAGTTATGATGATTATTATAACAGGAGACAGTCAATGATAGAACAGCATCAGATATATCCACCCTAGATGGTGTTCTCTTCTTGTTTTATGTCCAAAGCATGCGAGCTTTGTGTTACCTAGTAACCACCACTCCACTTTCTATAATCTACATTTGCTTATGCATGTATCAGGATCCAAACATCCTGGTTTTCAATGTAGAGCTATGTCACCTGTAAGTTTAACCACGCTAAATAAAATGTGGAACACAAAGTTTGCCCACAATGATTGTGAAAGAAACATACTGTTTTACAAATATTATCGTATTTGGTGGTGTGGGTGTCAAATCATTTGTTTCAATCGGAGGTGGTTAAATGCGATTTGAAACCTCGGATTGACCAGTCACGGTATTTTCTAAATTTATTGTAGCATTAACAATGAATCTCATTAATAACTTATGGTTTGTATTATTTTGCGTTATTGAAGATATTGACACTGCTTAAATGTAAGCATTTTCTTTTTTACTACTACTGTTTTTAATGTGTTAAAAAACAAAAACATATGCTATTTATGCAGCAATTTGACTTCATAAGTAAATTACATTTGAGCAAATTTATGGAAAGTAATAGAAACACGAAACAATTGGATACCAACTTGGCAGATGAAGAAGGCACTATGGTGGCGTGGTACTGATGTAATACTGTGTTTGTAAGGTAATTATTTGCATGACAGCACATGCTTGTTATTATAGTCCATATGTTATTGTATATATCATGCTTTCACCAGCAGCCAAAAAGTGCTTGACAAGTTATTTATTCATCACATTCATTGCTCAAGGAACACATTTTAAACTGTATGACACACGCCTGTATATTTGTGTAACAGAATCATAAACAGATATTTGAAAAAAAATCATTCACAATGAAATTTATGAACTGCAATGGAACTTGTCACAACCTGAGTCCGTTGGAACTCAGAATTCAGTCAGTCATTGACAGATCACAGTGAAAGAATTTTTGTTGTTGTCAGTCTCAAGAAATCTTGTGGAAAAAGCCTCAAAGCTATACGCCTCTATTTTATTTCCTGAATTGTGATGCCTGTATTATTGCATCTGCATGGTTGGTTGGTTTGTTGTTTTACGTCGGACTCAGCAATATTCCATCTATATGACGGCGGACTGTAAATAATCGAGTCTGGACCAGACAATCCAGTGATTAATATCAAGAGCATCGATGCACGCAACTGGGATCGATGACATGCATCAACCAAGTCAACATGCCTGACCACCCGATCCTGTTAGTCGCCTTTTACGACAAGCATAGTCACCTTTTACGGCAAGCATGGGTTGCTGAAGACCTATTCTACCCCGGAATCTTCACGGGTCGCATCTGCATGGAAGTGTTGAGTTTATTTCGGGCGGCATCCATTCGTCTGTACTGGTACGTAATTGCTTGGTGACCCTCTTAGGAGGCATGACAGAAACCTGTGAATATTGGTTTGAATCCTCCTTCGACGTGTTTGATTCTAGGTTTGTCAGCACCATACCTGTGCTCATGGTTTTCACGAAGGTGGTAAACGTCAAGGACCTGCATCACTTCGGATTTCCTCCCATGATTTAACTGAATACTGTTCAAAGCGGTGTTGAAATCAAATCCCTCAATGTCACATGACCTGGTCACCCAAAGGTGCATACAAGATGATTTTAGGAAGTAGCCTAAAAATATGGAGTTATCACAACCAATTACATTATATTTAAAAAAATTTAGCAGTTTTTCAACTTTTTTTAAGTTTGGAGTGTGAAAAAATACATTTACGTTAACAGTATTTGAACTGATAATTGCTTAGATCAGACAAGTGATGTGGTTTGGACAATATCCATTGCACAATTATATTTTACAGATTCCACTGTATTGATTCTATTGTTTGGTAAAGTTTGTATATTTAATGTGACTGTAAAATAGTTCACTGAAGTATAATGTAAGGCTATCAACTGGGTTTCTTCAGGTCAACATGACCGAGATCATATACTTGCTCTTGGGCTTTATATTCTTGATTGTCTGAATTTCAAGCATGCTTATATAATAAAAATATAAGCTTACAAAGATGTTATTTCTTACATTTCTTTCTTCTCAAATTGGCAAGCCAACCAATGGTCAACAGTGCGATTCGCTGTGCAGAGTTGCGTCCCTTGGGCACGCCAGAAACCTATGATTTTGTGTTCGAATCCCGGTTCGCCCCGATTATGTTTCTAGGTTTGTCAGCACCATACCTGTGCTCGTGGGTTTCACCAAATTTGTAAACGTCTGAGACCTGCATCACTTCAGGCTTTCCTCCCACATTAAGCTGACACGCCGCGATATAACTGGAATACTGTTAAAAGCGGCGTTAAACCCAACTCACTCACTCACTCAAAGACACATTCTGGTCCAGTCTGGTAGCCATTCTATATATATAGTGCTATAATCATAAAGTAATTTTGAATGACTTCAGAGTGATTATAGGTTTATGCTGCTTTTAGCAATATTCCAGGAATATCGTGGTGAGGGACACAAGGAATGGGCTTAACACATTGTACCGATGTCGGGAATCGAACCTGGGTCCTCGGCGTGACAAGCGACCGCTGTAACCACCAGGCTACCCCACTGCACCTTGAATGAGTTGCCTCCTCATCATCTCTAATAAAAATCCGAACAAATGAGACTTTTTTGTTACGTAAAACCTTTTATTGTCTGTACATAGTTAACATACAGCCCTTCCATCCTGTGCTCATCAAACAATGTCTTCACCTCCTTCAATGATTCACATTCAACAACTGAGAAATCTTCAAATCTGAAAAAAGATACAATTTCAACCTTTTGGTAATTATGAAACCCAGGGTTAGAAACTAACAGTTTTTGTCCACTAGTCCTTGAAAACTGATAACATATAGCAAAACCTTTAAAATGGGCCAATTTCTAGGATACCTTTACTATTGGGCAGTTTGGTAAGGACTACAGGACTAGTGCCAATTTCTAACGCTGTAAACCTCATTCTAGTTCTAGAGATGTTAATAACAACATACAAATGTACACTTACATTTAAAATTAAGAATTTTACTTGCCCAAAAATCAAGCATACCACGGTGGACTTGTTGAGCATTCCTGCACCCCTGACAAATCTTTTGAAAATCAATCTGCCATAAATTATTTGACAGGAACATGTTACAGCGTGAGATTCTGACGACTTTTAGCGTACCTAGCATTTGCTGGCAGCGATGTCTCACACAACACAGACATCATCTTCTCCTTGCAGGGATGGCCGCGGGAATCGACATCAATGTTGACAGACTTGTGACGAACCATGTACTCCTGAAATAAATATTGTGTAGTTTAAAGTTGATTATGGAGTAAGAAATAAAAATCTGTTGTTGAACTATCAATTTGCTTTATACACTAAAAACATTTCCTCGTGTCACATGTCAATATCTCAAAGGCCCAGTGAAAATCCGGGTTAGAATTGGTCAACCCATGCTTGTCGTTAGTGGCGATTAACGTGATCGGGTGGCCATGCTCCCTGGCATGGTTAATGCATGTAATCATATCCCAATCGCATAGATCGATGCTCATGATGTCAATCACTGGATTGTCTGGTCCTGATCATTTACCATTTACAGACCACCGTCATATAGCTGGAATATTGATGAGTGCGCCTTAACACAAAAAACAACCATAAAACAAAGGGAAACCAAAGATTAAAATAGAAGCCACAAAAAAAACCCTGACAGTTATCTACCTTCAAACTGGATGGGCTTCCTTGCAGCAGGATCAGAATGAGTCTGTTCCAGAACACCAGTCTTCCATCCAAGCCGAGCTCGGCTGTCCACCTCCTGATAGTTTTAACATACTGAGACTTGGCCCTCATGTGATCCAGATGAAGCATCAGTGTCACCCTCCCCGGCTCCTGCCTCCTCATGGAGCCACACGCATCATCAGTCGGATGTAGCGACAACATCGACAGTTTGTCTTGAAGTAAAGATATCAACTCAATTAACATGGGACTGCCAGTATTGTCCATGGCATGCTGATTGGCAGTGTCCCGCAGTGTTTTGGACGAACGTCTGTCGATGGCTGCACTGAGAATGGACACATCTGGAGGTGTGTTGGGGTAGGATGGTGTGATGTCCAGCACAACCTTCACATCTACACCATCTCGATGAAGCTGGACTGTCACTTGGGTGTCCTTTTTGTCCCCTGTGATAATAAAACGTAGGTCAGTTCAGGTATACATACACTGTGACAATAAGCAGTGTAAGTATTACCTCAGATCATAGCAGACCATAGCTCTCTGTTATATCAGTGTGACTAAAATAAATATTCATGAGTTAATTTCTAACACAAATTAACGAAAAATGGAGTATAGATTAAGAAAACATCCAGGAAAACATGCATAATTGCCATAATTTACAGAACAAACAGGTGTTAGTTTCAAGAAAATAAACGCTGTGATCTATACTGGCGGGCATGTTTACATTTTCATTCCAAACATGACATGATATTGATTTGAATCTTATAACACAAACAATTCTCATGATCAAACTAAGTCTGTATCAACCATGCAGTTGGAATTAAAGATGATTCAGCTCAAATACTGCAAGAAACCAGTCCTAAAGTACTGTCAGTAATGTAACATGCATCATGGGAGCAATGTTAACAAAAACAAATGCAGCGTCATTTTGTCATTTTAGAAGGTGCACATCTGGAATTTTCTCAAAATGACTTTTGTGTGGATTAGATGTTTTATGAAGACTACATTATTATCATTATCAAGGAGTCACGTGCACATAATTCTATAGTCTGTTTCAGACTGCCATCATTGGACTTAGAATAGATGTGAACTTTTTCGGTTGAATTTATCTCCTGTAAACTTGTTGATAGGACTCCTTGTGACTGAAATACTTAAACCTCAGGTTGGGCGATCGGTAGTTACTTGATATTTCAAAATCAAGTCTGTGAAAAAGTATATCCTTTTTTTAACCGGCAAATAGCCGTTTTCTCGCATTTCCGACAGTAATTTAGTAAGAATGATATATTGCAGAGCGACAATCATCCTTTCAGTAGGCAACAGGTTATCATGTTTGAGCTTGACAACTGTTTACACGAATAACACTAAAACCGCTATGTCAATAAGTGTTTGTGTGCAATAATATTTTGCAGGTCGCAGAAATTATCATTAACATAATTAATATCCTCTGATCCGTTCATCATCAGCTGTTTCACATGTTGGTACTACGGGTACATGGTGACACATCAGCTGTTTTGTGACACAAAAACAGCTGATGTGATGATAGACAGTTGAAAAACGATGAACGGTGAGGTTTTCACGGTAGCCGCAGTCAACATAAAATCATTCATCAACCATGTACGATTTTCAGCTCTCCAGGCAAACAGTAGATAGACTTTAAGGCAAGAAGCTCGTCCTCTTCCATCACGAAGGTCCAGTGTGTTGTCTAAGGGAAACTACTCTTGTCTATTTTACCATGTAGTATGCTCCTTACAGCGACAACAGCTGATAAACAAACATATTAATATATGAAAAGGTACTGAATGGAGCTTATGCTCATCGGTCGGAATGAATATTCCCTGCTTATTTACGCCTCGTATAATACGATACCGACTTTTGCCGAGTGCCCCAATCTTGTTTTTTTTCAAACAATTAACTTCACCTTTTATCTGACAGGGCTAAGGAGAACATTAAATTTGAGGGAACTATTAAATTGTGGTTATTTAAAACAGTCGTTTATCACAGATGTTAGTATGAGCGATTGTAATCATTGATTGATCGTACCCTTTATAAGGGAGGAAAGTATCAGTTGTATGTGCACTTAGTACATTTTGCGAAAAGAATTTAGACTTTGGTAAATTCAAATCTGAACAAAGTGGGCAATTTGACATGGAGCATCTCGAAAATACACGAGGCGTCTATCACCCTTATTTACCATGGATTGCTCGATTGGCACGAACAATTTATGAAATAATTGATTTCCTACATTACCGGTCCTCTGCCGCCTGAGACTCAATCTCATTAAAATCAGATCTTAGTTCTCGCTATCGCTAAACAAAGCGGCAGCGAGAACATAGATCTGATTTTAATGAGATTGCCTGAGACTATACACGCGGTGCCATTGCGATGTTCTGCTCTGAAGGAGAGGTATTGTGTTGAAAGTACATGAAACTTTCCAAACGGGGCTGAAATGGCTTAGGTTCATAATTTAAATTGCTCTCACCTCCGGAGTGAATGTTCACTGCCAGGATTTAAATGAATTTTGTTTCTTAAGTGACAAGCTGATAGTCTCTATATCAAGATAAAATATTATAGTAGGCATACCATCGACCATGTAGACGCATTGATAGAGATTGCAATGCCAAAAACAAAAGCACCCATACATCGATAAGCACGCGCATACACACGCACAGACACACACACACACATGCAGTCACACACACACACACGCAAATACATACACACGCACACACACACGCACAGACATACACACGCAAAGACATACACACGCACAGACACACACACACAGACATATACACACGCGCGCACGCACCACTGAAGGTAAGTGAACAATATTGTCTTCAGATCAGTACTTGATATATCTACAGTTCAGTGCAGAACATGTCTGGAAGGATCATCGAAAAGCATTAAATCTTCACCATCAGATTAATAATGTGCAGACTGAGATCGGAATAGAAACATTTTAAATACAAAACTCATATAATAATTTGGGAATCAATAAGAAATGCAGCGATAGAAATTGGCACTAGTCCTGTACATAGTCCTTGCCAAACTACCCAAGGACTAGTACATATTTGCCATTTTAAGGGTTTTGCTCCATATTACGACCAATGGATTAAAGTGATCGCAGAAATTAGTTTCCAAGTCATTTATCATGTATTACGTCAGATAGGTTCCAATTTCACTGAAATAGAATCCCAGTACTCGCTACCCTCAAACACGTATCGAAACGGTTGCCATCTTCCCGAGGCAAGCGTGTCCACAAGCCTATATCAAAGCCTGGTGGAAGGAAAGACTTTGTAAAACTATGCTGACAGAAATCTGCGATTCGTTAATATAAATGCATGGTCTAAATTAATTTCCCTGGGAGTTGTGCAAGATTGTTACAGTCAAAATACTCTAGACTGGCACTGCGCGGTGACTGCGCACCGCTGTCGCACACCTTGTATTTTGGTTTGGTTTGTTGTTAACGCCGCACTCCGCAATATTCCAACTATATGACTGCGGTCTGTAAATAATCGAGTCCGGACCAGACAGTACAGTGATTGATATCATGAGCATCGATCCACCCAATTGGGATCGATGACATGTATCAACCAAGTCAGCGAGCCTGACCACCCATTTCCGTTAGTCGCCTTTTACGACAAGCATAGTCACCATTTACGGCAAGCATGGGTTACTGAAGACCTATTCTACCCCGGAATCTTCACGGGTCCGCACACCTTGCAGCAATCGGTACTGTAGATAGCAAGATTCTACAATGAATTTGGAATTTACTCGATTCTGATTGTCAATCAGAGGTTGTCAAATCACATTAAACCCCTAGCTCCTGATTGAACCAGCTGATTTGACGGCCGCAACATCGCGGTAGCTAATATTTATGGAATAAAGTATAGTAATTTTTGTCATTGTCGGTAGGCATATTTAAATAATTAAATCTAAATTTAAAGGTTGCCAAATGCAAAGTTGCGGTTACTACACTATTCAAAGGATGTGTGCAATACATTTCGTGCAGAAAGCACGATCGAAATCCACAAAGAGAATGTATTTTAAGTATCGGGGACACCAGAGAGGTAAATCTACCTAGCTCTACATTGAAAACACAGTATGCTTATCTCCTAATTAAACTCTTTAGAAAAGTTTAACAACAACAACAACAACAAATATAATTTGTAAAGTGAGTCCGTTTTTTTCATGTATTTACACCAGACGGTCCCGGTCAGTTTCAATTATTTAAACATCCGAAATAAGTACGACCCGACAATTGCAATTGGGCGTGTAAAAAAACTTACAAGTGAATGTGCAAATGTATGCATAGTGATTGACTGTTTCTACATTGTAGCAGTATATTAAAAAATAATAATTGAATGCTTATTTGCTATATTGATCAAAACATAACGTGAAAATTGCATATATTCCATCGATCCGATCATAATTTGAGTTCCACATGACAAACTTCAGTTGTAACAAACGCACGTGCTACAATCGGAACTGTTGAGCAACAAAGTTTACCAAACGAGATTTTCCGACTGCTCCCGGGGGCGGAAGATGCGCAGTGTTCGACTCGAAGATATGTAGCCGCCATGTTTGCTTTGTAATAGTTAGAATCGATTTGTCGACGAATAACCAAATTGAAAACTACAACAAGTGATTTATTATCGTTTGTGTAGATAGTCAACGACGATAAACGCCCTACGTTGATGAAAAGCTCATTATGAGCTCAGAAGGAACTCGAGATGTGGATGCTAAAGGTAGCGAATTTTTCCCGAACCTAAAGGTTTAGGTCTAATTTCCAAGTTAATGCCTGATCACGTTATTTATCGTATGCTTAAGAGTATCATACTTGAAATACAACCGTGGAAGGTGTCAACCTCTACTTGAACACATTGACGAATGTTTCAACCATCCACGAACGGCTTTAGCCTACACTCTGTGTGGGATTTATCTTTAGGGTTACGTTTTAATGGCATCGGAGTATATTTATCAGCAGCGTTAAAAATTGGCACTAGTCCTGTAGTTCTTGCCAAACTGCCCAATTGTTATATAGGACTAGTGGAAATTTGCCATTATGTGGGGGTTGACCATATATATATATATATATATATATATCATCATCATAATAAGGACTGGTGGACTGATAATGTTAGTTTCTGTCACTGCTCAGTGTTTCAGGTCAATACCCTAACATAATTGCTTTTGAAGGACTTTTTTGTTATGATTCACCTTGAAAGTCCCTAGAAATGTACATTGCCCTAAAAAGAGTTTTCTTTTAAACCTAGTTACAGACTTGAATTTAGAGCATAACGATGTCAACAGCTTGTCGTAACATCTATTTTGCAAATGTTTTTCCAATGTTGAACCTTTTCACGACATTATATTTTTTATCCCACTGATAACTCTAAATCTTCAATAAGGGTTGGCGTCTCTGGACAACATATTGCGAAGAGCGTATTACAGCAAGCATATCAAAACGTGTTTTACTTTTGCTCATTTTCATTATAATGTGAAATACTTATCTGAAAATAATGTGCAAAACTGACTCTTATACATGTAGGAATTATTAAAAAATCCTAATATAACACCTTGCTAATAGAGACATTGGTGTCACATGACTTGTTCTCTTAAACAACATCCAACAAGATCATGATAGTGCAAATTTTGTTCAGATATTCACTCATTGCTTATGTGGGCTCTCATTCCTTCTCGAAAATACAATTTTGCTCTTTTTTCCTCATGTATAACCTGAATAAATAGTAAAATCCATAGTAAGTTGTGTGGATAAATTGTTGTAGGGGAATAATTGTTTGCATGATTAGCATGACAAATTGACATAAACATTTCTGATTCTTTATGAATAAAATATATGAATCTGATATCAGATATTATAATAAAATGTATTTTGTATAACTGAAGAGGTGCACATGATCACATGGTGTTTGGTGATTGGGATTACTGGTACAGTTAGTCAACTTGAAAGTTTCTATTTCCACTGTTTTAATTCCCTCTGTTCATCGTATTACAGAATTCGAGACAGTCTTTGATTAATTTCATATTTGACATTTAGTTTTAATTTGCATGAACCATTTATGAAACCCAATGTTATAAAAACACTATGCATAACTACTCAATGTAGCCTTAGCAGCCTGCATACCTTCATTTCCTGACAAACTTGGGTCTTATTTTTAGTCTTGAAAAGGGGAGGGGCGGTCGGGTAGACTAGTGGTTAAAGGGTTTGCTCGTCACACCGAAGACCCTGGTTTGATTCCCGACATGGGTACAATGTGTGAAGCCCATTTCTGGTGTCCCCTGTGAATATTGCTAAAAGCGGCGTAAAACCATACTCACTCACTCACTCTTGAAAAGAGGGATCATTGTCTTGAAAAATTCTTTTGTATATCTTCAGTGGAGTAGCTGAAGTTTAATATTCAACTGACAAACGTTTTTCATTTCAGCTGATGTGTTTATCTTGATATTTATCTTCAATTTGCAGGTGGCGATAGCTTTGTAAATGTACTGGATGACATCCTTGACCTTGATGGCAATGTAGGAGAGGATGAACTGACAGCAGAAATAAACCAAGAAAAAGGTAATGAGTCCTTTGTTATCTTACACAAATTACAGTTACAGGTACACACTGTAAAATCCTGAAATCATAGTATGTTAGATGTCATTTTCATTTTTGATGTTTATATTTTACTTCGAATCGCATAGGATAGCAAGATTTCTACAGTGTGGTGTTTTAATCCCCATGTGGATTAATCTTGTAATGTCCCTGTTTCTAGTAAGTCAGCAGATTTGTTGGAAAGCTCTTGCCATTACAAGTTAAACTGAAAATGTTGCACATATGATATTTATTTTTCAAAGTTTTTTGCACACGGGTTGATTTGATATTTAGATGTGGCATTAAGATAGGTATACCATCAAGATCTAGGCTTAGATGACTTAACAATTGATGATAAGTCGTAATAGTTAAAACATTAAATATTGACACATTTATCCTACAGAGGCATCTGAAATTGCAGTGGAAGAGAAAACAATTGTCAAAGCAGATCAGACTAAGAAGAAAACAGTTGTAAAAAAGACAGTTCCCAAATCCAAACCAACCACAAAGAAAGTGGTGAAAAAAACAGTTGTGAAGAAGGAAGGGTCTGCTAATTCTGCTGTAAAGAAATCGGCCACACCCTCGAAGACAGTTCCAGCCAAAACTGTGAAGAGAAAATCTACTCCAACTGAGAGACCTGCAGTGTCCAAAAAGTCAGACCCGGGAGACCTTGCCAGTAAGCAAACTAATAATTTTACCATGGTTGGTGCTCAAGTACATAATTTGCACCATTAGAGAAAGGTACAAAATATACAAAGAAGGCAAGGCAAGGCTGAAACAGGAATGCTTTAAGTTTGTGATGAAATTTAGCTGCTACCGCTGATTTTTCAAATGACTACTGCATGTACTAGTACAACAAAAAAATTACTGACAAAAGAGATTACTGACAGAGAATACTGACAAAAGAGATTACTGACATATCAGATTATTCTTCCTTGGTCGTCTTCCCAATAGCCTTGGGGAATTCTCTTTACATGTGTCTTCAGAAATCCTTCCTCATCTCATGTTGGTGATGTCAAGGTTATCTCTGATGTTATTGTGAAACATTCATTTACTGTGAATTACTGTTGCACTTTTATTTTTACAATGCTGAGACTTTGGGTAATCATGGTAATTGTTTGATCTTAAGAAGTGGTCTTGAAATTGAATACAGACAAGGTCGGAAAGTAATGTTTTTGGGCTGGAAGTACTTGGTGGTACATCAAGACTTGAAGCTTTGAGGAAATGACAGTGACAAGTCTGCTTCTGTTTTTTCAAGTAGTTGCCTAGTCCATTTTAATGACGGGGAGATACTCTCTAATTCCATGCTATCAGTGAGTTCTAGTCTTTCTCACTCGAGATTCAACATTGTTCAGTTGAATTTCAAATATTATATGAGTAAAAATCCCAGAAACATAGTGGGGATGTTTTCTTTGGTAAAAATTGATAAGGATACTTGGTGTCAGCCCTTGTCTTATGCTTGTTCATTTTACAATAGGTTAAGATGGTGATGGAGCCAAAGTTGTCAGCCTATAACAACTGTCTCTTAAGCATGTTAAGTGATACCTTGCTGTGTCAATGTAATATGTCTCAATACTAGGAATTAAGTGTTATCGTGCACTGAACTTATGAACTGGTTCCTGTATTGAAATGGCTGATCGCATGCCTTTTTAGAGTTCATATCTCACACAAATGTAATATTGTAGTGTTTTTTTCGTGTCCAAAGGTTGTGTTCCTTTTGATATATGTCTTTATGTCTTCTAAACAGTGTAATGTATGGCTTCTTGTTTCAGCTGAAGTGCCAGAAAAGGTTGCTAAAGTTGAAAAACCCAAAACCAAAGTCGTGAAGAAAGTAGTGAAGGCTAAACCTAAGCCAAAGAAAGAAGTCCAAACAAAGGTTAAACAAGGTAAATCATTCATATCCTTCCTTCACAGTGAAGAGTTCCTTGTGTCCCATCTGTTAATGGGCTTGTATTCCATCTAATTATAATATTAAACCTTGATGTTCAGATGGTGATCAACATGTCAATTTCCTTTAAAACTTTGTCTGACTTTATTGAGAGATATGAATTTTGGTATTAACCCTAAGTGTAATTAATCAACCTGATTCTGATTTGAGAATGTTTCCAATCATATCTGGCTTGAAATACTGATTATTCTTTCATCTGAGCAGAGCTGGTTGAGGAAGACGACATTGGTGGTGACGAGTCGAGAGAAGAGGGTCAGGGAGACGAGTCTGAGGACCGCATCCACCTGAGTCTCAGTGCCGAGGAGTCCGAGGAACTTCGGCAGAGTGGGGAGGTGATGGACAATCAGGGCTACGACACCCGTAGTGAGACCGGCAGCACTGGGGAGGAGTCAATGGCCAGTGACAGTGAACCTAACACTGGTGAGAAGATAGTTGACCTCAGTTAAAGGATGAGTCAGAATGAGGCAAGATAGTTAACTGACATAAAAGTCCAGTTTCCTCCCTTGCCATCCTGGCCTGGAAGTTTGTGGCTCACTTGGAGTTCACCAGTGGCTATTTTTAGTTGTGTCCCTTCTCTGTCCCTTTGACTGCCCAATCAGATTCCACCTGTCATATCCCTTGCATTTGCTTCAAACAAAATGGCAATGCCCAGTCAAGATGATCTGATCAATAATCAAGACCTATATTGTAATAAAACATTTTTTACTTGTGAAGTGCATCAGATCACTTGATTAAAATATTTGGAAAATATCTGTCAACGCCCTGTTATCAGTACACATGCTTTGCAAATTGTGCAACTGACCGAAATCTGAACGGCAATCATCATCTTGTTTACAGATAAGATGTTACAAGATCATGAAGATGCTGGTAGTACATTAGGCCAAATAACTAATTAAATCATTCCCGGCTCACTACCAAATACACTGCCTCATCATTTTGTCATCAAGAACCTGCAGACAAATGAAATCACTGTTCCATGTTTCAAATACTTGATGAAATGCACTATATCATATTCCTACCAAACATTCATGGTTCATGTTACTCACATCTGTAGACCATTTATGTACACAGATGCCTTGAAGTGTCTTTTAATTTTTTTATAAATAAACACTCCTGCCTCCTATAAAGAAAAAAAACTAGTGTAGAAAAATATTAATTGATGAACTGTTGCTTTAATGTTATAAGAAAGTCAGCCTGTCTTTTACTATTTCAGTCTCTTGACTTCAGCCACTCGTTGGAAGCACAAGTCTAATTAAGTCTAATCTAATCTATGGTCTTCTAAGCTCAGTTAAAAGTACATGTAGTTCATATAATAACATTAAATTCAACTGAAACTTATGCTAGGAACCATGTTAGGGCAAGTAGTCTGACATGTTGGGGCGTTGGGGTAACCTAGTGGTTAAAGTGTTTGCTTGTCACGCCGAGGGCCCAGGTTTGATTCCCCACATGGGTACAATGTGTGAAGCCCATTTCTGGTGTCCCCGGATGTGATATTGCTGGAATATTGTTAAAAGTGGTGTAAAACCAGTCTCTCTCAGACATGTGATTCATGCATGTAAATGTTTGTGTTTTCATGTGCAATGTAGATAATGTATCATACATTTCCTGTATCAGATGGTGAGGCCAGCCCCAAGAAAAAGAAGCCCAAACATGGAGGGAAGAAGAAACGCCAGAGAGAGATATCTCCTATAGAGTGGGACCGACAGAGTGAAGAGAGCGAGGAAAATGATATCACTGATGCCAGTGAGGAGAGTGAGGAGGATGAAGAGAAGAGCGTGAAGAGCGGAGAAGGTGGCAAGAGTGACAGTGAGACAGAAAGGCGAAGTGAGTACTCCATGATTTGGTTAAAGGGGACAGGATGAAAGATGAACATACTATTTTTTGTGTCAGAATCAATGATTGAGTGTTTGGAATTTGATATCAAAGCAAGATTTTATAGAAAGTACATCCGTGGATATGAAGAAGTAGCTAAGAAAAAGTGGTATCTTTCAAATGAATACCAACATTCTTGATAGTTCAAAACAAATCAGTATACATGTTTTCATGATTTGCATAAGTGTAAATATGCTGTCATTTAGGATTAGCTCCTACTTCTAGATCAGATGTTGTTTCATGACATTTCTGGTAATAACTATATAACAGAGACCCAATGGTTTCAGGATATGCCAGCAAGGTGAAGTATCTCTTTAAGGGAGCCAGGTACTTTCTTATCAAGAGTAACAACCATGAGAATGTAGCTCTTGCCAAAGCTAAGGGGGTGTGGTCTACGCCACCTCAAAATGAAGCCAAGCTCAACCAAGCTTACAGGGTAAGGCTGTGCATATTTCTTTGGATTTGTAACCTGTCAAGAACCCATTAGCCACACACACATACTCAGTACATGTAATCTGTATCTACTAGATTTTCCTTGCCTCGAGTAGTCGTCTACATTCACACCTTATATATCTTGCCTATAGAGACCTGGGTTATGGACCCAGCTGTTAAGTGTGATCCACCAGTCATCAGTGAACTGTGGACACCTACTCCTCAGTTGAGCATTCTAAACATAATGTCACTCTCTTAGAAATGTCACACAGGACCTCTGCAGCAAGTTGCCAGATGTTTGCCTTGGTTTATAAACACTGCATTTTCTGTTTGGAATGTTTCTGTTTATGGATTTACTTGTCTTTCAGGAAAGTAATAATGTGATTCTAATCTTCTCGGTGAAAGAGAGCGGCAAATTCCAAGGTAAGTAACAACTCCACTGAGAACTCCATACACTCCGATGATAAAAAGTTTTTATGTTCTATATGTTCCTATGACTTGAAAACTACAACATAGATTCTTATCAAACTTGGTAAAACACTGTTGTTTCTATAAGAGAGGTGCAGAGCGAAGTTTGATTTCAACATTTGGATTTTCTGAAGAAATACAGCTATCATTCATTTTTGTGACTTAGAATATTTTACTTCAACATTTGTGCGACCTATTACTTAAAAAAACCAAACTACTTCATGGATTCTTTTCCAATTGGGTGTGTAGTTTCTATACCAATGGGAGAGGTGCAGTGCAAAGTTTGATTTTGAAAAGTGGATGTTCTGATGAAATATTGCTTTTTCACGTTCTGAACTTAGAAATTTGTTGGAGTTGAAGCCGGTGGTATTAGTGAGCCCTCTTCACCTTATGTTTTGTATTTAGAATTTATACTTATTTGAAAAGTTCCCAAAGTTGCCATGTTTATTGTGTATTTGTGGAAATATTGTGTTGAACATAGATCATGACTTATTTCAGGGTTTGCTCGTATTGGTGAGGAATCAACCAAGGATCACCCTCCCATCAGATGGGTTCTACCCCCAGGGATGAGTGCCCGTGCACTGAGTGCTGTCTTCAAGCTGGACTGGGTTGGGAGGTAAGGTCTTGGATGTATGGTGCTCACATTTAACATTCGGACTATGCTTGTCATAAGAGGCAACTATCGGGTGGTCAGGCTTTCTGACTTGTTTGATGCATGTCATAGTATCCCAATTATGTGGATCGATGCTCATAATGTCGGTCACTGGATTGTGTGGTACGGACTCAACTATTTAAAGACCGCAGTCATATAATTGGAATATTGCTGAGTGCGGTGTTAAACAAAAAAACAAAATAAAACCTTTAACATTAACTAAACAATGTCATCTCAACTATTAAGTTTTGGCTTCCTAAAAAGTTGAGGGAAAATGTAAGGCTAAATACAGCAAATCATCATATGTTAAAAGAATAGTCACCATAAGGCAGAAGTATGAGTTACTGTGAATGCACATTTACTCAGTTAAGTAAAACTGTAAACATGTGATTTAAGGTTTATGATTACACAGGTGAATGTTTTTCAGACGAGAACTACCTTTTACAAAGGCAGCTCATCTCCATAACTCCTGGAATGACAACAAGCCTGTGAAGATAGGAAGAGATGGCCAGGTGAGTACCTGGCATTGTCATAGATCTGTATGTGAATGGTTTCTGAAACTATATCAGCCTGGGGAGTGGCAGGTCGGTGGTTCTATCCATGGCCACATCACACTCAAAGTTGCTAAAAGATGGCACTCACCATTAAGGGGATAAGACAAGTACTGGTCAGCACAGTATACTGTGTCTATATGGGGTATCCTTATGAAACTAAGGCATGGTATATCAGCACTATAAAACAGGCATTAGTCTGGACTAATATATGCAGCCACACCCACACGTGCATGTACATCACTATGTAAGTGCAATAGTTTTGAACGTAAAGTTAAACCCCATGCTTACCCCACTGATGCTTGATGGAGCTATTTGTAATGAGAATTTAGTAAAAGTCTGGCTTTCTAGTCATTCCACAAATGCTACTGTTGGTGTATATTTTCAGGAAATTGAACCTCGATGTGGTGAAGCCCTGTGCAAGATGTTTCCACCGGACAACAAGCTGGACATCAGTTCAATTGTACGCAAAGCTCGGAGATCCCGTCATCTTGTACGTCCGGAGAGACCCCGTGACAGACCAAGGAATCCGCGCTTCAACGACATGGCTAGGTTAGGACCTATAACATTGCCACAGACTTCACATAGTGGAGGAAGAGGACTTACATGAGTGTTTTTCCTTTCAATATGGATACAGTGGTGATGTTTATCATTTCTAAATCCAACTTGCTCCCTGAAGCAAGAGAGGTCTGTGCATTGGGGTGTGTAAGGGTATTAACTCTTTCTTTCTTTAAAAAAACAAGATCTATTTGGGTGGGCATTTGGGTGGGTGGTAAGTACCAATGGACTAAAAGTTGTCGTTTTTAACTAAAATTTCTGGAAGGATCATTACAGGGTAGAAGTTCCAATTTCTGGAACTGGTAAAACCAACATTGAAGACTTCCAGAATTTGTGCCTCCAGTGCCTCTCTAATCAAGAGGTGTGGATCTTTCATCTCGTCCGTCAAGGCCTTTTAGAATATGCCTGCAAGAAATATCCAATTAAAGCTTCTAAAAAGCTAAATCCAAACCTGTGAATGGTTTTCCAAAAATGCCGAGCTGAAGTTTAAGTGTTAGCCAGAGACGATTCCGGCTCCCCATATGGACTAAATACCACCAAAGCATGCAGTGCACTTCCCATTGTGCCTTATGGACTTACCATGGGGGATGCATTGCTTTGTTAAGAGCACAAAAATAGGGATGGTGAGTTCACCTAGCCACTCTTGTGGACAGTTGTGTTTTATGTGGCTTAAGTCTGGATGTTCCTGGTAGCGTCCCTGTCCTTGCAACCAGAATGGACTAAAAATGTGGGCCGTTGGTCGAGAGCCAAGGGTCTTGTCGGTAATAAAAAAGGGACCTAACGTCTTCTTCATATTAAGCTTTAATTGGGACTAATATAAGTGTGATAATGGACTATCTGTCAAATCGATACGGGACCAAGTTTTTAATCACATGGGACTCCCCGTGTCTGGGATGTGCTGTGTTAATTCGAGATGTGTTTCCTGCTTGCCGATGTACGAGTGCCAGATTCGGGTATGTGTACTTTAACTATTTGTTGCAGTTTTAAGTACAAGAAAATGAAAGCATTTACCCAAATCCTCAACAGGCAGACAGTGAAGGTTTGTTGTCTGTTGCATCATGCCACCTTTCTGTGCAGCGTCTTGTACACATTTATTTCATTAGTGCCAGGAACACTCACGAAGATGGTGTCTGGTTTACTGGTACACTTTCATAAAATACACTCTTAAACATGTTTAATATGTCTTTTGACCCAAATTGCCAACCCATCTGTGTTGTACAAAATAGCTAACCATACACTTTACACCAGTATTTCATGTGAATGATTGACCGTACTGACATTGAGCATTGGTTGGCTGTTTCCATTCATGGATGTTGTACAACACTGTTATCAGTTAATTACATTGTGTATGTACTGTTGACATGCTAACTCTTACACAAGAATACATTAGGGGATACCCATATACATTAATTAGTTAATACCCTTGAGCTAAGACATTGAAAATGAACATACATTTAAGTAACTAAATATTCATCATCATGATTGCAAATCTTTTGAACAATGGTTATGAAGTGTTAGGCTTCAAGAAAATATTTTTGAGAATCAACAACCCACACACATCACAGTGATGAAACACTTTATTTCCTTTTGAAGATAGAAATATTTCAACTTCTGATATCTGGTTGGACATGTTAGTAATTTTGTTACATGTGTTATGAACCGATAAGAAACCAAAGCGAACCAACCCTATTGATAAACATATTAATGCCAGAATATATCACTAACAGGGATACTAAGCTTAGCTAAAAATAGTCCATATAATTACACTAAAATCTACTCAATATGATGATCAGAGACGTGTTTGGGACAGAAGACTCGAATGTTTTTAGCATAGACTGCACTCCTAGTGTGATCCTAAGTTTCAGCTATGTCTTTGGATTATCAAGGCGATGATGATGTAAACTAGATAAGATCAAAGAACATTTCTTGAACACTCTGCAGAAATGCTTTGACACAGACATAATTAAATGTGATTAATGCACAAGAAACATGAATAAGTTACTATCAGGAAAGCAGTGTCATGATCAGACCTGAGTCATCAGTGTGGAGTAGCCAGTCACTGACCTGGAATTTGACCTCACACATTCAATTGATACCACTTATCTCAAGTGGTTTCCCACCAATAAGTGAAAATGAAATGAGCTTTCACAACAGTAAACATGGTAAACTGAACAGATGAATGGTAAATGAGCATATGAACACACTGAAATTGAAAAATGCACAGTATGTCTCACAAAATAAACTGTGAATTCAGAAATTGAAAAGAGCATTACCTGTCTCAGCTTTCTCAGTTACAAAGTAGAACTTCTTATCTTGCTCATCGTGTAATGAGATTCACTGATTTCGAAGATGGATCAAAAGTTTGAATTTGTTTGTTTACTTATGTTGGCAATCTTATTTTCCAAAGAACACACCAAAACATTTAAATGAGTGACGTGTTGCACAGTTGAAAACAAAACATTTTAATCCCGCGATCCATATGGACTACTTACACTATGTTACAGCTTTTCTTCATGTGCTGGGTGGTCGGGTAGCCTAGTGGTTAAAGCGTTCGCTCGTCACGCCGAAGACCCGGGTTCGATTCCCGACATGGGTACAATGTGTAAAGCCCATTTCTTGTGTCCCCACCGTGATATTGCTTGAATATTGCTAAAAGAGGCGTATAACCTTACTAACTCACTCACTCACTCTTCATGTGCTTACTGGTGTAACAATGTTACTTCACACACAGCAGAACGGACTAATTATATACTTCAGGAATCAACATGATCAGGGCCTTTGGTCATCACGATTAACTTATCATGACATATATGAGCAGTGAATATATTATTAAAGAACAAAAGTAAGTGTAATGTTAGGAAATCTATTCTCAGTCCAAGCAGTACAAAATGCCTAAACGTTGCCAACAAGTTATTATAATATTTTTGTACAAAGACGATATTTTATTAATTGTCAATTATTCATTCTTTCTGAACCATCAATTGCAACATAACAAAAGACAATAAACTGTTTGAAATTTTTGTGATTATAGCACAATAAAATGTTGAAAGGAGATTCCAGTTCAGAATAGGTCAACTGAGATAGGGTTCTAAGACACTACTTGTTACATGTCATTTTACCCCAGTGGCGTGGAATATTGATTATGCTATCTTTATTGCTTAAATAATGCTGATGAACATATGAGTGAGTTGGGTTTAACGCCCATTTGAACAGTATTCCAGTTATAACAGTGTGTCAACTTGATGTGGGGAAAAAGCCCATAGTGATGCAGGTCTTAGATGGCTACCACTTTGGTGAAACCCACAAGCAGGGGTATGGCGCTGAAAAGCTTAGAAACATGTTTGGGGTAAACCACAATACGAACCAACTACCGGTACCATAGATTTCTGGTGTGCCCAAGGGACCCAACTCTACACAACAGATTGCGTCACCTCAGACGACAATGCCTGATTAAGTAGACTTGTAAGGACATACATTAAGGTCCGTCTTAAATTTGTCCCCTGTGGTCCTCATTGGTGTGGGCATATATCAAGGAAGTCACTCTTTTGGCTATCATGGGCTATGGGAAATTCTTTTTAACACTTATCACTCGTCATAGGTCAAGGTCATATATCCTGAAGATAAGTGTTTTTTTGTCCATTAACAAGAGAAACATTTCCTGGTCAAGGTCTAGTAAATTAACTTCCTTAAGTATGTTAAGTTGAGAGGTCATGAGTGACCTAGGTAGAAGGTCAGGGTCACGGTGAAGGTTATTAATACGTTTGCCATTTTCACCATAATGCCTATATGTGCAGATATTTTTAAGCCCTATGCATGTACTGCTGAACACAAATTAAGATCACAACCTGACAATCAAACGGGTGGATGTGCATAATCCATGCCGTCAATAACAGCAGTGGTGGAAGGTTTCCCTGTTGGCTACAGTAAACTCAACTATTGACATACATGTACAACATAAACGAGATGGGCACAACATCACATAGTCAGTTATGTGTTCAGTGGAAATGGATTGTTCCATGACATGGGAAATGCCTTCTGTCCCTTACCATGCTTACTACAGTGTTCACTCCGATTTTCTTCAGCAGTGGTGGTCATACAATGTGAGTAATGATACAGTAGTTGGTCATGGTGACCTACTTCCAATGCTACTTTAAGTAAGTTGCTTATGATTTATTTTGTTCCATTGAATTCTTCCTTAGAATGCAATATTTGACTATAAATTATATGCTGTATATCCTTACAATAAATGCTTGAAATATTTGCCAGTGATTTTTAAGGTCAAATTCACTCTCAAGGTCATACACTAACGAATGTATGTTTAAGATGAATCAAAACATGTTTACTGCTGTCAGGTATGATTTATTACATGTCCAAAATGTGGAGTGATGAAGTGGAAAATTTTGAGTGATCTTCATTGAAGGTCAAGGTCAGTAGTGTGATAGTTTGTAACAATGTTCTGGTTTACTGTTTACTGAATCAACCTGCGTTGATATGACATGTTAGAGATGGCTGCCATGTTTCCAACAAGAAATAGACATGTGATTGGTTGAAATTTGGGATCAAGATTGTACTGGAAGTGCATATTATGGTTATATGAAGGTAATTGAAACCATTGGCAGCATATTTTGTTGTTTTGTTTTTTAATGGAGGTGCACTTCATCATGTACATTTGTTACGTTATTGTATGACAAATTCAAACATAAGTAGTCATATCTAGGGCTGTAACGATACAATTCATTTTGACATGATGGTTATCTCGGGACCATTTTACAAAACAATTGTATCACCATGACTGTCGTAACTGAAATACTTTAACAAGGAGTTATGATAAGATACGATACAATATATGAAAACACATCGGTATAGCCATCAGTATGTCCGTCCGTCTGTAATCATTGTTTGTCCGGAGCATATTTCCTAAACTGTACAACCTAGCTTCCCAAAACTTGCTACACTTAACAATCAGGCTCAGTAGAAGTTCCTTTTGCTATTTAGAGATTTTTAGAATTTTATATTTTTGTCGTTTCCATGGAAATATGATGAGCTTAGGAAATTTGAGGGTAGTGCTCTTGTCTGGAGCATATTTCCTAAACCGTACAATCTAGCTTCCCAAAACTTGCTACACTTAACAATCAGGCTCAGTAGAAGTTCCTTTTGCTATTTAGAGATTTTTAGAATTTTATATTTTTGTTGTTTCCATGGAAATATGATGAACTTAGGAAATTTGAGGGTAGTGCTCTTGTCCAGACCTTATCTCCCGAACCATACAACTTAGCTTCTCAAACGTTTTTACACCTATCAAGCAGGTTATGTAGTGGTGCCTTTGCTATTTACAGATTTTTCCTTTTTTTTTTCTTTTTTCAATTTAAATTGGAAATTATTGAACTTAGGGTAATGTCCTTGTCTGGAGCATATCTTCTAAACTATGCGACAGAGATTCACCAAACTATGCAAATATCTATCATGTTCACTAGTAGTGCAGTTTGTGATTTTTATATATTTTAATCTTTTTAATTTGTAGCCCCTGACATATAATGAAACAAGATGTTTAGGTTTGTTTTTTTGTCAATCCCTAGTACATTCTCTTTATGCCTTTGTGTCATGAGGCTACTACAGAGCTATTCATATGCGAATCTGTGAAGTTATTGTTATTATAATTTCATGAGATCATCAGAAAGTGAGCTACATGAACCAATATTTAATAACCTTCATTATATTTCTGGTTTTGGCATCAAGGAAAAAGATTTTCTTGCCAATCTAAATACATTTGAAGGTACACACAGTTTACCGACATGCCACGTCGGGGGTGATATGTCATCTTCGGATGTCTCTTGTTAGTATAATCTTTAGCAGCAGAACGTGGACCTAATGCCTCAACAGTGTCTTTACTTCTTGGAAGACTTATTTTTTCCATACACACGCTACCCATGATATCCTTCTCTTGCATTCAGTGGAAGACAAGGGTGTTGGGGTGACCAAGTTGTCTTAAGGTGCCACAATTCTCTGTGCAGAGTTGCTTGGTTTCACCAAGGTGGTAAAGGTCTAAGACCTGCATCACTTCCTTTCTTTCCACAAGTTGACACACCATGATGTAACATGAATACTGTTCGAAGTAGCCTTACACCTAACTCAGATCACTCTCAGTAGAAGCACTCACTCACACAGTATAAGACAAGTTAGTTACTATCTAAACATGAGATAAAAAGTCAAACCATGTATTTTCACTATATGCTTTTAGGTTGCATTCTAATACAAAATGACATGGGTACAATGTGTGAAGCCCATTTCTGGTGTCCCCCGTCGTGATATTGCTGGAATATTGCTTAAAGCGGCGTAAAACCGTACTCCCACACACATACTCTAATACAAAAATGAATGTTTATGTCTGGTAATCAACAAAAACCTACAGGTATTTCTCTTCCTCTCCCCCTACCTCTTACCTCTTACAAAACATGCTGTCTGTGCAGAAGAAAGTTACATATTTTACACATGAACACATTTTACAAACTGGCAGTAAGGTGCTGATGCAACATTGATGTATTGTTCTCATCATATTGTAAATTGTAGCAATATCCGAGTAGAAATGAAATGTGGCTCACCTTGACTTGCAGACGACGACGACACAGTCGAGAGAATTTTTATGAAGGACCTCGAAACAAGAGAAGCAGAGGTGACTTTGGTGGCAGAGATGGTTAGTTGTCATTACCATGAGGGCAGTACACCATCTGGAATAATATTTATTGACAATATGGTTAACCCATCAGACTGATGGCACCGATACGAGACTTGAAATTCAAAAACAGTTCTATCATGGTGGTGATGATTATGTGGTTATCCTGTACTTGCATGCTTTCCCTGCATGTGATGGATGTCGCAAGTAAAATTGCTGGATAGATCACTTTCCATCAAGTGACGATTTCAGTTTTGGGTTTGTGAAAAGGTGTTTTTGCATGGTAGTCTTACTTTGACCTCAAATTTGAAAGTTTTCTTTGTAAATGATTTTTTAAAATTTATTGTTCCTGTTGGTTAACCTTTCAAGTTTACTTTTGATTTACGCGGTCAAGCTTGGATTGTTTTTGCATGATTTTTTATTCAAGTTATGCCATACAAAGATATATGGTAGCCATCATTCACAAATGCAGTATTTTCTTCATTTTAGGATTTTTCAAGGACAAAAGAATGGAGAGGTATGGAATATCTTGATTTTAATCAGTGTTTATGAAGATTTGTCGAAAGATCTCTTAAGCTTACTTGTGATTGGCTAATCTGGAAACGTGCTAACATACTGTAAAGGAAAAGTAGTTCAGAGATATACGCATAAGGATTATTTTGCAATATTTGAGCTCTCTTAGGTTACAGATTATCATTAGAGAATTGGGTGGGGGTTGGGAGGTGTCTATTTTTTCTCTTATCCAGTGCCTTGCATTGCCATTTGCCCTGGTTCAATGACCACTGAAAATACTCTGTTGTGCATCTTTCAGTGAGATTTACAAATTGTAAAATTATAAAGATATTAAATGTAACCTAGAGCATGTAGAGGAGCATAAAAATATATCTTTACTCGTCAAAGGTAAATTATCGTTGGTCACCTAAAGGCATTTGTTATCTCACATGGAACTGTATAACCATTCTAAACAGAAGAAGTATGCAAATAAAACTAGTATTTTTAACTTTGGCAGAGGGAACTTGAAACCAAAATTTGTAGCCATGTTTTTTCTTTCCAGAGGACCTCGTGGCTTTCCAGGTGTTCGACGTGAAACCTTCCTCAATGGGGTAAATAAGCTATTCTGTTGCTTGAGAATATAGTGAATTAAGAACTTGGATCTTTACACTTCCTGAATGTTTGTTACTGATCTCAGTACTAAACAGTTGAATCACTTTCTTCAGCATGTTCGGTTATACCATTCTTCTTTATACAAGGATATACTGTTATTTCAGTCCTACAGTGACTACATGAGAGAGTTTGCCCACACCCGCCCTCCAGTTCCACCTATGACACCATATGGCCCACCGGTAAGACTTTCCTTTCAGTCCCTGCCAACATGGAAATTGAGGGTCTTATGTTCCCCCTCCTTGTTTTACTCAAATAATTCATTGAAATTCACACACGTAGATGTTTTTCTCTCTTTACAAAGTAGGGCCCATTGGTCTAAAGCACTGTTCTCTCTAGTTCTGCTTGAACCTACTGTTTTGGGTTTGAATCAGATACTTGCCCTGAATATGATCATTGTGAAGATCTATGCATGTGGATTTCTCCAAAGTAGTCATAATCAAATGTCTACAACAATTGTTGGAGGATGCACAGCCAGCCCAGTGGTCTCGACTTGCATCCCTTTAGTCAGGCCATTATCCCATGATCATTGGTTTGAATGACACATTCACCCTAAGTATGATCATTGGTTTGTCGCCCCGTGAAGATCTGGGTTAGAATAGGTCTTCAGCAACCATGCTTGTCAAAAAAGAGGCGACTAACAGGATCGGAACTATATTCTTATCGTTGAAGGTCATGACATGATTTTGATATAGATATGACTCTGCAACTGTTTGTAATTGGAATTCCAGCCACCTGGCTACTTCGAGCCCCCACCATCATACACCACCCACTATGACAACCGTGCACCCCGGGACTTCATGTCCGGCCCCAACTATGGAGATATGTCCATGAACAGACAACGGAGGGATGGCAGAGAACCAGATAAACGCTCGGTACATATATTCACATATTTAATGGTCTTCAGGTGGTAACCAAAGTAGATGTTTTCCATGGCAGTATTATGGTCGCGTCCATTGTGTGAGTAGAGTTTATGTGAATCTACACCAGTTTTTCTTACGATATCTTCTTAACCAGCAATCTGTAATCAAAACTATCAACTGATTCCCGAAGTGTCTTTGCAGATTCTGATATGCTCATAATTGTTAAAGAACACAGTTTTTGTCATAAGTAAGTTCCATATATGTGGTATACAATTCGTTTCTCTCAGACTACAGGGAAATTTGTGTTATTACTCCTGCATTTTCTGTTCACAGTACGAGAGAGAAGTGAATGAATTTCTTCGACGAACAAGTCATGGCACTCTGGGCGGTAGTCGAGATCGGGAACGAGACAGGGAGCGTGATCGTGATCGAGAAAGGGATCATGATAGGGATAGGTCACGGGAGAGGGACAGACGTCATCGAGACCGTCGATGATGGGATGTGGAGATATACGCATGTACAAAGTGGGTTCAGTGCTCATGGGGTTGTGTGAATGAGGGATAGTCTGAGATGTGTTCAACATTGTTGATACCCAAATGTGGTCAAAATATTGCATAGACATAGATAGGAAGGGCAGTATTTATCTGGCCTGGTTCAATATTTAGTTTACATATGGAAATGCCAAGTCTCATGAAGGAAGGGCAAGTATTGATTACAATAAGGCATTACCTAATTTGTGTAAAGATATTTCTGGTGTGTTGCATGTTATGTGGCATGTTGGATCACATAGTATGTTGATGAAAGAAAGAATAATGGAGGGTGAATGTTAACTCATCTGAACAAAATATAAATGTTGATATCAATCTGTACTGTCCATTATTTTAATCCATATGCAAATCTCCAATCTATAGTTGCAGTGTTTGACACTAACACTGGTCTACTTGGCCGAGTTTGGCATATTTTCTTAAGGACCAGTAAAATGAAATAAATCATGGTCTGATGTTATTTTGGGGGATGAACAAAGTAATTAAAGTTAGTAACACTTTTGAAATCAGTGTTAGATGGACTCAAAGCCAAATCAGCTACCTAAACAGCCCTGTATAGTGGTTACTTTCTTGACTGGTTCTAATAATGCACGCTCACTTGTATGAACAGGATAAAGTATCTGCAAACATGGGAAGGGAACTAATGAATCTTACACACAATATATGGGAAAAGGCTATGAGTTGACCTGCTGCAAACAAATAAACCTCTGAAGTTAACCAGCATTAATTTGTCTTTTATTCCTGCCATTTGGTAAACATTCATTTTGTAGAATTCAAATAAAGTAATATCATTTAGGTCCTGTTTCAGTCAGCACCATTGTGTCGTATAAAGAACCGACGGGACCAGTAGGCTTTTCTAGGTGCTGGTCCTTAGAACCACTGACATATTTTGGTCAGTGTCAAACACTGAGTTGTCCTCAAGATCTGCTAGTTATACTGTTATAACATATGACATCATTGCATTTATGAAAATTAATTGTGGTGCACAAGTGCTGTCTTTAGACCAATGCATATATTTGAAACAATTCATCTGAGTACCTTTGGATATATACAATGTCCAAGTTTGTATTGATAGTGATGGAGAATGATTATTGGATTATTCTTATTTTATTATTAATCTAGTTTTGTTTGTGCTTTTGTCATTTGTTTCATAAGCTGAATGTGATGCAAGTAAACCCTTATAGATCTTAGTATACAATATTTTGATAGTTTGTGTTCTGGAACTGTTAAACCTTAATTGGAAATGCTTCTCATACCACATGAGAAGTTTTGATAATTATTGTATAAATCTGAGATACTTTCACAGAAGGGACAAACTTTGAAATTTGATTATGCCATGAAAAGGCTGGTTTAGAATGTGTACCTATACATTTACCTTAAAGTGTGTTTTACACCCATGGTACTATTAAAACCAATATACCTTCACTCTTTTTGTATTAATTGTGATCAGAGACTATTTGTATGGTTATACATTGCTTTCAACGTTTGATTGGGGGAGTAAATGGGTTGATGAGGACTACAATTGTTTGTAGATACAACATTGACCATTCGTGGTATGTGAATATAATTGGTATGTCATTACCCAGACAGAACATGAATGGTGTGTTTGTTTTATCTCGTTTTTTGCATGCTCATGCAATTAATCATATCAGAATATTTTGGATATGGGAATTCAAGTACTGTGTTTTCACCAGAACAAAATGAGGGCACTTGGTGTTTGCAGTATTTGCAGATGCTGTTCTGTCCATACCAGTGTATTGTTACATAAACAGTGCTTTTGTACCACACTCTGTGATGATGATCTAGTGCATTTACCACAATTTACAATGGTCACTGTTGCCCTTCATATGTCAGACAGATGACTCTGGACATTCAAATGCCTTAAGAGTATTTGCATTGATGTTGTTCTTTACTTGTAAAGAAAACTTGAGATTTGTTTTGCTGTCTTGATCTGTGACCATCTTACTGTTTCATATCCAGTCTCATCATCACTCATTGTGCGGAAGAGATAAAGATATGAAATCCTGTAGACGTTAATTTGTTTATAAGCCTTAGTCTCTGCTGAAATCCTGTGAAACTCTATAATGATATTGTATTATTTCCCCAATCATATTAAGGCATCACATTGTGTTATTTCAGTGTTTGTTTACTGTTTGAACAAATTGAGATAATTTTCAAGAATGTCATAAATTGAAACTACTTTTACTGTCACTGGTTATTAACTTTGTTAAACAGGTTACAGGTGGGTGATCAGATTTGCACAGTCACATTTCCAATGGCCTGTTTTTTATTGCATATTTTGATAAAGACATATTTTATCTATTAACCCTCAGTTTTTATTGATAGATTTTCTTTTTTGACTGGACATTGTAACAGATGTTCATAAGAGACCTCCTCAGATAGACGAATTGTTCCTCTTTACTTTGTTTAGATATTAACCTCCAAATCTGATCTTGCACATGTATGCATGAACAGCAATTTATTCTTGAACAATTATTTTATATTTTTAATTTTTTTTCTAGGCATTCTTGTCATGTTGGTTATGTGGTTTGTCATACTTAGCAATAACTATATGGATGTGTCAGAACTATAAAAACCATGTCAAAAAGGTTGTCAAAGAATATCACAGAAAGTGGAGTACATTTTGTGTGTGGTTGAATTACATAATTGAAATGGAAGGTGAGCAAAACAGGAAGAGGAGAATGCTTGTGGTTAAGTATTGTCAGATGTAATAAGTTCATTATTTACCATCATACATTTGTATCATTGCAGAACCTTAATTACCTGTCAGTAAAATTATTTATTTTCTGATTATTTATATATTATATAGTAATAAGTTATGTGGAATAATGAGGACTGTTCTCTCTTTGATCAGTGTATGGTGAACTTTACAAACAGACAGTGTTATCTGAAGCAAGACAGGCCACTTGAATCTTTTGACACCTGTGGACAAAAGTATGTTCGATAAACACCAAGGAAAATCATACTGTCCGATGTCATTCTGACAGATACTGAAATTAAGGCCGGTTCGTTCAGTATTAATACATGGTGTGGAATTGTGAGCTCAGGTTCTGCTACTTGCTGTGCAGAGTAGGTCTCCTGGCTATATGAGGATCTTCAGTTATGGGTTAGAATAGCAGATTCTCACACATTTGCTATGGTCCATCCACGCTGTTATTGTGCTTGTGGGGTTTCCCAAAATGATAAATGTCAATGATCTGCACCATTTTGAGCTTCCCCCCACATTAGCTCAATAATGTAACTGAACTGATCAAACTCTCTCTCTCCCTTGCTTGTAGTTACTTTCAGCTTCCATTAATTTTAGTCTTTTTTGTTTTATACATTAAATTTGAATACCTTAGCATTGAAAGCAAAGTCTGTTTTATCTTTTCTGATAGTCATCTTTTGGTTTTAGAATGTTTAAATTGGATGTAAGTTTTAAGAACTTACAAAGTGCCCTTTCCTTGGTGTAATAGCTAATGTACTGAGCCAAAGAATAATATTGTAGATCCATATATTTCATTGGTTGGTTCATGACCCAGTCATTTTGTACATTCATCTGTCTCATTGTTTTCACATCAGAATGTTTTCATGAAACACTCAAAATGGTCACACTTGTCCTTCAGGTACAAGTTTTAAAATGTATTGTAAATAAATACTTTATAAGATATCACTTGTCTGTCATACAGGACTATCTTTCCTTGGAGAGGTTTGTGGTTTTAAACCATACTCAGCAATCTTCCAGCTATATGATGGTGGTCTGTAAATAAATGAGTCTGGACCAGACAATCCAGTGATTTACATCATGAAGATAGATCCACGCAATTGGGATGACCTACATCAACCAAGTCAGTGAGCCTGACCACCTGCTCCCCTTAGTTGCCTTGGAAGAGTAACACTGTACCTTTCAACAATGTTGTGTATGTGAAATATCCTCAACATATGCCCATATTATATCTGTAGAGGGGGCATGAATGGCCCAGTTATCTTGGTGCTGTAGTCATATTTCCAGCATCACAGGACTGCCTCCGTGATCTATTGGAAGAGCGTCTGCCCAGAGAGAGGAAGGTCAGGTGTTCAATCCCAGGCGACGTATTACAAAAAGATGTTAAGAGATCTCAGTGTGCTAACACTTTAATTAAAAATCGGCATTAATCTGGACTAATACAAGCAGCCTCACACACGTTGATATGCATAATCTTGAACGTGAGGTTAAACCACTTTTCACCTCGCCAGCACCACAGAACTGTAATAATGTTGCACTTAACCCATTATTGGGACACTTCTTAAAAACTGCCAGGCTTTTGGTATGTATTTTACTGTAGAAGCCATACAAATTGGAATTGTATCAACTCTGTGATGACTGTCCACGAACTGGTGTCCACAGGCAGGTGCCAATCTCTACAGGATTCAATTTGAAATACGAAGAAACTGACATGGAAAGCTAGTTCTGTAGCTGAATACCTCTCATTATGGTCATTACAAAACACTGATTGTACAATGTTTTATTACTAAATGAAAAGGGGTGGTTTGTTCTAATATGAGCATTTATCTGACACTTGTTTGGGAGGACAAAAGGATACATATGTATGTATGACAATGATATTTAAAAAAACCCACATTTTCAGTTCAAGACATGATTTACTAAATGAAATACATAAGGGTTAATATGTAATTGACAAAATGAATGTGTCATTACTCTTTAGTCTTCTGGCCTTCAGGGTAAACACTCAAGAAGCATATGCCGTCGGGCTTTTGTATGTTCATGTCTTTGTCAAGCCCTTGGCACTTGGACTTCATACACATAGCTGGTTGGTGTTGCATTTGTCACTGGTTTCCCCAGTTTTACTTCAAGGCATTTATGCCAAAATCTTTTCATTAGCTGTAAAAGCAAAGACATATAGTAGCCCTTTATTCAGAAAACTGTTGATAGCTGTCAGAAAAGTCAGAAGAAAAATATTTCTGTGAAAAAAGCCACAGAAAAAATTGCATTATTCCTCAATTCATACCAACTTTTAGTATTCGAAGTATATTAAGACTTTTAATAACTCATGAAAAAAAAGTTTTATGAAGTTTCAATATTAAATGGTTAAAAACTTATTAGCACATTATCACCTGGAACAAACCCATTCCACTCTAAGCCTGCTGTTGTAGTAAGCCTACACCTAATGCTCGAGTGAAGGTATCAACAAAATCTATGTAATTGAGAGAAGACTGTCTCAAGATTTGAAGAAAAGCGATTTATGTTTACCATGCTATGTTCAAAAATATTCAGAGAAATATAGTACAATGCTACACCGAAATGCTTGCAAACTTCCATCTTGCAAAGGAAAGAGTTCAGTCCCACACCACATCACGGGGATGCAATGAGCTTAAGTGACAACTCTTCAAAATGTATGCAGCTATTCCAGCATTAGCATGCTTAGTGTTTTAGTATTTTAGAACCTCATTAGAAAATCTAAATGTAATCAATATGTTTAGAAAAATGAACAGCACACCATCTAGAATTGATAGGTCCAACTACTACAACAGTTTTCTCACCTCGTTAGATTTCTGAAAAAATGCTGCCCATGTAAGCATTTCTAAAATGCAAATACTCAAATTTGACAATCACCAATGAGTTTAGGGTTTTAAGTGCATTCAGCAATTTTTCTGCAATATCACGCCAGGGAACACCCGAATTGGGCTTCACACACTGAGTATCAAGAGTTCTTTTCTTCTACAAGTAGTGACTGTGAATCCCAAAGCCAACAAGTTCCATAGCCCTGGACCGTTTCACAAAGCGATCCTTGCGCTATGACTGTTTGAGTCTTAAGTTAAAGTAGTTACTATACGCATTTTGTGAAACACTCTTCTGTATCCTGCATCCCAGTTCGCTCTTGCCATCAGTCTGAAATGTATCGGTTCCTGTGTTCACACCCATCAACGTCTACATGTAATGAATGCTTTCCTCCAATTCCTTTCCACTGCTGGTGTATTTCGATATGTTGGTTTCATTGTTCAAGGAAGAATTCTCGTTCTTCTGTGCTTTGTCTTTGTCCTCTGGGCACATAACGTCAACATCTGCGATGATCAGTGATCCATCTATCCTGCGATAAAAGCGCCGAGCAAGCAGCGCTAGCAAGAACATTTCCACAATGATAATCAGATGGTTCCAAACTGAAATTGAAAACAGAGGTAGTTAACATGTTTTCCAGTCAGATTACATCTTTTACCTTTAATCAGTGGAAACATTCTGATGATGGTGCTATGTTTTTCAACTTTGATATTGGTGTTACTAATGTTAAAATGGTGGAATAGGATCCTTTGGAATGCTCTATATATTGGTGGCAGTATTGCAGGATATTGACTCCGAAGTATTAATACTTCAAGTCAAACAGAAAAGTAGTAATTAATGATACTTCATGCTTTATTTGATATGTTGTTAAAGGTGATGTGAGGTGTAATTAGGTTTAACGTCGCGTCTAAGATTATTGCACTTATATAGCGACGTGCGTGCACGTGTGTGTGTGGATGCTTGTACTAGTCCGGACTGATGCCGATTTATAGTGCTAGCACACTGAGATACCATGCCACAGTTTAACATGAATACCCCACTCGGACACAGTATACTGACTCCGAGCCGACCAGTCCTTGTTTTAGCCTCTTAATGCCGAGCGCCAGACATGGTAACAACAAGTACCATCTTTTAACGTCTTTTGGTATGACGCGGCCGGGTGTTGTTAAAGACAGTTCTGTCACAGAGTCAGTATTGCAGGAAAAGAATATCAAGATGATGCCTACAAATGATGAACCCGCAAACATGTTACCAGTCCTGAACAAATCGTTGTGTGTTTGTTTTTATGATCACCTGTCACATATCCTGATATGCTAAAAAAGAATACCTACCTTACAAAACTCCAAATGTAAGTGTGCCGGGTGTCATGCAGCTTTGAACAAAATAATTTCAGCTACCACAGTGTGTGAGGAAAGCCAGAAGTGACGCAGGTCTTTGATGTTTACCACTTATGGGTATGAAATCGTCTCTGCTTCCACGAGTGAATGGGTATGTCACTGTTACTACTTTCTGCAGCAGACGTTACACTTACCATTGCCCTGAGCAGTTAAAGACAATATCGGTGAAGATTGGTGTTTGCCAGATGTGACATTTACCCTTGCCATGCACAGTAGAAGATAGTATTGGTGTACAGGAAGGAAGGTTGTTGTTTACCAGATGTGACACTAACCATCGCCTCGTGCAGCAGAAGATAGTATTGGTGTACAGGAAGGTTGTTGTTGACCAGATGTGACACTTACCATCGCCTCGTGCAGCAGAAGATAGTATTGGTGTACAGGAAGGAAGGTTGTTGTTTACCAGATGGGACACTTACCATTGCCTCGTGCAGCAGAAGACAGCACTTGTGTACAAGGAGGAAGATTGTTGTTAGCCAAAGTATTGAAGACAACACCCTGCAGGCCACTGACGACAAGCACCAGCTGCATGCAGATGAACTTTGGGACAATGTTGAACACCTTTAGGTGTTTCCTGGACGCTCTGAATACAAGGATCAAGCCGTACATGGCTACAAGTGTCGACACACCAGTCAACACACTTATGTACAAGGAGGCCTGGTTTGGCCTCATCTGAAAGAGTGAGTGAGTGAGCTGGCTTTGATAATGCTTTGAAGAATATGTCAATTACCATGGCATGTCTGCTTGATGTGGGAGGAAAGCCTAAAATCTCAAAATTTGCACTTTGGTGGAACAGGAGCAACTAAAACAACTAATTATGTTTAACATTTTATGGTCGAAATCATTTTCTGATTAAGAGCTGATGAATGATTTCAAAACAAACTGAAACATAGCAAGATGGCGGGTATGAGATGTATTTTGAAACATTGCAAGATGGCGGGTATGAGATGTATTTTGAAACATAGCAAGATGGTTGGTATGATGAGAACACTATCACAATGACGACAAGGAGTGGTATTTTTAAGTATATGTATTTATATCACAGCAAGAGTGAACTTTGAAAAGGGATAATGACAGGATAAGATTTGTGTACAGTTAATTGTTAAAAAGTATTAGCCAGATAACCATTTAAAAGACTAATACTGGCTGGTATGAATGATCCAGGCACTGTTTATTTTCAGCATCGGCATGCGCAGTCGATGGCCAGAAGGTAGAGTGAGTGAGTGAGTATGGTTTTACGCCGCTTTTAGCAATATTCCAGCAATATCACGGCGGGGGAAACCAGAAATGGGCTTCACACATTGTACCCATGTCGGGAATCGAACCCGGGTCTTCGGCGTGACGAGCCAACGCTTTAACCACTAGGCTACCCGACCGCCCCGCCAGAAGGTAGAAACTGATAATCGGAATGAAGTATATGACTGCTGTCATTTAGTATCTTATGCGTCTTTTTGACAATTTGCTGCTCATACATTTCGCAGATGTGTTGAAATTGGATACCTGAGATTTTGCTTGTTGTATTTAAAATTATATGTATTTTAGATTTATTTTGAACAGACAGGCTCCCATACCAGCAGTTAATAGTAAAGACTAAAATGCTTTGAATAAATGTTCTATAAAAGAGAGTACTGTATTGTCAAGTTTGAAATACCTAAGACGCTGTAGTGAGTGAGTGAGTATGGTTTTTACGCCGCTTTTAGCAATATCACGGCGGGGGACATCAGAAATGGGCTTCACACATTGTACCCTTGTCGGGAATCGAACCCGGGTCTTCGGTGTGACAAGCGAACGCTTTAACCACTAGGCCACCCGACCGCCCCGATAAGACGCTGTAAGGAATACAATCTTTTTTGGTCCTTTTTATAAATATGCCCCGTGTTTGCGTTCCAAATGAGTTTTGGATCAGTAATGGTGCCTAGATACTTATATTGTTCAACCAAATCAATATTTTCGTTATCAATAACAACAAGCAGATTTTGGTCTTCTTTTTTTCCGAAATCTACAATAATTTCCTTTGTCTTTTTGACACTTAGAGTAAGAACAGTAATCTTGCACCATTGGACTAATTTTGAAATTTGGGAGCGATAGTCAATATCAGAATGCTTTATGAATCCGACCAGAGCTGTGTCATCTGCAATCTTGTTAAATTTACTGATACAGTCATTTCTGTATAAAATAAATAAAACGGGAGATAGCACACAACCTTGAGGGCACCCGTAGATGTAAATGTCACAGATGATTTGATGATATTACAGTCACAAATTGGAACATTTTTGATCACGACATTCCTTCAACACCATACCGCATTGATTATCAGGACCTGTAGCTTTGCGGACATTTATTTTAGAAAATGATTGCAGCACATCACAGGTAGTATGAGATGTACTTTGAAACATAGCAAGATGGTAAGCATGAGATGTGCTTTGAAACATAGCAAGATGGCGGGTATGAGACGTACTTTGAAGGAAAGCAAGATGGCGGGTATGAGATGTACTTTGAAGGAAAGCAAGATGGCGGGTATGAGACGTACTTTGAAGGAAAGCAAGATGGCGGGTATGAGATGTACTTTGAAGGAAAGCAAGATGGCGGGTATGAGACGTACTTTGAAGGAAAGCAAGATGGCGGGTATGAGAGGTACTTTAAAACACAGCAAGATGGTGGGCATTAGTTGTACTTTGAAACAGCAAGATTTCGGGTATGACATGTACTTTGAAACATCGCAAGATGGCGGTATGAGATGTGCTTTGAAACATAGCAAGGTGGCGGGTATGAGACGTACTTTAAAACACAGCAAGATGGTGGGCATTAGTTGTACTTTGAAACAGCAAGATTTCGGGTATGACATGTACTTTGAAACATCGCAAGATGGCGGTATGAGATGTACTTCGAAACACAGAAAGTTGGCGGGCATGAGACCTACTTTGAAACATAACAAGATGGTGTGTATAAGACCAACTTGGAAACATAGCAAGATAGTGGGTATGAGATGTACTTCGAAACATAGCAAGATGGCGGGTATGAGATGTACTTCGAAATATAGCAAGATGGCGGGTATGAGACGTACTTTGAAGGAAAGCAAGATGGCGGGTATGAGACGTACTTTGAAAGAAAGCAAGATGGCGGGTATGAGACGTACTTTGAAACACAGCAAGATCGTGGGTATAAGACATATATATTTTAAACATAGAAAGGTAGCAGATGTGATATGTATTTTAAGGCAGCATCATGGCAGTTATAAAATGTAGTTTCAAACATGGCATAATGGTGGGTATAGGATGTATTAAGAAACAGATTTGTTTGCTTACCTTTCCCTTCACATATTTGCCATCAGTCCACAACACAGCAGCCAGAAACACCAAGATAGGTCTAGCTATGGCAAATTGTAAAACAGACATCTTGATTCTGAAGAGGTTCTTCCTGAAAGAGTATAATGTCATCATCAGAAACCAGTCAGAGCTTTATTTCAGAACACAATGGATGAAGAAGTTTAGTGTTACCTCAACAGATACATATGTCCGAATTGAGTGGATATGTGAGAACTCTTACTATCAGGTTGTCACATGAAAATACCGACAATCAGTCCACATTGTCCTTTTTGTGGTTAGCAGCAGTGAGGTAGGCTAGTTGTTAAAGTGTTCTCTTGTTGACCTGGGTTCTATCACGCCACCAAGTGAGACATAGCTGAAATATTACTCAAAGAGGCATTAAATTCAACTCACTCACTCACTATGTAATTATCACTGTATCAGTTACATGTCAATATTTATTTTATCTAATCACCAAAATAACAGAGTTTAAAAGTTCATCTCAAGAGGCTTGATGGTGAATTAATAGTTACAGTGAAAAATATTCCTGCTTACTCATTGACAGCTATCTTGGGACAGCAGACGCAGCAGCAAGCCACGGGAGGGCTGCGCAGGTTTATTGTCTCCCCTGACATGTGATCGATGAGAGCTTGCTCCCCTCCATGGTAGTGGATCAGCAGAAAGAGGAACATCTGGATACAGCGGGACAGGTAGCTGACACAGCACAAAAGACACACTGCAGAAAGTCAGTCTGAGGGACCGTGGATTATTACAGAGGTGGGTGGGTCATAGGGTATCAGGAGAGGGTCAACACAAATTATGACAATCTCTAGGGAAGAAAATTATACGCATAACTGGGGAGGTCATGAAAAAATTGAAATTTTATGATAAAATATTAAGTGCATTTTCATTTTATCTTGTCAGAGAGATCATGAGAAAAAGTACAAGGACATGGGGAGGGTCATCCAAAAATATGACAAGCATTAGGGGAGGGTAATTGTTTTCTGTACATTAGTGCATAGAAAACATCTGACCCATCCAACCCTGTAATAAATTACCGGTTTTTCTCAAAACCATTGTATCAGTGATCAAAATGACAAAAATACCAACATAACATAATTCTTGGCCAGGTTAAAAATAAAGAGAAAAGTACAAAAAAGAGCACAGGAGCTCTGTAGCTCATCTAAAATTTCCTTAAGTTTCATATTAAATCCGAAAGTAAAGAAGGATTTGCTAAATAAATAACAGATATCTCCCCAAAACAGACATCCTCAAAGTATGTTAATTAAGGTATCATGTTCATTAGTGGAACATGGATAACTGGTTAAAATGCTGAGCGCCAAATTACATGTCAGCGGTGTACAAGGGCCAAATCTCCAAGTTAAAGAATTAAACGTCCATTGAAATATTGCAATGCACCAATACTTTGGTGAACCGTTATAGGCCTAGAAAACCTAACTGTGTAATGTAGTGTACATGTCCCATACTTTCCACGTCGTTGTCCTCCCTGATACATCATGTGACATACGAGTCAGCCTACAAGCGTCACTGACCCACATATGACTGTGTAAACCTCTTACTGCAAACACAAAGCCTAGTGAAACCATACAAACCAATGTCAGGGTGTTATCAGGGTTTCAAATCGGTTCAATTTACTGGGATACGATTACTGAGATTGTTTTCCAACGTTGTATTTATGGACAACAATGTGCTATAAAAGTTGATAAAATCATAAAAATGTCCTAAACCCATTTGTCTCAAGCAGATTACTGGTTATACTAAGGGAGTAGTCAAAAGATTATTCTACTATGACATCAGTTGTAGAATCCTACATTCTGATTGGTTTGCCAGGAGTATCGAATATACATTAGACCACGACTACTGCGCTTTGACAACCAAAGTGATCATAGAATATAATGAGCAACAGTGAACAATGACTAAATGACTGTACGGTGGAACTGATAACGTAAACATATATTGTTTGATAGGCATTACGTAGAAGTTGACGGATGACAAGATAGACACAATTTTATGGATAACAACTTCTTTAATACTTTGAAAAGCGACGTCTCGGTATAGATCCTTATACCGTTGTCAAGCAAGACTGAATGAGGGACATAGTGCAGAATATATATAGTAGGTGGAGCATTAGCAGTAGAGGATTAAAGGTAACAACAGTGGCATACATGAGTGGGATAACATTGGTAGGTGTGACAACAAAGGGATGATGCTGTCACAACACGATGGACAGAAAACACATAGGTGGTAGCCAGGGGTCATGAAGCCAATAAACAGGATAAGTGATTATTGTTTGATGAGTTCATAGTAGGCGGGTGGGATGAAATAGCCTTGATCTCTTGCTTGACAACGGTATAAGGATCTATACCGAAACGTCGCTTTTCACAGTATTAAAGAAGTTGTTATCCATAAAATTGTGTCTAACGTTAACATAGCTTTCCATTCGGCGCTTCGCCAATACATCCTGTGATGTCATTTGTACCACGTCACAATGCTAAGGCTTCGTTGCTTGAAGGACATTATGACGTCATAATAGTGATGTGTACTGTGGAAATAAATATTGCAAGGGTCGCTTCATTTTCTCAAGCTTTAAGCAAGGATCACCAGAATAATGCTTACAGGGTATCTGCACTGAAGTTGGTATTGGCTTACACTGAACAAAGCTAAGTATTACGTTAAACGTTGTGGTTTGGGTGAATAAAAACAAACATTCGTGGAATAAAACCGATCGTCAATTATCCCTAAATTCCACCTATTAAAAACATTCGACTCAACGGATGCCCAATCACTTTGCTAGTACGAAAGAGTTCGGCGCCTGTAAGCCTGTCACGCCTTTGATTTCAAATGAAATTTACAGGTATCAAATCTAAGTTCAAAACCTAAAAATAAAACAGAGTAGGTTTATGCCATAATCAGAGTAACATCCCCGCTCTCCCTACTACCAAACACCAAGCCTTGCCTTCAAGGCTGTACTGAATGATAAGTCCATGGATGTAAAGTATTCTATCCTCATAATCAACAAGCCTATTTAAGCGGACAATCTATGGACACCAGTCTTTTATAGGGTGAGGTGAGGTGAAATGGGGTTTAACGTCGCGTCCAAGATTATTGCACTTATATAGCGACGTGCATGCACGTGTATATGTGTGTGGCTGCTTGTACCAGTCAGGACTGATGCCGATTTAAAGTGCTAGCACACTGAGATACCATGCCGCAGTTTAACATGAATACCCCACTCAGACACAGTATACTGACTCCGAGCCGACCAGTCCTTGTTTTAGCGCTGCCCCTTAATGCCGAGCGCCAGACAGGGTAACAACAAGTACCATCTTTTAACGTCTTTTGGTATGACGCGGCTGGGGATCGAACCCCGGACCTTCCGCTCTCTGGGCGGACGCTCTACCATTAGACCACGGAGGCGGTCCTTTTATAGGGACTTATGTATATAATATTAGAATTATGAGTTAACTAATTATCATTTTCTTAGAAACTAGTGCAAGTCTACCAAACAACCTTCCTCGCGTCATATCATAGTACCCAAGCACCCACAGATAATCCTTATGTGTATTCACTTCTTTCTTTTGTGATAAAATACGCCCTGCAGACACCACATGTCATCAGCTTGTTTAGCCAATGTAAATACTGCGTCTTAGCCATCCCAATTGTGAATGGATGCATTGAACACAGCGGATCCCAGGGACTCCCAATAGTTTGGCTGTATGAATCAAATACAGTGAAGCGAAATTGATGATGGCATGTTACATAGACAATTTTATTCTTGTAAGGAATAAACTCCAAGTTCTCCATATATAATAGACTGAAGGCTCTTGAGGATGTGTAATGATATGACAATAAAACAAATTTTGGAAATTAAGTGAAGCGTGCCATATATCAACAGCCTGTGACACCCCTACCCCACCCCCATCCCCATCGACTCAATACCCTGGACTCGACAAAAGAGAGATTCTATTAAATCGCTATATCTAACTCACATGGCCGCCACCAGATGTTATCTCACAAGTGCATGTACATCACTACATAACTTTACAATAGCCTATAACGCGACGTTAAACCCCCTTTTACCACAACACAACGCACCTCACAACCAAACACCCTGCATCAAATCATGTACACAAGGAGCTACAGGTAATCGCTATGTCTATTCCCTTCTTTGTTTTAGGGGCGGTCGGGTAGTTAGTGGTTTGCTCTGTCACGCCGAAGACCCGGAAACGATTGTCCATGGGTAAAATGTGTAAAGTCCATTTCTGGTGTCCCCCGCCGTGATATTGCTGGAATATTGCTAAAAGTGGCGTAAAACCATACTCACTCACTCGCTCACTTTTTGTTTAAGTGATAAAATACGCCCTGCAGACACTACATATCAATAGCTGGTATGGTCAATGTAAATATTGCGTCCTAAAAGCATACAAAGACCTTAGTAAATCGCTACATCTAACTCACATGGCCGCCACCAGATCCGACAGCAAGGCGGATCGCGGTATACACACAGCTATCAGGGCTGTCACTGCAAACACCTGTTGGGAGCAATTACATGTAATCAAATAGACATACACTTCAATCAAGTCCTACTGTGTGAATACATTTAACCTGAAATGAAGACATGAACAGATCATTGAACAGTGAATGACATCACGAGCATCGATCCACGCAAATGGGATATGGTCACATACTACGTGCCTGAACACTCGATTCCGTTAGTTGCCTCTTTCTGACAAGCTTAGGGATAAAACTTACCTCTTACCTCGCGAAGTGCATCAAATCACTTGAACACATCGATTAAAAAGATACAAAATATCTGTCGATGCCTAATTGACAAAACACTTGCTTTGCAAATCCTGCAATCGACTGATATCTGCAGTTGCCATGTTGTTAATGAACCAGATGTCGATTTTTGATTGGAATATGCATAGACTGGTTAGGACAGCCAAACTATATATCAGAAATTCCAGCCAAGTTCGGCAAGGGTGGAAACTGAACTTTATACTCAGTTAACTCCCTTGCCTCTGGAAGATGCACCACATTTAGAAAACTTATACTGGTACCAAAATGAAGATATTATCAGATTAGGAATGACTACTAAAGGGTCCATCTCCTTGTTATGAAATTTATACCTGAGTCATATCAGTATCTCAACAGCAGATGAGAAACACCTGTTAAAAACCGAGCTATACAGTTCTGTAGCTGAATCTGAACTGGAATATTTGCAATATTAGATTGACATGACAAATGTCAAAGTAAAAGTCTTAGATTAGAGGTTTGTGAGCAGCTTTTACAGATACCGATTCGGGGATCATACTATCATGGGTATTAAATATGATCATGAGTTTGTAATAATACTTAATGTTTCAAACTGAAGTAACGGTTAGAAAATGGAAGTTATTCATTAAATATGCATTAATACTTAAGTATAATAATAAAATAGCTTTAATGTTCTAAATATTAAACCATAAATATATTGTCACATACACCAAAATATTCGATAGTTTATCAATCTAATTGCCATGTAAGCTATGGCAACTAGAAAGATCAAAGGCCACAACCAAGATATGCCCCAAAATGTATGGAGTCAATATGAATGCATAATGAACAATGAGAATGGTCATGACATAATTGTCAATGGCATATGGGGTTTCCAGGTTAGAATGTTGTCACAGCAAACATTGCTGGTCACAAGAGGCGACGTAATGGATGGGTTGGTTGTTGGTGTGTCATCATACCAAGTGTGTGACCCGAAGATCCGGGGTAGAAAAGGTCTTCAGCAACCCATGCTTGCCGTAAAAGGCGACTATGCTTGTCGTAAGAGGCGACTAACGGGATCGGGTGGTCAGGCTCGCAGACTTGGTTGATGCATGTCATCGTATCCCAATTGCGTGGATCAATGTTCATGAGTCAATCACTGGATTGTCTGGTCCAGACTCGATTATTTACAGACCTGGCTGGACTACTGCTGAGTGCGGCGCTAAACAAAAAAATAATAAAATAAAACAAATCAAAGGAGTGTTTCGTTGCTCGTAATATCAATCACCGGTTTGTTGTGTTCAGACTAGATTGTGTACCGTTCACCATCACATTAAACAACAAGCAAACATATGCTTCAAAGAACTTCAGGTCATCTAAAATGTACATACAGGAACATCTTGTTAACTTACTGTTGGTAGGCAAATCATCCATATGGACAGAACCTTTGTTTTCTTTTCGAAGAAGTGTTGGACTATAAACCAGGTGCTTTCCAGAAACAGGATGACATTAGCTACAGTAACCACTGCACCAACTGCAAGTGCCGCCACTTCCCCGGTAGACATTTCTGCAGAATACAAATCACAACATGTTTTGTTTACAAACAAAGGGTATAATCATCATGTCGTGAACTTCTAACAAATGTCCAAGAGATTGTACAGGTGGTAATCCACAGGAGATATCGCCCTGGTGAATGAATGCTGTGTGTCCCTCGCTGAAGACTCGGGAATAACACCATTCATTCAATCAGGGTAGGTAATCCATTCGTCGCTTATTGGTTATTCTCTGAGTATAACCTACTTTGTCATCTTACAACAAACACAAGGTACCTGTTGCATTTGAAAGGTGAATACTGGACACTCAAATTAAGCCCATTTCGTCAAGCAATAAAGATATTGTTTATCATCCTAATGTATTTTTACATGATCCTGTTAATCCTGAAATCACATGACATACTGTATGGTAGGAAAAGGTTGCAATCAACAAGGACGGCAAGATGAATTCTAGAGAAGTACTGGTAGATATTTTGGGCTCAGTCCCTTGCATTGCACTATATAATCATAGTCACCAGTACCGAAATACAATCGATAAATTAAAAGTTGTATATTGAAATATTAATTACCGGCGAAGTAGGTCTCTGAGAAAGGAACATCATCGGGACAGGGGAGTGCCACAGTACTGAAACATACAGGATTTCGCATTTAATCAATACTATATGAAAATAAATCTTAAACTTAAAAATGCTCTTACGGGAATATCTAATTATGTATTGTTGACGTGAAAAGGACTTCTGTTGGAAATCTGAAAATCGATAATTTTGAAAAATTATCAGACATGTTTTAAAATGTGATATACAGCATTTTTTCCTTCTTACGCTTGTAAGTTTGGAGTTATGGCATGATTAAATACTATCACTTTGTATCACTAAATTGAGTAAAAAAATGCTTATTTATAATACGAGTGAAAACTTAAAAATGAGCATTATATGTTTGTACTGATTTTATCTATATCTCCTAAAAGATTAGCCTGTGTAAAAAACTGTTACAAGTTCAAATATCAGAAAAACACTTCGCAAAAAAATCTTGATCATTTGCTCATTTCTTAAATTGTGCAGACTCTGTTGGCACATGCGGGCCCTTATCCTCCCTTGACCTTTATATTTTTTTTTGTTCTTTGAAAATCCTATTCTAATTTTTGCAAATACCGAAAAAGTAAAATATAGTCCAAAAAGCTGTTTTTTACTGAAAGTATAACTTAAAAAAAAACCTTTTATGATTTTGCATTTTTTAAAATCAGAAATAGTTTCTTTTAACCTTGGGTATTCGTACCAGTGGTCCACAAGCTCACCATAAATAGAAAACATGAGTAGTGAAGATGTAAAGAGACACTCAGGAATATTTTGATTCCAACTGGTTATCTGGGAAACGGTACATCAGAAATAAGGTATTTACTTACGTGTTTGGGGCTTCAGATCCCATATTTGAGTTTAAAGTCTCAGAACTTGATACAGTTGCACCACCTGCTCCTTATGGGAAACAATGAATGGAATTCAGGATTCAAAGGATTTTCATTGAAATTGCAAAGCTGAGTATATCATATCAGCCTCTACATACTCACACTACTTGGAGATGAGCAAACCCAATTAAGAAACATCATGATAATGATACCTGAGATAGAGATAGTGAGTGAGTGAGTGAGTGAGGTTTTACTCTACTTGTTAGCAACATTCCAGCAATAGCACGGCCGTGGGACACCAGAAATGGGCCTCACACATTATACCAATGTGGGAAATCGAACCCGCTCTGTGGCGGGACGAGCGAACACTTTAACCACTGGGCTACCTTAAATACAAACAAATACTGTTCACATGTTCAAGAAAAAATACGATTTGTTTTGTTATTCGAACTTCTTCAACACTTGCATGTATGTACATGTTATGAATGGAACGCTATAAGTAGGGTTCGAATTACACATGAAATTGGAAATGTCACACTTGAATTTTATCTGCAGTGCCGCGTGGGAATGGTCATTTTTATTGAAGGTACTTACGTTAATTTTTATTTGATGGGTTGCCAAAATTAAACTGTGAAATGCATGAGTTTTCCCCATTATTTGCATGTTCCACTATCACAAAATGACTTCTTGTAAAATCAGTCGGCATTATTGGGGGATTTTTGGTGACTGTATCTTACACATGTGATGGTCAAGATTGCCCGAAACACATCTCTCGTTATTTTGACGGAATATCATGAAAATATCATGAAGGTCTTGCGTTTTAAACGTCAGTGCCTAGCAGACATTCGCTATTTGTTATAATAATAGGGTAATATATACTGAATCGCAAAAGAAACGTCACCCAAAGTAACATTACATGAAAAGTTGTCAATTAAATATCTGGGTAATTTTTGTCAAAGTTTCTAAAATCTATCTTGTCCGGAAAAATTAAATTTGATGATAAAAAAACAAAGCAGATGACAATAAAACCGATCGCCCAAACGCATCAGCGACACCAAGCCCTTGGACGATTGCAAGCTGGACAAACCGCCCGACAAGTAGCCAATGCATTTCAAGTCCACGTAAGGACCATATACCGGCTCCAGACCACCAACACTACAGATGACCGACCACGTAGCGGAAGACCAAGGGACACCACCCGACGTCAGAATCGTCAGATTGTGCGACAGAATCTTCAAGATCACTTTGTTACTGCTGCGGAAACTGCTCCACAGACCTTGGGGACACACCAGCGACACATTATGGGGACACACCAGCGACACATTATGGGGACACACCAGCGACACATTATGGGGACACCGCGCGTCGACGATTGACGAACATGACATCTCCACTATCACAGGCCACACCGAGAACCCATTCTGACACCACGTCATCGCCGGGATCGTCTTCAGTGGGCAACAAAGCACCAGAATTAGCGCCACCAGCAGTGAGGAAGAGTCCTCTTCTCAGACGAGAGCCGTTACTGTATCTCAACAGCAGATAAAAGAGAGAGAGAGAGAGTCTGGGGACGCCGTGGGGAACGTTATTCGGATGTTTGTTTTGTTGAGAGAGACTCGTGGGGTGGTCTGACGATCATGGTGTGGGGTGGAATTGGTCTTGCACGGAGGGTCGACCCTGTGGTTTTCCAGAACATCGGTCCAGGGAGAGGTAATAGCGACACAGCAGCTCGGAACTTTGATCAAGTTTTGAGACCACACGCCATACCTCATTTGGCACGTCGCCACAACCACGACTTTCAGCCTGATAATTCGGGTGCCCACACTGCGGGAGCAACAAGAGACTTCATCTAGCAGAATGGCATCAGAACCATGCAGTGGCCTGCCCTCAGTCCCGATTTAAATCCCATGAGAACCTGTTGGACGAGATTCAAAGTCGGCTGAATGACGTCCGACCAAGGCCGACAACTGCAGCTGAACAGCGTCAGGCGTTCCTCTGTGTGTGGGCTCAAGTGCCTATGGCCTTCATCAATCGCCTCATCCATTCCATGTATCGACGTTGCACGGCAGTCATCAATGCACATGGCGGACACACGAGATACTGACTTGTGATGCTATTTTCTCAGAGACTAGTGTTGTGTTTCACTTAACGAACATTTGACACTTTAATTTCAACCTTGATGATCAGTATTGCCACGTTTCATCTTTTGAGTATGTCTCAAAGTATGTTTACAGTGTTTGGACAACTAAGGTTATTCATATATCTATCCATGGTGTCGTTTCTGTTGCGGTTCAATATAGATAAGGCACACCTAAATTGAAAATGACACACCTGAAAAAAGGTCCAGTGCCCTTGGGTACACTTGATTTTTTTAGAATTTCGATCCCTGGGTTAGTGTTATGTCTACTTAAAAAAACAACAATGACAAATAGTTTTTAAGTCTATAAATCAACGCATAATGACATTGAGTAGACATATACTGCAGACATACTCGTAAAAAAACAAACGCAATGCCAGATTTGTGTGACGTTGGAAAATACATTTATACGAGGAACCGTACAAGGTGTTGAGCCAAAATGTTGTGGAGAGAACACTTGGTGACTGTAGTCATCTCAGTTATCGGTACATAGGAAAAGTCCAAGGTGAAGGTCAGCTACAATCAATAACGCGTATCTCCCCCGTTGGAATCGATAGTGGCCTGACATCTCCTGACATCCCATGGAAGAGACGAGTATGCGAATCACATCCTGGGGGAATGGTAGCCCTTTGGGACTTCAACGCAAAAAGCAACTGCTGCAACGTCTGGGGTTGTGGTTGACGTCGGCGTAGCCGTCTATCCAATTCACCCCACAGATGCTCTAGCGGGTTCAAATCCGGGGATCTGGAGGGCCAGGGGAGAACATCAACGTTGTTATTGTGTAGCCAGGCTCTTGTAATCCCTGCTGTATGCGGTCGAGTGTTGTCTTGAATACACCGCTGCCGTTGGCTGCAATTGGGAGGACGTGTGGTAGGGGGAGTATCGTTGAGCCGTAAGATTGCCCTGAATATGGACCAAACCTGTCCTACCATGATGAAAGATAGCCGCCCACATCATAACGCTACCCCCACCATACCTGTCCTCTTCCTGTGAGCAGTTTCCGCCGTAACGTCCCCACGACGTCTGTAGACCGTGCTCTTCCATCCCCTCGACGGAGGATAAATATTGATTCGTTGCTGAACCTGACGTCTCTCCGTCGCAGTTGAGGTCATACCCTGTGTTGACGACACCAATGCAGTCATTGTTGACGATGTTGTCGACTCAATATGACGCGTCGAACAGGACGTCTTGCTCGTAGACCTGCTGCTCTTAAACGGTTCGTACGGTCTTGTCGGAGATTCTGCGCAGTCCGTGTATTTGGGATGCGGTTGAGGTGGCTGTGGTCGTCCTTTCACGTAGGTGGCGCAGTTGGATGTAGCGATCTTGGGCGGGGGTTACTCTTGGCCGTCCCGACCTTGGCCGATCACGTGTTGACCCATGCTGTTGAAGGTGAGGTGAGGTGAAATTGGGTTTAACGTCGCGTCCAAGATTATTGCACTTATATAGCGACGTGCATGCACGTGTATGTGTGTGTGTGGCTGCTTGTACTAGTCCGGACTGATGCCGATTTATAGTGCTAGCTCACTGAGATACCATGCCGCAGTTTAACATGGATACCCCACTCAGACACAGTATACTGACTCCGAGCCGACCAGTCCTTGTTTTAGCCCCTTAATGCCGAGCGCCAGACAGGGTAACAACAAGTACAATCTTTTAACGTCTTTTTGTATGACGCGGCCCGGATCGAACCCTGGACCTTCCGCTCTCCGGGCGGCATGCTGTTGAAACCGATCCCATAGTCTTGTGATGGTGCTGGGCGCTACATTGTAAACCCTGGCTACAGCTGATCGGGATTCCACTACCTGCAAGCGGCCTGTGACGTTGTTTCTTTGTACTAAAGTCTTCTGTTAATCTTGGCATGTTGTTGAACTGTCACTGTTCGATTGACGCAGAATCCAGGTAATCAAATATCCTGCACTTTTGATACCGTTCATAGTGCTGCTGCACATGCAGTACGTTTCCCGACTAATGGTTCGCATGTCCTCGTTGTAATCATTTTGATCCGGGAAATCTGTCACTGACACTAAAACACATTAAACCTCTTCATTTAGCACCTCTTGGTCAGCTAATTTTGCTTTTATTGCAAAAAATATCCGTTTTGCGTTTCTTTCTTTGAAGAGTATATAAGGTACACTCAAAGAAAATGGAGCGAAAACTTAATGATCCAACACGCATGACACCCTCACGAAGATTGTCACTTGGTAGATCTATATGCCGGTACACAAACACTCGTCTCTCACCAGCTGGTGACAACATACACATATAACATGGCAGCCCAATCGGTCAACATAGTCAACTGATACAAGTAATACTATTGTTGATATGAACTCTGGCTAGACTTAGTATTTCATGATACATAAAAGGACCTCTCATCAGCCCATCGTTCAACATAGTCGATAGATCTTTGACGCGTCATACTGAGTTTCATAACTCAAATCGGGACAAATCTCCCACTCACTCAGCAGCGCTGCCGTTAGTATTGTGCTGCACGCTTGAAACGTGATGAACTGTTATCAACGACCGGTAGCCGGAATAAATCCCTGTTGCACTTAAAATCAGCTACTCACAGTTCCGAGGGAGACTGGACATCGATGTACAAAGAAACTCGGGATCTGCTCGAGTGCTCTCCGCGTCACATGAACCTACATTGATCTCCGACGAGATTTTGCACGAGATCACGTGACGTATGAAAGGCTGCAAGCAGACGACAGGGGCTTCTTTCTATAGCTTCTCTGTACACAAACTTACTTAATCGTTGTATATATAGGTCGCACTATGAGTGAGTGAGTATGGTTTTACGCCGCTTTTAGCAATATTCCAGCAATATCACGGTGGGAGACACCAGAAATGGGCTTCACACATTGTACCCACGTCGGGAATCGAACCCGGGTTTTCGGCGTGACGAGCGAACGCTCTAACCACTAGGCTACCCGACCGCCCCAGGTCGCACTATGAACCCATGGGAATAGCTGATCATACTTGAAAATATATATGAATAATACATGGTTCAGGTTATGACGCAGGAATGAAGCTGCCAACCCCCTTTTTGGTTTCAGGGATTCGGGGGTCTGTTTAGAGGGAATTCGGGACTCAGCAGTTGGGTACGCGGGGCGCAAATACAATCATGTTTGGTTCGCAGATTTAAAAAAACATTTAAAAAACTGTAATGGTAAAATGTTCCTCTATGTTTGTATGTTTGACATTTTTATTTAGTAATTTAACTTCAAATCGCACTATTTTCTCACTGCTTTGAGTGAGTGAGTATGTATTTACGCCACTTTTAGCAATATTCCAGCAATATCACGGCGGGGGACACCAGAAATGGTCTTCACACATTGTACCCATGTCGGGAATCGAACCCGGGTCTTCGGCGTGACGAGCGAACGCTTTAACCACTAGGCTACCCGACCGCCCCCTCACTGCTTTGAAGTTTGTGTTAAATCGTATTCAAGATTCAGGGGTGAGCAATGAGACTCAAAGAGAAAGAAATAGATGGTATTCGGTATTCAGCGGAGGAGGGGGTTGGCACCTTTACGAATAACAAATCACACACCGCGCATCAAAAGTCTTATGGACACTAGTTCACACATATTGTGTGAAGCAAGCACTAGTCCAGCTATATGACGACTGCCTCTATATAACCTTGCCTTAACCAGACAATCCAGTGATTGATATAATGATCAACGATCCACGTCGGGGTACGTTGATACACCATTAACCAAGTCACTGAGCCTGACAACCCAATCCTCGTATCACCAGGAGGGCTTGCCGGGGACACATTACAACACGGAATCACCATTTCGTCGCCTCTAACGACTAGCAACGACTATTTGAAAACTATTAACTCAGAGGCGATTGAGTAGCCCTGTGGTTAAAGCGTTCGCTCGTCACGCCAACAGTCCGGGTTCGATTCCCCCATGTGTACAATGTGTGAAATCCATTTCTGGTGTCCCTTTCATGATATTACTATTTTTGCTAAAAGCGGCGTAAAACACATATACTCACCATTATTCAACCAGTCAATGAATCTGAATAGCATTCACTGGTTGAATAAATAGGTTTAACAACTGTCAACAACATGGACATTCTCAACTCTGTCAGCCTATATTCCTCACATTCTAATCTCTCTTAGCCTATACTGCTCACATTCTCAACTCTAATAGCCTACATTCCTCACATTCTCAACTCTCTCAGCCTATATTCCTCACATTCTCAACTCTCTCAGCCTATATTCCTCACATTCTCAACTCTCTCAGACTACATTCCTCACATCCTCAACTCTCTCAGCCTATATTCCTCACATTCTCAACTCTCTTAGCCTATATTCCTCACATTCTCAACTCTCTCAGACTACATTCCTCACATTTTCAACTCTCTCAGGCTATATTCCTCACATTCTCAACCTATATTGCTCACATTCTCAACTCTCTCAGCCTATATTCCTCACATTCTCAACTCTCTCAGCCTATATTCCTCACATTCTCAACTCTCTCAGCCTATATTCCTCACATTCTCAACTCTCTCAGGCTATATTCCTCACATTCTCAACTCTCTCAGCCTATATTCCTCACATTCTCAACTCTCTCAGCCTATATTCCTCACATTCTCAACTCTCTCAGCCTATATTCCTCACAGTCTATATACTCACCCCTATAAGCCTATGCTTGTGGGCTCCTCAATACCCCAGCACGTCTAGTCTCTTCCAGACCCCATAGCATATATCTTATAAAATATCCACCCCATTTCATCCCTCATCCTACTATACACAATCTTTTCTCGTCACATTCTCAACTCTCTCGGCCTATATTCCTCACATTCTGAACTCTAATAGACTATTAATCACCCCTGTCTATTCTATAAACCTATTCTTGTGGGCTCCTCAATACCCCGTCTAAGGAACGCAACCAAGCATATCGAGTTTCCGCCAGTTGGCCACAAGTGACAAAGCTCCATGCAGACTATATTTACACCAATCAGTACATTCATACCTAGGGCGGTATGTAAATAGCTACACATGCACTTTAGCTGTTCATACGCTGTCAAAAAATAGAGGTCGGACCACCAATACAGTGATATATTGGTGATAAATAAAGACCACTTCCTGCAAATATACCCTGTATGATTGTAGAATTTGGGATTTGGTAAGGTATAGAGAGATGCCACTGTGCCAGCTTTAAACAGAATAGACGCAAGGTGAACGGCTTAAGCGAAACATATAGACGCCCGTGCGAGAAATTGAGGAAATACGGTAGTTAAATTAGCGTCAGCCTTGAGGTCATTTTCTAATGTTTTCAAGGAGGCGAATGTGGTACATGTATGTATCTCTTCCCATGTACCATGTACCTGATATCACTGCAGATATGTCTGTCTGGAGTATGCCTAGACTGTCAAGTTTCCAACCTAATAAAACCTCACAATCTTATAGAATACAATGAGTATGCTTTATTTATACGTTATTTTGTTAGAAGGACCACTAAACAATTGATAGTATTTCATTTTTACACGCTTTGGTACAAAAGCATTAAAAGTACTTCCGTTAATTTTTATTTTTTGCCTTGCAAAAATTAAACTGTGAAATGAAAGACTTTTTCCCATTAGTTGCACGTTCCACAATCACAAAATTCTTATTGTCGACATTATTATCAATCAATCGACATTATTGGGTGATTTTTGTTGACTGTATCTTACAGATATGATGGTCAAGATTGCCCGAAACACATCTCTCGTTATTTTGACGGAATATCATGAAAATATCATGAAGGTCTTGCGTTTTAAACGTCAGTGCCTAGCAGGCATGCGCTATTTGTTATAATAATTGGGTAATATATACAAGGCACACCTAAATTGAAAATGACACGCCTGAAAAACAGGTCCAGTTCCCCTGAGAACACGTACTATTTTTTTCTAATTTCGAGGCCTGTGTTAGTGTTATTTCTACTTGAAGAAAAATGCAATGACAAATAATCTATACGTCTATACTCTTATACAATTTTGTGAGGCTTGCTTTAATTTACATCACAGGTTGAGTCTGATGTGAATCAGCAGTTGTTGAAGAATGAAAATTAAAAACAACGGTCCGTTCAATTATCTCATTTGCATAGATCAATGCTCATGATGTCAATCACTGGAATGTTCGTTCCAGACTCTATAAATTTCAAACACTCGCAGAGCTTGAATATTGCTGACTGCGCGTTTAACAACAAGCAAGCAAACAAACAAACACAAAAAGTAATTATTCCTTTTTGTTCAAAAGATTTGAATCAGGGAAGTAAAAAAGTGTGGCCTTTATAACAAAAAAGAATCATGAAAGTGTGAGCACAGATAAGCCCATACCAGTGCTGATAACAGTACGAAACAATAATAATAGGATAACAATTATCATTTGAAAATGATGTCATGAGTCAATATTTGTTCAAACCACTAATGGACATTATTACACAGTACACTCCCACAAGAGAAAGAGATATTGGCTGCCTGAAGCTCCAGGAACTGTTTATACGCACAACAGTGACTTCATGCGGTTGGTTGGTTGGTTGGTTTGTTGTTTAACGCCGCACTAAGCAATATTCCAGCTATATGACGGCGGTCTGTAAATATTCGAGTCTGTACCAGACAATCCAGTGAGTGAAATCATGAGCATATATCCACGCAATTGGGATCGATGACTTGCATCAACCAAGTCAGCGAGCCTGACCACCCGATCCCGTTAGTCGCCTTTTACGACAAGCATAGTCACTTTTTATGGCAAGCATGGGTTGCTGAAGACCTATTCTACCCCGGGTCTTCACGGGTCTGACTTCATGCGGATTGTAAGCACTTTGAAATATTTGTGTTCGGGTTTGTAAAGCATTTAAACCTACTTTAATTTTTCTTTTGTTTGTTTGTTTAACGCCACACTCAGCAATATTCCAGCTATATGACGGCTATATGTCTGTAAATAATCGAGTATGGACCAGACAATCCAGTGATTGACATCATGGGCATACTTTAACATGGCAAATACAAAATGCTAAAAAAAGGCTATACAAAAAATGAAAATCACATCTTGAACCATCAACACATCATGAAGTTGAGTAAACATGTACTGCAGATAGATGTTTATAAGGTTCACTCGCGAAAATAGAGCGCAACACTTTGTAATCCAACACCCGTGACACTGTGTAGATTTACCGATACACAAACAATCGTCTCTCGCCAGTGGGGACTGCACACACAGATCACATGGCAGCCCACATAGTCAACTGATGTAAGTCATACTATTGTTGACATGAACTCTGGCTCAACTTGGTTTTTCCTGGGGCATTATATGACCACTCGTCAACGGTTCGTTAAACATAGACGACAGATCTTTCACTGGTAATGCTACGTTTTATAACCCAAATCGGGACAAATCGCCCACCCACTCAGCAGCGCTGGGTATTGCGCTGCACGATTGAAACGTGATAAACTGTTATCAACGGACTGTTTCCCTATTGCACAATCAGCTACTCACAGTTCGGTAGAGAGACTGGACATCGATGTACGAAGAAACTCGCGACCTGAGAGAGTGGTCTCCGCGACACATGAACGTATTTTGATCTCCAACGAGGACTTGCACGAGATCACGTGACACATGAAGGCTGCAAGTTCACAACACTGGAATCTTTCTATAGCTTCTTTCTATCCGCTTAATCGTTGTATATATATAGGCTGTATGTTGAATCCATGGGAATACTCGGTCATACTTGATAATGTATATGGGGAAAAATGGTTGATGTTATGACTCAGGAAGAGGCTGCCAATCCCCTTTTGTTACGAGGGATTCGGGGGTCTATTGAGAGAAAATTTGGGACACAGCAGTGTGAGGGGGTAGGGGGTAGGGGGTAGGGTGTAGGGGGTGGGGGTGGTACGCGGGGCGCAAATAAAATCGTGATTCGTTCGCTCGTCACGCCAAAAATTCGGGTTCGATTCGCCCATGTGTACAATGTGTGAAGCCCATTTCTTGTGTCCCCCTTCGCGGTATTACTATTACTATTACTATTACTATTACTAAAAGAGGCGTAAAACCACCTCTCACTATTCATTCAACCAGTCACTGAATCTGCATATCATTCACTGGTTGAATATATAGTTTTAACAATTGTAAACAACATAGAAATAGAGGGGCTGTGAGGCTGTGAAGTGAAAGGTTCAATTAGGTCTCCGACAGTAACCGACAAATGCCGACAGTAACCGACAGTTGCGGGTTGTCGGCCTGTTTGTTACGTTTGAGTCATATTTCTGTGGTCTCGGGAAGTCAGCGCCGAAGTAAGTAGTAAGTAATTATAACCTCCGACCCAATCCTCCCAAAATCCTGTCTCTCTTCCAGACCCCATAGCACATATCTAATAAAACATCCCCATCCCAACTCTACCGGGCTATACTCATCCCATTTTAAACTCTATCAGCCAATACTCATCGCCCTTCTACAAGCCTATGCTCATACAGTTCTCAGCTCCTGAAAATGAGATGCTTGTGGGGTTCTTTAACACCCGAGCACGTCTCAGGAACGTCACGAAGCACGTTCCTGTCAACTGGCCACTAGTGATCAAGCTCCATGCAGTCTTTATTAAAAGTGTACACAAAGAATCGTCTCTCACCAGCTGGTGACAACACTCTCATATCACATGGCAGCCCAACCGGTCGACATAGTCAACCGATGTAACCGATATTCTTGTAATATGAACTCTGGCTAGACTTGGTATGACATTAGGCCTAAATGGACAACCCCGCCCCGCAAATCAACAGTTCGTCAAAAATAGACATAGATCTTTCACGCGTCATGCTAAATTTTATAACTCAAATCGGGACAAATCTCCCACTCACTCAGCATTAGCAGCGCTGCCGTTAGTATTTTGCTGCACACTTGAAACGTGAGAAACTGTTATCAACGACAGGTAGCCGTAATAAATCCCTGTTGCACTTAAAAACCAGCTACTCACAGTTCCATAGAGAGATTGGACATCGATGTACGAAGAAACTCGCGGTCTGCGCGCGTGCTCTCCACGACACAAGGAGTTGTAGCAGGATCACGAGGGGTACATGGGATTTTATGCGTCCCGCCTCCGGCTCGTGGTATAAAACGTAACGCGGGATGCATAAAACCAAATGTACCCCTCGTGATCCTGCTACAACAAATGTATCTTACCGACATGTTTTAATGTGACATTGTAAAAGAATTAACACAAATTCAAAACTGATAGAAAACAGCTGTTCGATCGAGCTGAGGTCAACTTGTGCTATGTCACGTGTCTTTCATTGACTCGGGGAAAAGCGTGCAGCTTTTTGCATTGAAGCGAGGTATAAGGGATTTATTCTGTCTCTTAGATATCCACGTGCAGCCTGCATTACTCGTGACAGGGTACAAGAGATTTATTCCCCCGCTGATCTCGGAAGTGTTCTTGCACGAGATTACGTTGCATGTTGCAGGTTGCATGTTGACTCCATGGGGATACTTGGTCATACTTGGGCGGTCGGGTAGCCAAGTGGTTACAGCGTTCGCTCATCACGCCGAAGACCCGGGTTCTATTCCCGACATGGGTATAATGTGTGAAGCCCATTTCTGGTGTCCCCCGCCGTGATATTGCTGGAATATTGCTAAAAGCGGCGTAAAACCATACTCACTCACTCACTCACTAGGTCATACTTGGTGATATATATGAGCAATAAATGGTTCATGTTATGAGGCGACTCAACAGTGGGGGGTACGCGGGGCGCACATTAAATCATATTTGGTATGCAGATTAAACATTTAAAAAAATAGTTATGGTAAAATGTTCCTCTATGTATTTTATTTGTTTGATACTTTTTCTGTAATGTAACTTCAAATCGCACCCTCTTCGCAATGCTTTTGATATTTGTGTTAAGTAGTTTTACTAGTAGTTCAACTGGATTGCTGAAGATCTCGTAACAATACCTTATCCTTTGATGTCTTCAAACAAAGATTGATTGTTGCAAAGAGGATTGACCCATTGTTAACATTCTATTCTACTTTGCCGGTTCGCCCCGATTATGTTTCTAGGTTTGTCAGCACCATACCCGTGCTCGTGGGTTTCACCGAAGTGGTAAACGTCTTAGACCTCCATCACTTCGGGCTTTCCTCCCACATTAAGCTGACACGCCGTGATATAACTGGAATAATGTTAAAAGCGGCGTTAAACCCAACTCACTCACTCACTCACTATTCTACTTTGAAAAGGGAAGACTTTACCTTATCTTATCTTATCTTAGAAGTTGACATCCATAAATTATCTTCCTTAAATATATATATATATATATATATATATATATATATATATATATATCTATATATATATCTTGCATTGAAGTAATTAAGCATAGGAAGGCGCTCCTTAAATTTCGAAGTGGGTATGAATACAGTAGGTACTATATATAATAAGGATATTCGTTGTATTAAATGCTCTGATTTAGAAGATGAAGAACATGGACGCTTGCACTGTCCCCAACATGACATGCGCTCTTCGTGTTTTCCCTCTGATCTTATTAATCGTCAAGACATAAGATCCTTTTGTTTATCAAATAATGAGAAAACAACAGCTATGCCTGCTAAGTTTGTGTATGATATGTTCAAGATACATGGAAATATAGAACAATGCGCTATGACAAGTGCATATGTGAATATTATATTACATAAGTAAATGCAGGTGTTGTAAGGGATGGTTGGCCTAAGGAACAAAACAGATTGTCATTGTCAAAATCTCACATTATCTCACACAGAAACTCGATTACGTAATGACTGCGGTCTTCGGTACCAACAATACTCGATAATATGAAAGGGATTTTTTACTTCTCCAAATCGGAGAATATATGCCAATAAATATATATGTTCCAATATTATTCGAAAACTGACAGCTCCCATATAGTTTAATAACACCGCCTAGTCTCTCTCTCTCTCTTTCCTCTCTCTCTCTCTCACACACACACACACACACACACACACACACACACACCACACACACACACACACACACACACACACACACACAACCTACAATTAAGCACATGCCATACGATACATCGCTATGGGAACAATGCTGCTGTCCTTTGTTTTACCCACACACGGGCTAATCTTAGGGTCAAACATGCGCAGAAACATAGCATCCCAATTACATGTCTGAAATTGACATTGCCTCAATCTGTCACCCAGGTGTTCGGGAGTATGGAGGGTTGTAGTTTTGAATAACAGCAGCTACCACTGTGGTGAACAAAGAGCTGCACCTGGGGCGACGTTCGGATGTAGACTTTAATACAGAAGTTGTTTATCAATAAGACATTGTCCTTGTTCGTCACACAAACTTCTATGGTGTCATCGTATCCCAATTGCGTGGATCTATGCTCATGATGTCAATCACTGGATTTTCTGGTCCAGACTCGATTATTTACAGACCGCCATCATATAGCTGCAATATGACCGAGTACGGCGTTAAACAACACACAAACAAAACAAAGATACACTTATGCCTACATTCAATGCAGCCTTCAGTTTGCAAACACGAATTATCATGGAATTTCCGCTGAAGTATTAGCATCCACGTATAATAAAATCTAACGGAAGCATATATGTTTGATATAGTCCTTGACACAGTGACATCATAATATGAGATTCATCATCATCGCTACCTTTCTTAAACAACACTCGCGTGTGGCCCAGTCGTCTAAGGCGCCGCGATTTGCTGTGCAGAGTTGCTTCCCTTGGGCACGCCAGAAACCTATCATTGTGGGTTCGAATCCCGGTTCTCCCCAGTTATGTTTCTAGGTTTGTCAGCACCATACCTGTGCTCGTGGGTTTCACCGAAGTGGTAAACGTCTGAGACCTGCATCACTTCTGGCTTTCCTCCCACATTAAGCTGACACGCCGTGATATAACTGGAATACTGTTAAAAGCGGCGTTAAACTCAACTCACTCACTCACTCACTCACCAGGAAGGGCTTGCTCTTTATGAAGAATTTCTCAGTAGCTATTAAAGGGGGGCTGTGCTCGGGAAAATTGGCAGTCACAGCAAATTTGACTCAAGTCAAGTCAAACATTACTTTCTTTGCCTGGTAACACTTATTTGTAACTCAATCCAGTATTTTTCGAGTCAACGTCTCAGTTCCACAGTTAAACTTATACTTACCAAATGATATAGTTATGCTCAACTATGTTTGATAACATTTGTGGATATGCCAACTTCGTCACTATATGGCTGACCGCTTCCGTGGTCTAGAGGTAGAGCGTCCGCCCGGAGATCGAAAGGTCCGGGGTTCGATCCCCGGCTGCGTCATACCAAAAGACGTTAAAAGATGGTACTTGTTGTTACCCTGTCGGGCGCTCGGCATTTAGGGGCTAAAACAAGGACTGGTCGACTCGGAGTCAGTATGCTTTGTCTGAGTGGGGTATTCATGTCAAACTGCGGCATGGTATCTCAGTGAGCTAGCACTATAAATCGGCATCAGTCCGGACTAGTACAAGCAGCCACACACACACACACGTGCATGCACGTCGCTATATAAGTGCAATAATTTTGGACGCGACGTTAAACCCAATTTCACCTCAACTCACAGCTGTATGGCTGAAATAATGCCGATGCGACGCTAAATTTTAACTCACTCACTAACTCACTTGGACTGCAAATGTGGAACAGACTATACAGCATAACCTCTTTAAGACACCATGGCACTCAACTCAACTTCAACACAATGGCCTCCTTATACCAAGGATATCAACATCTTATTACCTTTTCGGATCACCAAGGTGCTGACAGTGTGGCAGCCCTGCCCCGCCCTCTATTATCACTGACTTTTAGTGATCCATATGTAATAAACTGTGCAAACAATGAAAGAAATGGCAGAATGTAAGCATTATTACATATACATGTAATAATAATGTTTAACATTTTCAACATGGCTGCTTTAAGGCGGCATTGGTGTATGTTGGGACCGAGACGTTCAAACTGGTAACCTTCAGAAATATGTTTAGATTAACAATATCGTCCCTAGTTTCAACAAAATCAGTAAACGCGTGACCACTGTCGTATGACAGAAGAACTGCTGTGCGGCGTTGAACAATGGACACTTACCTTTTTTATGCTAATGTTGTGGGTGGTGGGGCGGGCGTGGTTGCCCTTTTCGCCGACGCCTGGTGTCGTCGCTATTTTTCGATGGTCAATTCATGTGGTTTTCACTGCTGTTTTACCTGTTGCGCCCAAAGGAATCTGTTTCGACGGATGATTGAGACTGGTTATTCATGGCGTTGATATTTTCACTTCTTCAAGGGCTGGTGATTATGGAACAGGCGTTACATCACCATCCTTATGTCTTATGTTTGTCTGCATATTGTTCTTCATGAAGTTTGTTTGAAGTTTGTTTGGTTTCAAACTTAGCCACTCGGATGTTTGTTTGTGTGTTTGCGTGTTGTTTAACGCCGCACTCAGCAATATTCCAGCTATATGACGGCGGTCTGTAGATAATAGAGTCCGGACCAGACAATCCAGTGATTGATAGCATGAGCATCGATCCACGCAATTGGGATACGATGACATGCATCAACCAAGTCAGCGAGCTTGACCACCCGATCCCGTTAGTCGCCTCTTACGACAAGCTTAGTCGCCTTTTACGGCAAGCAGGGGTTGCTGAAGACCTTTAATATTTTCTACCCCGGATCTCCACGGGCCTCCACGCAGTTGGGATCGATGACATGCATCAACCAAGTCAGCGAGCCTGACCACCCGATCCCGTTAGTCGCCTCTTACTACAAGCATAGTCGCCTTTTACGGCAAGCATGGGTTGCTGAAGACCTGTTCTACCCCGGATCTTCACGGGTCGGATGTATTTCCGTCAGGCAAACAGGTGAGATGCGATAGGCGTTGACACAGATATTTACCAGTATTAAGTTCATGATCATCATGCACGCCTAACAGATAACAAATATAGGTTACTTATCGTCTGAGATAGATAAAATATTCAACAGACTTATTTGTCCTACATTTCAACCTTTGAGTGCTTTTGTTTTTGTCTACGTCCTAAGAGATGAAGAGATGTTCGAAGTTAAAGAGACACTCGGCTTTTTTACGAATGGTGCAAAATCGTAATTTCAAGCGTTTGTCAATCTTGTTTAATTTAAATTTCTCATAATATATTTGGGGCGGTCGGGTAGTTGGCAGTTTCATTCCTGCCTCATAACCTGAACCATCTATTAATCATATATATTTACAAGTATGATCAGATATTTCCATGGGTTCATAGTGCGACCTTGGGCGGTCGGGTAAGCCAGTGGTTAAAGCGTTCGCTCGCCACGCCGAAGACCCGGGTTCGATTCCCGACATGGTTACAATGTGTGAAGCCCATTTCTGGGCCCCCCCGTCGTGATATTGCTGGAATATTGCTAAAAGCGGCGTAAAACCATAATCGCTCATAATATATTTATAATAAACTATGTAATTAAACACCATGTCCTGACTATATGTGGCGTTGAGGAAGGGAAATTCCAGTATGGACGGCTAAAAATAGATTCATGAGAATAGTTCTTAACAACAATAAGTTTTCACTTAATAAAGGTGACACAGCGCACGAATAACCAAGAACAAATGTATATTTTGCACTCTACCTATGAAACAATATACTAGTATGCGGATTTGGTGTAATTTTGTGTAAATACAATCCAAGAGAGATTGTGGAATTTACTCAAATCACGAGTTTTTACAGACAAAGAAGACTTAATATTCATCTTTGAATTAGACAATCTTGCAGTTATGACATACATCCTCATTTACTTGATATAAAGTCGAGACACGGAGATTGTTAGTGTACTCAATGTCCTTATTAGTTGTTTATCTTGGAGATATGAAACGTATCTATCGGGCTCCATAAGAGAGTGTGATAGCAACTTTGATAACACTGATATATGCTGTGATTATGTCAGCCTTAATGTCCCTCTCAATCTGACTGGTTCGTTCTCCACCATCCCACGCTGCAGGCTTCGCAAAGCGGTAAGCGTCTTAGGCCCGCATCATTTCGGGCTTTCCTTCCACATCAAGCTTACACCCTGTGAAAAAACTGAAATAGTGTCCACAGCGGTGTCATATCAAACGCAGTCTTTGACGAAGGGTACATGTGGATCTATGCATCCATTCGCCATATGTTTGTCATGTATAAACGATTACCCTAATTTCATTAGGAAATGTGAGGAATGATGGAAAATCAGATGACAAATGTCTTCTTTCCATTGCAATGGATCGAACTTGCAACCTACGTATCTGCAGCCCAGTGAGTAAATCACAAAGCATTATTAACAATCTCTTTTTCAAGTGTAGGTTTGCCAGTAAGAGATATTTTACGTCCGTTTCCCAAGATTCATGGCAAGTATGTTAGAAGCAAACCTGTTGTAAAAAGATATTTTTCAGGTTTTCTTTTCGAATCATAAGTTAGATAAAGAACTTCCCCTAGAGTTTTTATGAAATTCAAAACCCACGCGATAAAATCTCTGGGCTAATAAAACCCATCGAACGTGTTTTTCCTACTCTGATATACTGTCTTTAGTGGCATAAAACCCTACTGCCTGAAGCTAAAGGCAGTCAAATCTCTTAAAACCCTGGTTTTACGGACACACGTGCATACTTTTACGTATATACGCATATATGCTTATGTAGAATATTATGTATTCAGTGGGAGAATTTTAAACCTGATAAGATCAAGATGAATCAGATAATATGTCATAAAAAAGACGGGGGCTAATGTGCCTAAGATAAAATAAATAATTTACGAAAGCCAAAACAGATTCAGAAACTACTAAACCCAAATGCAATCCCCATGTATGCAAAATCTATTGAAAATGTCCTCAGGCACCCATCATTATAAACTGTTAATAGGAACGTTATGTCCCCCCCCCCCAAAGAAAAATCAAAACTCGACAAAAAGCGACTAAATGATACCATATCTAACGATTAGCCACACTACAATGTACTTCCTTTTAGATGTACAAAAGATACTAGTTTATAATGGTTCCAATAAAGAAAACACACACACCATATCTTACCAATTCATAATTTCTTGTCAAAAATAGGATTTGTAGATAGCAGAAGTTGTAGTTTCTGCACCAAAGACATGGAAACAATCACTCATATAGTCTGGGTTTGCAGCAAGGTAAACATTATCTGGAAATAACTTGAAATATGGCTTTGCGATAAACTAAAAATCACATTTACTACTTGGTTATCCATGGCGGAGAAACAATGATCCAATCAACATTATTATCATACTTTTAAATTATTTATTTTCAAAGTAAGTTTCACCAAACTATGCCACCATTCTACAACAATACTACATGATCACTAAATGTTCCTCTTTAATAGATTCTGGTCGTCATGTCATACTCTATTTTGTTAGTCTGTGTACACGTTTCCACTCTCGTGCTGATTAATATGTACAAAGATATATGTTATTTCATATCACCCGGAGGTCATTGTTATTTGTTTTCCTGTAAAATGTTGATAAATGCAATAAAAGAATAAAATTATTAAGAAAAGAAGTGTCTGTAGTGGCTGTGAATCCCAAAGCTAACGAGTTTCATAGCCCTGACTGTGCCACGACTGTTGTGAGTCTGAGATAAAATATAGTTACAATATTCATTTTGTGACACACGCTCCTGTATCCTGCGTCACAGTTCTCTTGCCATCAATCAGCAATATAACCGTTTCTGTGTCCACTCTCATCAACATCTACATGTAAGTAATGCTTTCCTCTAATTCCATTCCACTGTTGGTGTATTTCAATATGTTGGTGTCATTGTTCAAGGAAGAATTCTCGTTCTTCTGTGCTTTGTCTTTGTCACCTGAGCTCATAACATCAACATCTGCGATGATCAGTGATCCATCTATCCTGCGATAAAAGCGCCGAGCAAGCAGCGCTAGCAAGAACATTTCCACAATTATAATCAGGTGGTTCCAAACTGAAATTGAAAACAGAGCTTGAGAAGATTGTTTTCCAGTCAGTTTACCTTTTACAGTTTACAAACGGATGATACTGCTATGATTTTCAATTTTATTATTGGCGTTACTATTTTAATATGATGGAATAAGCTCCTTTGGAACACGGTATATATTGGTCACAGTATTGCAGGATATTGACGCAAACAGAATAGTAGTAATTAATGATACTTCCGTCCCAGAGCCAGTGTTGAATTGAAAGAATATCAAGATCACCTCACCCCGTCCCCCCCCCGTTATTACTTCCTGTTACATATCCTGATATGCTAAAAAGAATAATTACCTTACCTAAAAAATCAGGATGTACGCGTGTTGGGTATCATGCAGCTTTGAACAATATAATATCAATGTGTGAAGAAATGCCAGAAGTGATGCAGGTCTTTGATGTTTACCACGTTTGGGTATGAAATCATCCCTGCTTCCACGAGCGAATGGGTATCTCACTGTAACTACATTTTCTAGCAGACGTCACACTTGCCATTGCTTTGTGAAGTTGAAAACAATATAGGTATACAGGTAGGAAGGTTGTTGTTGACCAGATGTGACCTTACCATCGCATCATGCAGAAGAAGACAGTGTTGGTTTACAGGGAGGAAGGTTGTTGTTGGCCAGATGTGACACTTACCTTAACCACGTCCAGTAGAAGACAGTATTGGTGTACAGAGGATGTTGTCGGACAGATCAGACCTTACCATCGCCTCATCCAGTAGAAGACAGTATTGGTGTACAGAGGATGTTGTCGGACAGATCAGACCTTACCATTGCCTCATCCAGTAGAAGACAGTATTGGTGTACAGAGGATGTTGTCGGACAGATCAGACCTTACCATCGCCTCATGCAGTAGAAGACAGTATTGGTGTACAGAGGATGTTGTTGGACAGATCAGACCTTACCATCGCCTCATGCAGAAAAAGACAGTATTGGTGTACAGATGATGTTGTTGACCAGATGTGACCTTACCATCGCCTCATCCAGAAGAAGACAGTGTTGGTTTACAGGGAGGAAGGTTGTTGTTGGCCAGATGTGACCTTACCATCGCCTCATCCAGAAGAAGACAGTGTTGGTTTACAGGGAGGAAGGTTGTTGTTGGCCAGATGTGAGACTTACCATTGCCTCGTGCAGTAGAAGGCAGTATTTGTGAACAAGGAGGAAGGTTGCTACTGGCCAGAATATTAAAGACAATGCCCTGCAGGTTGCTGAAGACAAGCACTAGCTGCATGCAGATGAACTTTGGGACAATGTTGAACTCCTTCAGGTGTTTTCTGGACGCTCTGAATACAAGGACCATGCCGTACATGGCTGTAAGTGCGGACACAACATTCAACACAGTTATGTATAGCGAGGCCTGGTTTGGCCTCATCTGAAAGAGTGAGAGAGTGAGTGAGTTGTTTTGATGCTGCTTTGAACAATGTGTCAATTATATCACGGCATGTCAGCATGATGTGGTAGGAAAGCTTAAAGTCTCAGACATTTGCACTTTGATGAAACCTATGAGCAACTAAAACAACTAATTATGTTTATCATTTTATAGTCTAAATCATTTTCTGATTAAGAGCTTGTGAATTATTTCAAATCAACACAAACTGAAAGATAGCAGGATGGTGAGTATAAGACATGCTTTGAAATATCGCACGGTGGCGGGTATGAGATGTACTTTGAAACATAGCAGGATGGCGGGTATGAGACGTTCTTTCAAACATAGAAAGATGGCGGTATGAGACGTTTTTCGAAACATAGTAAGATGGCGGGTATGACGTACTTCGAAATACAGGAAAGATGGCGGGTGTGTGATGTATTATATGGTAGCAAGATGACAGTTATGAAATATATTTCTTAAACATAGCACAATGCTTAGAATGAGATGTATCTTGAAAAAGACTTATTTACTTACCTTTCCGTTCTGATATTTGTCATCAGCCCACAACACAGCAGCCAGAAGCACAAAGATCGGTCTTAAAACGGCAAATTGTAAAACAGACATCCTGATTCTGAGGAGGTTCTTCCTGAAAGAGTATAATGTCATCATCAGAAACCAACCAAAGCTTTATTTCAGAACACAATGGATGAAGAAGTTTAGTGTTACCTCAACAGATACATATGTCCGAATTGAGTGGATATGTGAGAAATCTTACTGTCAGGTTGTCACATAGACGTCCACCCAGAAAAGGTTGTCCTTTTTTGGTTAGCAGTGGTTAAAGTGTCCCCTTCTTACATTAAACACCTATCCCCACCAAATGAGATATGACTGAAATATCACTCAAGTGGCATTAAATTCAACTAATTCACAATGTAATCGTCAAAGTATCAATAACATGTCAATATATTTTATCCAACCATCAATATAACAGAGTTTAAAAGTTCATCTCAAGAGGCTTGATGGTGAATTAATAGTTACAGTTACAAATATTCCTGCTTACTCATTTACAGCTATCTTGGGGCAGCAGACGCAGCAGCAGGCCACGGGAGGGCTGCGCAGGTTTATTGTCTCCCCTGACATGTGATCGATGAAAGATTGCTCCCCTCCATGGTAGTGGATCAGCAGAAAGAGGAACAGCTGGAGACAGCGGGACATGTAGCTGACATAGCGGAAATGACACTGTAGAAAGTCAGTCTGAGGTACAGTTAGTTTATTACAGAGGTGGGTGAGTCAGAGGGAATCAGGGGAGGGACACTAAAAATTATGACAGTCTCTATGGGAGAAAATGATACGCTTAATCGGGAAGGGTCATGAAAAAATGGACATTTTATAATATTATATAAAGTAATCTTTTCAGGGAGATTCTGTAAATATGTACAAGGACATTGGTAGGGTCATCAAAAGATATAACAAGCATTAGGAGAGGGTAATTATTTTCAGTACATCAGTGCCTCATAAACCTCTGACCCATCCAACCCTGTAAAAATTATCGGTCCCTAAGATGTTTTCGCAAAACCATTGTATCAGTGATCGAAATGACGAAAATACCAACATAACATAATTCTTGGCCAGGTGAAAAAAAGAGAAAAGTACAAAAAAGAGCACAGGAGCACTGTAGCTCATCTAAAATTTTCTTAAGTTTCATATTAGATCCGAGAGTTCACACAAGTATAAAGAAGGATATGCTAAAAAAGTAACAGACATTCACAAAGTATGTTCATTAAGGTATTATGTTCATTAAGGTATTATGTTCATTAAGGTATTATGTTCATTAAAGAAACATGGATAAATGGTTCATATGCAGATGGCCAAAATTGCATGTTTATCATCAGCACAAAGGCCAAATGTTGAAGTTGTGACAAGTCATAACAATATATACAGGACCTAACAATACAATACATTGAAATATTGCAATGCACCAATACTTTGGTGAACCGTTACATGCGTAGAAAACACAACTATGTAATGTAGTGTACATGTCCCCTACTTTCCGCGTCCTTCTTTCTTTCTTTTTTCATGTACCTTGCAATGCACCAATACCTTGGTGAACCGTCACAGGCGTAGACAACCTAACTGTGTAATGTAGTGTACATGTCCCCTACTTTCCGCGTCCTTCTTTCTTTCTTTTTTCATGTACCTTGCATTGCACCAATACTTTGGTGAACCGTCAGAGGCGTAGAAAACCTAACTGTGTAATGTAGTGTACATGTCCCCTACTTTCCGCGTCCTTGTTTCTTTCTTTTTTCATGTACCTTGCAATGCACCAATACCTTGGTGAACCGTCACAGGCGTAGAAAACCTATCTGTGTAATGTAGTGTACATGTCCCCTACTTTCCGCGTCCTTGTTTCTTTCTTTTTTCATGTACCTTGCATTGCACCAATACCTTGGTGAACCGTCACAGGCGTAGACAACCTAACTGTGTAATGTAGTGTACATGTCCCCTACTTTCCGCGTCCTTCTTTCTTTCTTTTTTCATGTACCTTGCATTGCACCAATACTTTGGTGAACCGTCACAGGCGTAGAAAACCTAACTGTGTAATGTAGTGTACATGTCCCCTACTTTCCAGGTCGTTGTCCTCCCTGATGCATCATGTGACATACGAGTCAGCCTACAAGCGTCACTAACCCACATATGATTATGCTTTCCTTTTACTGCGGACACAAAGCCTTGTGAAGTGAAACCTTATAAACCTCTGTTCATTTTCAAAACGTGTAATCAGGGTTTATTAGGATATTCACTGTCATCTAAAAATACAAGACTGTGCTATAAAAGTTGATAAAATCATAAAACTGTCCTATACCCATTTGTCTCAAGAATAAAACTGGTTGTACTGAGGGTTTTGTCAATATATTATTCTACCATAACATCAATTGTAGAACCCTACTTTCTGATTGGTTTGCCAGGAGAAATGAATCTACATTAGATCATAACTTTATTGACAGCATCAGTGTGAAAGAAAATATTTCTTTGAATGCACTTTGACAACAAAAGGGATCATATAATATCATAAACACAGGTGAACAATGGCTAAACGAATGTATGGAAGTCATAACGCAAATACAGCTTAACACTTGGCGCTACTCCTTTACATAATGTGATGTCATTTGTACCACGTCACAATCCTTAGGTGTCGTGTCTTGAAACACATTATGACGTCATAATAGTGATGTGCACTGTGGAAATAAACATTGCAGAGATCGCTACATTTTCCAAATCTTTAAGGGAGGATCTCCGGAATAATACTTACGGGGTATCTGCACTGGAAGTTTGTAATGGCTCACACAGAACAAACCTAAGTTTTACGATGAACGTTGTGGTTTAAGTAAATGAAACCAAACATTCGTGGAAAAAACCCGATCGTCATTCATCAAGGAATTCCACCTATAAGAAAAGATTCGACTCAACGGATGCCCATCACTCATCACTTCGCTGTCACGAAAGAGTTCGAAGCCTGTAAACTTTTCAAATCTCCAGCTAACGCATTTGGTTTTAAGAGCAAAACCTACAAAACAAAAAACAGAGTAGGTTTATCTCCAATTCAGTGTAGTGTATTCACTTCTTTCTTTAGTGATAAAATACGCCCTGCAGACACTACCTATCAATAGCTTGTATAGCCATTGTAAATATTGCGTCTAATACACATACAAATAGTGAATGGATGCAAACAATGAACACAGTGAATCCTGGGGACTCAAAGTAGTTTGGCTGTATGAATCAAATACATTAAATCAAAATTGATGAGGTTATGTTACATAAAGCTGACAATTCTACTTTTCTCAAAGGTTGAAGGCTCTTGAGCATGTGCATTGATACGACAAATAATAACACATTTGGAAATCAAGTGAAGCGTGCCATATGTCAACCGCCTGGGGCCCCCCACCCCACACCACCCCACCAATATCCCCACCAACTGAATCTCCTGGACTCGACAAAAGATAGACCCAAGTAAATCCCTGATTCTAACTTACATTGCAGCCATCAGATCCGACAACAAGGCGGATCGCGGTATACACACAGCTATCAGGGCTGTCACTGCAAACACCTGTTGGTGGCAACTACATGTAATCAAATAGACATATACTTCAATCAAGTTCTACATAACCTGCAATGAAGTCATGAACAGAGGGTTTTGTTTGTTTGTTGTTTAACGCCGCACTAAATTATATTCCACCTATATGACGGCGGTCTGTAAATAATTATGTCTTGACCAGGCAATCCAATGATTGGCATGATGATTATCTATCCACGCAATTGGGATACGATAACCTGCATCAACTAAGACAGCGAGCTTGACCACCCGATCATGTTAGGCGCCTCTTTCGACAAGCATAGTCGCCTTTTACGGCAAGCATAGGTTGCTGTAGACCTATTCTACCCCGTTTTTTCATAGGGATCATGAACAGAGGTTTACTGTGAGCATTCCCACTGAGATGGAAAGGACTTGAGTGCTTTTGACGTGTCAGTTGATCCTGACTGAGTGCCAAGTATTAGCAAATGTATCTTCCCGAGGGAAGGGGGTGAACTTTCTCTAAAAGTCCAGCTTCCACCCTGGTCAAACTAGGCTGTAATTTCGTGGCTCGATCGTAGCGCAACCAGTGACTATTACGACGTCTCTTCTATACCCCTTCTTTTGCACTTGGCAAAATGGCAGGATCTAGTCGAGATGATCTGATCGATAATCAAGATCTATATTGTGATAAAACTTATCTCTTACCTCGCGAAGTCCATCAAATAACTTGAGCACATCGATTGAAAAGACGAAAAGATTTGGAAAATATCTGTCGATGCCCAATTACACACGCTTTGCAAATCCTGCAATCGACTGATAGCTGCAGTTGCCATGTTGTTTATGAACCAGATGTCAATTTCGTTATGCAATTTTTGATTGGACTAAGCATAGATTCGTTAGGACAGCCAAAACATAGCTCAGAAATTCCAGCCTAGTTCGGCAAGGGTGAAATCTAAACTTTTATACTCCCTTTCCTTTGGAAGATACACCAAAATGTAGAAACCATATACTGGTACCAAAATGAATATGATTATTAGAAATGACCACAAAAAGAGTAAATTTCCTTGTTGTACATGACTATTATCAATACCTCAACAGCAGATTGATATAATGAGTATTAAGATGTATGAGAAACACCTGTTAAAAACCCAGCCGCAAGGTTCTGTTGCTGAATCTGAATATTTGCAATATTAGATTGACACGAATGCCAAAATAAAAGGCTTAGATTAAAAGTTTGTGATCAACTTTTACAGACACAAATTCTGGGATCATACACACGAAATATCAGCTTCATAAGCCCAGAGATTGCAGAAACACTTAATACTTGTTGGAACCTGAAGATCAAAGGCCATAGCCAATATGTATGGAGTATTCTTTTGCATAGCACAATTTTACTAAATATCATATTTCATAATGATGCATTCAGAAATTGCTGAGATATGAGGAAAGAGGACATTTGCAATATGTCCATCGATAGATTTTCTGAGCTTTTTTGGTGAGACACCATTGCTGAGATAAACCATGCTTAGTGACAACATAATAGATTTAGCGTATTTTCAGATGCGGTGCAAATATATTACCCATGAAACTGGAGGGTGAACAATGGAGAATGCACATTGTCAATGGCGTATGGGGATTCCGGGTTAGATTTGGTTCCCAGCAAACTCTGCTGGTTATAACTTGATGGATCGGTTGTTTGTTTGCGTGACATCATACTCAAAAGGGAGTGTCTTTGTGGTTGATCATACTGTCAATCACCGGTTTGTTATGTTCAGACTAGTTCAGACTAAACTACAGGTCACCATCGTATACCTTGAATATTGCTGAGTGCAGCCTCAAACAACAAACAAACATAAGCTTCACCTTATGTTCAGCTGATATCAAATGTACACACAGGAACAACTTTGTGAACTTACTGGTTGAAGGCCAATCATCCATATGGACAGAATTTTTGTCTTTCTTTCTAGGTAGTGTTGGACTATAAACCAGGTGCTCTCCACAAACATGATGACAATAACTACAGTAACCACTGCACCAACTGCAATAGCAGCCACAAGCCCGGTAGATATTTCTGCAGAATACAAATCACAAAATGCTTTGTTTACAAATAAAGGGTATAATCATCATGTCGTGAACCTCTAACAAATGTCCAAGAGATGGTACAGGTGGTAATCCACAGGAGATATCGCCCTGGTGAATGAATGTTGTAAGTCCCACGCCAAAGACTCGGTAATAACACAATCTATTCACTCGGGTAGGTAATCCTTAACCATTCGTCGCTTATTGGTTATTCTCTAAGTGTAACATACTTTGGCATCGTACAACACACACAAGGTGCCTGGTTCATTTAAAAGGTGAATACTTAGCACTCATATTGAGCCTATTTCTTCAGACAATAAAGATATTTTCATCGTTTATTTTTATGTTTACATCATCATGTTAATCTTGTTTTGTTTGTTTTGTTTTTTCCGCACTCAGCAATATTCCAGCTATATGACGGCGGTGTTAATCTTGTAATCACATGACAAACTGTTTGGTAGGAAGAGGTAGCAATCAACAAAGTTGGCTGAGAAGAATTCTTCACAAATACTGGGAGATACTTTGGGCTCAGTTATTGCATTGCACTATTTAAGCAGTACCTAAAAAGCAATCGTCAAAATGAAAAGTTGTAAACAGAACACATTCACAGATCATACAGTGTAAAAAATAATGTTTGTGATGTTAAATACCTGCAAAGTAGCTCTCTGAGAAAGGTACAACATCAGGACAGATGAGTGTCACAGTACTGAAAACATACAGGTTTTCGCATATAAATAATACTTTAAAAAAAATAATTTTAAGAATGCCAAAATATCTATGGTAAACGTGACACACTAACGCACGCACACATATTCTAAAAGTTGTTCAATTGCACTTGGGGGCTACCTATTTCATAAACTTGAGGGGGAGGGGAGATTTTTTCCTTAAAAATAACCACCTGTTCCCCGAAATGCTGCCCCACTCTTCCCACAATTTCCCATGGCAAACTATAAACAAAATTTGTTTCAGGTAACACGGACCGAACATGTATAAATCGGGAGATAGGTTCATTACTTTTTTTATTCTATGCTTGTGTAGGTATGGTGTCAGTTGCAATGCTTCTCGAAAATTAATAAGGGTTTCTTTACGGCTGTTTCCAGCTGTGATAAAAACTGGGTTACAAATGAAAAAGTGACCCCTCTCAACAACCTCCCCTGAATATTAACTGGACTTACGAATCCTCTACCTGTATTACATCTTTGCCATAAATCCTTATTTTGGTTGCAATCACACTTAAATCAAATTTTCTGATTTTCAACAGAAGTCAACAATACACCATTAGTTGTTACCATAAGAGCGCCAACAGCCTTGAGCACTTCCTTGTTCAAAGGCAAGGAAATCCTAACTTCTTTCCTCTGTGTGCTAGTCACTCCTACTTCTTAGCTGCTCCCACTTCAGCAGATGGTTATGAAGTCACACGAATTGTAGTTCGTTTTCAGTTTAAATAGTTTATTACACTCTTACTACTTTTTTAAGTCGTTCATTTAGCTGTTTATTGGGGCTTTTATGGCGTGAGTATTGGTTGGTGTTTTGTGTGAGTCGCTATGGTGTCTCTATTTATGTGTCAGAAGTGTTGCCGACCATAGCGTCTGGGGACCCTCATGCTTCCTGTTGGAAGTGCAGAGATTTTAACAGCTCGTAACCATTGTGAGCTTTGCACTCTGCCTTTACGAAGCTTAAGGAATTCAACAAGGCCACGATGAAAGGGGCATGTCGACTTCATCAGCCAAACGCCTGCCTTACCCCTACAGGACGTTCGCCCAACACGGTCTCCGCATGGTCCTCATGACTGTTCGGACGAACCGTTAAAAGTTAGAAGATTGAAAACCACATCAAGCACGTGTTCTTCTGAGCCTCCACTCGGGAACCATGACATACCAGCTGTTACAGGGTCATCTCGACCACTGTTCGGTTCCTGCACGGGTTCCTACTCATCAACATGGCATCGCCATTACCGTATGAAGCTTCTGCGTCACGGATTTCTGCCACAGCCAGCAGCGTGCCACCACCATGTAATCATCCTGTCTGAAACATGGACGAATTTAGATGACGTCCCGCTTGGAGAATATGTGGATGTTCTTGAGTACTTGAATTAACAACATCAACACGGCTGGCGGCTGGAGGTCTCCTACGCCCCTAAATACTCAGATCTGAATATGGGGATGGATAATGGTCTCCTCTCTCTTTCGTGGATATGATTGAGTCGCTCCACCATGTTATACTTATACCTCAACACTGTACGGAACAGACTATTCCTCCTCAGATGCTGAAATACGCAGGTTGCAATGTCCCTGTTTCTTCCCAACACATCCAACAGACTCTTCAGTGGCCAAGCTATACACAGAAGGTTCCATGTCTCAACATCCTCACAATTCTTCTGGATTCATTGGCAATATCTTTTAGCATAAATCGGATCAATGGCTATCTTCACTCAGGCCAAGAAGATGGCGATCACGGTCCACAGGATATTTAACAATCCACTTGGAAAGATCATAGATGAGGTCAGAAACGATACGGCCGAACGGTTCTAAGGCCTCCATGGTTCATCGTTCCCCCCTAAACGACCACGTGAACACTCCCAAGACGTTTCCGTCCGTGAACCTGCCAGAATAAAAGTTTATTCCCTGGGCATGGAATCGTTTCAAGCCTTTCGGAGAACAGACCATTCACAGCACCTTCCTGAATCTTTTCGGCAGTCTGATACCAAACATCGATTCTGGCTGAAGAGGTTTCAAGTCCGGAGGTCGAGAGGATCGTAGATTACTCTACTCCTGCTCCTATTACCATCACCGACCCTGTCGACCTGGCTATATCTATGGACCACATTTCACCGCAAATATGACTCTGGGTCCAGAGGTTGGCTGGTTTTGTTCTACGCAGACAACTGGAGACTAATTACGTCCTTCCACTGGATCTCACAAGGATACACATTACACTTGCGTAACCGTCCATTTCTTGTGTCCTGACTCTATGGGTCGCCGATTCCACCTGGAAGTAGGCAGGTTAACGGCAACTGATCTCGCTATCAAGACTTTATTGGACAAACGGGCCATTCTGTAACTCCAAGACACAGACAACAGCACAGGTTTCTATCCTCCAGTGTTCATGGAGCCGGAGATGAATTCCACAGAAATTTGAAAGGTCCTCAACAAATCTTTCATCTCCGTACCTGGTCTGTTTGCAACCTTCCTAAACCATCAGCTTCCAGTTAATGACAGTTTGGAACCGGATCCGATGGTGTTTCAGCTTGACACCCAGTCCTGGGCTGGACACGCCTCTTCGCTTACGAGTTTCCTCCATGGTGTCTCCAAGACAAAGTAATTCGGAAAAAAGAAGTAAGAGACTGCACCATCATTTTCTCTACTGATGGAAAAACATCGCCAGATGGCATAAGTTTATCCAGTTGAGATGATGATGTGGACAAGGAGACATAGACGTTACTATACCCATGGCTGCTGATTTTTACCAGCAGCAACAGAAGGTAAGTACACCTATTATTCATTAGATACTGTGTGGAACATAAAGTACACAAACACCCCCCACCCCCCCCCCCACCCCCCCACACACACCCACACCCACACCCACACACACACATATATATATATATATATATATATATATTATATATATATACAGTTAGATATTGATAACAGACTGACTGGATACGATGTGGCTTTCAGAAGAGAAATGAGATGGTAAGTGACGCCACTAGATCCGGAGGTGACGTCAAAGGGAGGAAATAACGTCATTTAGACCGGAAATTACGTCAAACCCGGAAAAAAGAAAGACTGGATGTGAATTTTAAGCAAAATTATCTCCCAAAAAGGTCCAAGGAAATAAACTGACTTTGAAAAGAAACTTTACCAACTTAAAATATAAATTTCAGACAAAGTATAATTTTTTTCCCGATGAAGTCTATATCTAAAACACATAACCTAAATACAACAATAGTGTATGCAGAAAATGTTAATCGTCTGTTACATGTTTGCGAGATAACACGCGAAAAAGTGAAAAAACGTGCACCACGGACAACTGCAAATGCACGTGCGGATAAGGGTATAAAACGATTGTAACGGCAAGTCAAACGTCCACAGTGATAAAAAAACACAAAAGAAATGCCACGACTCACAGTCAAACAACGTGAACGAGCCTTGGGTATGGTACAGATGGGAGCCACCCACGCCCATATTGCACGAACCTTCGGTTGCTCCCGTGTTGCCGTTACCAACTTGATGCAACGTTACAGACAGACAGGGCGGACCGCTGACATGCCAAGAACAAACAGACCCAGGGTGACCACGCCCCCTGATGACCGGTACTTGCGTACCTTGCACCTCCGAAATCGCTTCCTGACAGTGACGTCATCGGCGACACATGCCTTAGGTCACAGAGTTAGTCGACAGACAGTGGCCAGGAGACTCAGGGCTCATGGAATCAGGGCTTTTAGACCATACAGAGGACAGCTATTGACAGCGCAACATCGTCGTCTGCGATTGAGATGGGCACGGACTGTACGACGTTGGCAACGACGTGACTGGCAGAGGGTTGTCTTCACTGACGAAAGTCGATTCTGTATGTTTAGGGCTGATGGAAGACAACGTGTTTATCGCCGAAGGGGTGAACGAACGGCGGCGTGTTGCGTGCAGGAGGTCGTACTATATGGTGGAGGGAGTGTCATGCTGTGGGGAGGGATCTGTGGGCAGGAGAGGACACCGCTGGTCATCGTTGACGGAAACTTGACAGCTCAGCGTTACATGGATAACATTCTTCGTCCAGTTGTCCTACCATTTCTCCAATAGCAGCCACGTGGTGTAATTTAACAGCATGACAACGCTAGAGCCCATACAGCCAGAATTGTCTCTAACTTCCTCGCAGCCACCAACGTCAACGCCCTGCCGTGGCCTGCACGCTCACCCGACATGTCCCCCATAGAACACCTCTGGGACTTGATGGATCGTCGTGTTCGACAACGACCACACTCTCCAGCCAACCGGCAAGAACTGATCTTGGCCCTCCAAGAAGAATGGCGTCAAATCCCACGTGACCTCATCAGACGACTGACTTTTTCTGTGCGTAGAAGAGTTTTTGCGTGTATTGAGGCATTTGGTGGTCACACAAAAAACTAATGACTTGTTATTGAACGTGAGCGATTGTTTATGTACTCTGCCTATTGTCCATGATTCTGAAAGCTCGAGTTTTGTACCAAACCCAACTTTGGGGGGCTCTGACGTCATTCTCGGTCGCGGTATGATTGTCATTTTCAGTGTTGATCATGTTGATATATTGATCTTCTCAATACACTTTACTTCATGCATGTATGTTTTGTTGTTTTTGAGCAAGAGTGATTTCAAACTCTGGTAAAGTTTCTTTTGGACGTCAGTTTAATTAATAGGAATATTCGCAGTATAAATGTAATTCACATTATTGATTAATCCACTGCATGATTTTCAAGCCTTCTGAAAGAGATTCACTGGAAGTCATCTCCTTAGGATACGAAGCAGTATCATAATAGGATGGAATTTGTACAATAGTTTATAGGAATCACTGTCGGCTATACAGGGAGTGTACTAATGACAGAACCCGTCTATCCCTCTGGCAGGCAATGATGTTATAGAAGTAGAGGACTTGTAAGAATTATTAAAACAATAGTTGTCATTGTTAAGAATATTACCTCTATCACACCAGCAGTACTCATTATCTGTCTCTAGTTGATTGATGTTTGGAAAGACGCCATAGGCTGTTGGTGCTTTTATGGAACAACTAATTATGTATAGCTGACAGTGAAGTGGATTTGAAACTTTTGTTTTAGTGTGTTTGCAGCCAAAACACCCCAGAATTTACAAAACTGTCGATAACTTCAGACATGTTGTAAAGGGTGACATCAAGCATATTTTACTTCTTACACTTGTAAGTTAGGGCATTGTCAAATACTATCACAAAGTATCACTAAATTGAGTGAAAAAGTTGTTTAGTTCAATAGAAAGTTTGTGACCCGTCATAAACTGTGCACCATATGTTTGTACTGATTTTAGCTAAATCTCCTACAAAACAAGGGTAAAAGACTTGTACAAGGTCAAATATCAGAAACAACACCTCACCAAAATTCTAAAATCAGTTTTTTCGATGTATTATAGCCTTACCCATATACATGGTGTTGCTATAATTCCGAAACAAACACTCACACAAATGAACAAAGTCTAGTTCTAATTCCTATAAACACATCTGAAACCTTTGTCTTAACGATTTCTGAAGAATTTGCTCATTTCTTAAATTGTGCAGACTCTGTTGGCTGAAGCGGGCCCTTATCCTACCTTGTCCTTTATATTTTTGTTCTATAGAAGATCCCCCTCACAAATTTTCAAATGCCTAAAATGATTTTGTAAAAACCTTTATCCGAAATGGTTTCTCTGAACCTTAGATTTATGTGAGCTAATATAATAGTACCAGTGGTACATAAGCTCACATAAATAGATAAATAAAACTTAACTAGTGAAGATGTAAAGAGACACTCGGGAATATTTTGATTCCTACTGGTTATCTAGAAAACGATATATCTGAAGTAATGAATTTACTTACCTGTTTGGGGTTTCAGATCCCATATTTGAGTTTCAAGTCTTAGAACTTGATACAATTGCCCCACCTGCTTTCAATGGAAAACAATGAATGGAATTCAGGATAGAAAGGTTCTTCAATGAACAGTTAATCCCACAGAAGTGAAGATTATTTTTTAATAATTTATAGAGACAAGAAACGCATTAATCTTAAAGCAATAACGAAACTCAAACCAATGATTTATCTCGACCCGCTCAGAAGCCAATATTTGGCCCAAGTGGGCTGCAAATGTCCGCAGAACCAATATTCAAGTAACGATGTCCCAATTCATGTTACATACAGCTTATGTTGTGGCTTTGTGGAGGTGACTTGCTGTTTGGTCATAACTGGTTAATCAAGAGGTTTACATTACTGCATCGAATACAATGTTAAACTGCAATGTTAAATTACCTCTGAATATAGGAAAATATGAACTGACCATTTTGCATTTTGAACAATGTTTTGCCAATTTTGCCATGTTTCAACTGGAACGAACCATGTTTTCCAGAAACGGTTTAATGGTGATGCTGTTAGAGTTACTTCTGCTAATCAATAAGGATCGGACATATAATAAAGGGGTGGGTGTATCAGAGGGAATCTGGGAGGGTCACCATTAAATATGACAGTCTCTAGGGGTGGGTCATACAAAAGAGGACATCTTTTAACACAACGAGGAGGGTCATGAAAAAATGCACAAGGACATGGGAATAGACTGCAAATTCATTGCAGGAGTAAAATAATAATTAAACGTATCTCAATTGCGTTGATCAATGCTCAGGATGTCAATCACTGGATCGTCTGGTCAAGACTTGAGTATTTACAGACATCCGTCATAAAAAACAACAACAGCAACAACATCAACACACAATTCTTTTTTAATGTTTATTTAATGTTTGGATCAAAGCAATAAATAAGTGTGGCCTTAATAACAAAAACAAACACATTAGTGTCAACAAATATAATATTGTACCACTAAAAATAATAATAATAATCATCATCATCATCATCATCATCATCATCATCATCATCATCATCATCAGGTCAGGCCTGTACGTACTTAGGGATGCAGATTAAGGACAAACTCCAGAATGCCCATGTGATTAGAACTTGTCCCAACTGCATGGCCGCCCAGCGTAGACGCTGTCTGCACCACTGTAGACGTCTTCTGTCTTCTGGCGACAATCCCTGCACATCTGAGGTGGTGCAGACGTACGGTTTGTGAAGATATTCGTCGAAGGCCAGGGATGCCAGAATGTCACTGTTGCTGGCTGGAATCGATTTAGTAGGTGTGTTGTTCGAATCCAGTTGTCTTGTCGATTATTGGTTACGCGTGGCCTGCCACTCCGGGGATGGTCTCTGACTGCATTCGTCTGTTGCCAACATTGCCATATACACCAAATGGTGTTTCTGTGGACGTTAAATTGTCTTGCAACATCACGTTGACTCGATCCTGCTTCAAGCATACCAATGGCTCGCAGACGCTCATTTTCGGACAGGCGTAGCATTTCGTAATGTTGAATAATTGCGTAATTTTGTTGTTTTTCTGAGTGGTTGTTGTCAGCACGATGCTAAACGATGCATATGGAATCCCGTTAACGCACATCTTTTTATACCCATTCTTGGGTAATGAAACGCTTGGGGCTTGCATAAAAGTCAACTTTTGCATGCTTTTCTGTAGCAGTTGCGTTTTTGTGACTTGATTCCATACATGTACCACAATATTGAAAACCAAACTTTACTTGTTTGAAAAATATACTAAAATATTGGTGTCACAGGAACTTTTGTTGTTGAGTATAGTTGTGTACCGGTTTGTTTAGCGTTAAATCATACTTTTTTCAGATGGCAAATAAATGCCGAAACCAGGCCATACAAAAAAAATGAAAATCACATCTGGAACCATCAACGCAACATGATACTGAGTAAACATATACGGCAGATAGAGTTTTGTGATCACGATGAAACACTCAAAACAATGGAGCGGTATAACTTTGTAATCCAACACTCATGACACAGTAACTTTGTGACCCACATGAAACCCTCATGATGACTGCGCAATCCGTAGTTGAATACACAGCCACTGTGGAGATACACAGCAATGATCATTTCTCACCAACTGGTGACTACACAGATATACTGAACCTCAAAAGGAACGTCACCATGGATAGATATATGAGAAACCTTATTTGTCCAAACACTGTAAGCATCCGGGATAGAAAAAATAGGTCTTCAGCAACCCGCGCTTGCTGTAAAAGGCGACTATGCTTGTCGTAAAAGGCGACTAACGGGATCGGGTGGTCAGGATCGCTGACTTGGTTGATGCATGTCATCGACCCCAATTGCGTGGATCGATGCTCATGATATTAATCACTGGATTGTCTGGTCCAGACTCGATTATTTACAGACCGCCGTCATATAGCTGGAATATTGCTGAGTGCGGCGGAAAAAACCCAACCAACCAACTACTTTGAGACATATTAAAAAGATGAAACTTGGCAAAACTGATCATCAAGGTTGAAATTAAAGTGTCAAATGTTCTTAAAGTGAAACACAACACTTGTCTCTGAGAAGATGGCATTCAAAGTCAGTATCTCGTGTGTCCGCCATTTGCATTTGACTGCCGTGCAACGTCGCTACATGGAATGGATGAGGCGGTGCATGAAGGCCATAGGCACTTGAGCCCACACTCTGAGGAACGCCTGACGCAGTTCAGCTGCAGTTGTCGGCCTTGGTCGGACGTCATTCAGCCGTCTTGGAATCTCGTCCCACAGGTGCTCAATGGATTTAAATCGGGACTGTGGGCAGGCCACTGCATGGTTCTGATGCCATTCTGCTGGAGGAAGTCTCTTGTTGCTCTCGCAGTGTGGGCACGGGTGTTATCATGCTGAAACTGGTTCCGGTGACGTGCCAAATGAGGTATGGCGTGTGGTCTCAAGAATTGATCAATTTACCGAGCTGCTTTGACACCATTGCCTGACCTAGGACCGATGTTCTGGAAGACCAGAGGGCCGACCCTCCGTGCAATACCAATTCCACCCCACAGCATGATGCTCGGACCACCCCTAGATTCTCTCTCAACATCACAAGCATCCGAATAACGTTCCCCAAGGCGTCGCCAGACTCTCTCTCTCCCTTTTATCTGCTGTTGAGATACAGTAACGGCTTTCGTCTGAGAAGAGGACTCTTCTCCACTGCTTGTGGCGCCAATGCTGGTGCTGTGTTGCCAACTGAAGACGATCCCGGCTATGACGTGGTGTCAGAATGGGTCCTCGGTGTGGCCTGTGACAGTGGAGGTATCTGCTCGTCAATCGTCGACGCACGGTGTCCGCACTAATGTGTCGCTGGTGTGTACCCATGGTCAATCGAGCAGTTTCCGCAGCAGTAACAAAGCGATCTTGAAGATGCTGTCGCACAATCTGACGATACTGACGTCGGGTGGTGACCCTTGGTCTTCCACTACGTGGTCGGTCATATGTAGTGTTGGTGGTCTGGTACCGTTGCTAGAGCCTGTATATGGTCCTTACGTGAACTTGAAATGTATTGACCACTTGTCGGGCGGTTTGTCCAGCTTGCAATCGTCCAAGGGCCTGGTGTCGCTGATTTCTTGTCAATCTTGGCATGTGGTAGCAATTCAATAGCGAATGAATGTTATCCGATCTGGGTGGATTTTTATAGGGCAAGAAATGAGGGACCGCATGTGCATTTCAATTTGCACGGAACTCACGTGCACGGGTTACCATGGCCGTTGCTGTGATGCCGCAGCTCAATCGGTCGAGATAGGCAACTAATGTAGGCGATATTGTTGGCTAAACTTGATATTCCCTGGGGCATAAAAGGATCAACAGTTCGTTAAACATAGACGACAGATCTTTCACCAGTCATGCTAAGTTTTTTAACCCAAAACAATCATAAAAGTGTGAGCACAGATAAGCCCATACCAGTGCTGATAACAGTACGAAGTAATAATAATAGGATAACAATTATCATTTGAAAATGATGTCATGAGTCAATATTTGTTCAAACCACTAATGGACATTATTACACAGTACACTCCTACAAGAGAAAGAGATATTGACTGCCTGAAGCTCCAGGAACTGTATATACGCACAACAGTGACTTCATGCGGACTGTAAGCACTTTGAAATATTTGTGTGCGGGTTTGTAAAGCATTTAATCATACTTTAATTTTTCTTTTGTTTGTTTGTTTAACGCCACAATCAGCACTATTCCAGCTATATGACGGCGGTCTGTAAATAATCGAGTTTGGACCAGACAATCCAGTGATTGACATCATGGGCATACTTTAACATGGCAAATAAAAAATGCTAAAAAAAGCTATACAAAAAATGAAAATCACATCTTGAACCATCAACACATCATGATGTTGAGTAAACATGTACTGCAGATAGATGTTTATAAGGGACACTCGCGGAAATAGAGCGAAACACTTTGTAATCATACACCCGTGAGATCATCACTACGATTGTCACTGTGTAGATTTACCAGTGGGGACTGCACACACAGATCACAAGGCAGCCCACATAGTCAACTGATGAGGCATAATATGACCACTCGTCAACGGTTCGTTAAACATGGACGATAGATCTTTCACCAGTCATGCTAAGTTTTTTAACCCAAATCGGGACAAATCACCCACTCATTCAGCAGCGCTGCCGTCAGTATTGTGCTGCATGTTTGAAACGTGATAAACTGTTATCAACGACCGGTAGCCGGACTATTTCCCTGTTGCACATAAAATCAGCTACTCACAGTTCCGTAGAGAGACTGGACATCGATTTGGGATGAAACTCTGCCGGAGTGCCCTCCGTGACACATCAACATATTTTTATCTCCCGACGAGTTCTTGCACGAGATCACGTGACATTGGCTGCAAGCAGACGACACTGGCTTCTTTCCAAAACTATTTTTTCATTCACTTAATCGTTGTTTATAAGAAGTTAAACGGTTGATATTATGACGCAGGGATGAGGCTGCCAACCCCCGTTTTGTACATGGGATTCTGGTGTCTATTTAGAGGGAATTCGGAACTCAGGTCCTTGGATTAAACATTTATAAAACAGTAAAATGTTCCTCCATGTATTTTATTTGTTTAATACCTTTTTCAGTAATTAAACCTCAAATCGCACCCTTTTCTCAATGCTTTTGAGATCTGTGTTTGTGCAATGAGTGAAAACTTAGATGGTATTCGGTATTCAGGAGAGGAAGGGGTTGGCACTCTCACGGGTAACAAATCGAACTACACGGAGTTCAAAGTCTTATGACACTATTTCACACAGACTGTGTGTAGTTGTTGTTTAACGACTCACCCAGCAATATTCCAGCTATATGACGACTGTCCGTAAATAACCTTGTCTTCACCAGATAATCCAGTGATTGATATAATGAGCAACCATCCACGCAGGATACGTGGATACACCATCAACCAAATCACTGAGAGTGACAACCCAATCTTCGTATCACTAGCTACCGGGTGCTGGGAACACGTTCAATGAACCTCAATAGCATTCACTATTTGAAACCTATTTACTCAGAGGCGAGCCTTGTGGTTGAAGAGTTCGCTCGTCACGACAAAGCACGTCACGTCAATATCATTCACTGGTTGAATAAATAGGTTTAACAACTGTCAACAACATAGACATGGATGGACTGTAAGGCTGTGCAGTGAAAGCTACAGGTAACCGACAGTAACCGACAGTAACCGGCTGCCGTATTTTTGGGTCTGTTTGTTAGGTATGAGTCATGTTTCTGTGAAGTCAGTCTCGGGAAGTCAGCACTTAAGTGAGTAGAAAGTATTTTATAGCCCCCACGTCAATCCTCCCAAAGGACCCATAGCATATATCTAATAAAACATCCACCGCATTCCATCCCTCATCCCATTCTCAGCTCTTCCGGTCTATACTTATCCCCTTCTCAACTCAATCAGCCTTTACTCATCCTCTTCTCAGCTCTACAAGCCTATACTCATCCGCTTCTCAGTTCTATTGGCATGTACCCATCCCATTCTCAACTCTATCAGCCTATATTCATTCCATTATCAGCTCTACCAGCCTATGCTCATCCCCTTCTCAGCTCTATCAGCCTATATTCATCACACTCACAGCTCTATCAGCCTATACAAAAATCGTCCCATTCTCAGCTCTATCAGCGTATGCTCATCCCACTCTCAGCTCTATCAGCGTATGCTCATCCCATTCTCAGCTCTTGTAACCTCTACTCATCCTCGAGCAGGTCTAAGGAACGCAACCAAGCACAGCGAATTTCTGTCAGTTGGCCACGAGTGATAAAACTCGATGCAGCCTTTATTAAAGGGATGTGTTACTTAATCTACACCAACCAGTGCGTTAATACCTGTGGCGGTATAAAACGATTCTTACAACAGGTTCCGGTTTTCTTAATAAAAACGGAACTAATAAAACGCATCTAAAAACACAATAACCTACCAAATCAAAATCACATAAACAAACAAACATCCACCATACCCAGCTCCCTGAGTTCTCCTCCCCAATCCCATCGGCATCTATTCAAAATCTCGAAATTCCCAAATTCTATATAAGCAACCCCTAAAACCCCCCTCTTGGGTTGCACAGACCACTTTCGCCCCTTTCGGAAACACATTAAATGGCCTGGCCGGGCCCGTGTGCGAAATATGCATCAGTCGGAAAGCGCACGTTAAATCTCCAAAGTAAGTTAGTAAGTAAGGTTCCGGTTACCGTGTTTCCTCTATGTGACGACGTCTTAGTCTGTCTCCCAGACCGAAGAGAATAGATTGAAATAGAGGTCCAACTCAAGCCTTGACTGATTTGGCATGTCTAGATTGCCTAAACTCCACTTAAGGTTTGTTCTGGGATCCATATGGATTTCATTTGATTTAGTTTGTAGGTATATACACGTATATTTATATAAGTGAACTTTATTTCTGTGACTCTATGTCAGTGTAACGCCGGGTGTTAAAAACATGCCGGTTCAAACGCTGTCAAAGAAATAGAAGCCGGACCATTATTACTGTGCTATACTGCGAATATACCCTTTATATGATTGTAGAATAGGGGGATCTGGTAAGGTATAGAGTTGCCACTGTGCCAGCATTAAACAGTATTAAACGCCAGGTCAACGGCCTACGCGAAATATATAATACGGTAGTTAGATTAACGCCAGCCTTGGTGTTATTTTCTTCTGTTTTCAAGTAGGTCAATGTGTTATTTATCTCTTCCCATGTACCGCGTGTACCTGATCTCACTGCAGATATGTCTGTCTGGGGAATGCCCGCACTGCCATGTTTCCTACTTAATTAAATCTCACAATCTTAAAGAATTTGTGGAAACAGATCACTTGGGAATATTAAGTTTTTTTTAAAAAAGGCCACTCAGAATATAGTTGTTTTATTCTCTTTTTATAACTGGTATACTTGGCAAATGCTTCACAATAATACAAAGTATATATGAACAGTTTAATCGATGGTGTACTTCAAAATTGATTTATATTATCTGAATATTTCTTTAGCAAAGCTGGTGTATGCCAAGGATGTATATAAGCCCAAATCTTATTTCATTGTTCATCAGAGAGCTGGTGACACATTTTACACTAACGTTTGTTGATGATATATATGTATTGGCGGAAATGTATAACATTATTGCTCAACTAGTTGCAGATGACCTGATACTTTTAGCAGATTCTCCAAAAAGAAAAGATTAGGCTGGTTACGCCAATACTGTATTAACTGGGGAATGGAAATCAATGATGATAAAACACGTAAACTGGTATTAGGAACTGGGGATATTGATAAAAATATGAGGAAGTTTTCATATAAAGGAAGGGAAATTAAAGTCATTAACGCGTATAAATATCTTGGATTAATGTTACACAAAAATGATTTGGACAAAAGCAGTTGGTACTTTTTTAAAACAGGGCATCAGATCTCTAATTCCGATTAAAAAAACCTTAAATACTTTAAACTTTAATCTAACTGCCAGAAATGCTTTCGAAATATTTAATTAGAAAATTGTACCGAATTTGACTTATGGAAGTGAGATATGGGGATTTGCACAAAGAGAAAATATCGAAGTTGCCCACCGAAAGTGTCCATTTCTACCAGAAATTAGTTTCCAGAAAGTATAGTTATCAAATCTTGTCACCTGTGGTGATTGTAGGGCAGTCTCTTTATATATTATCGCGGCGTTAAACAACAAACAAACATACGCTTCAGTGGCATTTAGAAGTTGGTGTGATGAAGTAAGACGAGTTCTATGGATGAACAACTTCTTTATTACAAGTAGTGCGACGTTTCGGTGTAGATCCTAACACCTTTATCAAGCAAGTGATCACTAAAGGTGTTAGGATCTACACCGAAACGTCGCACTAATTGTAATAAGGAAGTTGTTCATCCATAGAACTCGTCTTACTTCAGCATAATACCTCTTTAAGACACCATGTCACTCAACAAATAATGGAAATATGGGGAACTTAAACAAAATGTGCAGGTAGAGCGTCGTTATGCCAAGGTTATCAACATCTTAATACTTTTTCGGATCACCAATACGGTGCGTGTTTTTTTATGAAAATAGTGTCAGCGGCCAGTGTGGCGGGATACGCTTGCCCTTTTCGTGAGCACCTGGATTATCACTGATTTTCAGTGATCTATATGTAATAAACTGTGAAAACGATGAAAGAAATGGCCGAAAATAAGCATTATTACATATAATAAAAATGTTTAAGGTGGCATGGGTGTATGTTCCGACCGATACGTTCAAAGTTGTAACCTGAAGAAATATGTTCAAATTAACATATCGTTTTTAGTGTAAACAAAATCAGTTAAAGCGCTATCGTCACTGGGTCGATTGTTTAAAGGCCTCTGTCCTATAACAGGAGTACTGCTGTGCGGCGTTGTGCAATGCACAGACACTTACCTTTTTATGCAAATTGTGTGGGAGGTGGGGCGGGCGTGCTTCCCCATATCGCTGGCGCCTGGTTTCGTCGCTGTCCGAAGGCCAATTCGTGTGGTTTTCACTGTTATTTTGCCTGTTCCGCCAAAAGGAATATGTCCCGGCTAACGATTGGGTCTGGTTTGTCTTTGGCGTTGACATTATATATTTACACATCTTCAAGGGCTGGTGATTCTGGAACAGACCTTGACACAGATATATCTGAGTTTATTGTTCATGATAAAACAAATATATCTTACTTATCGTCTGAGATAGATATACTATTCAAATGACCTATTTGTAAAACAATTCAACCTTTGAGTGCTTTGTTTCTGTCAGCTTCCTAAGAGATGAAGGTGATGCAGCGCACGAATTCCTAAGAACAAGTCTATATTTTTAATAAAGTTTTTTTCTTTAATTTTGGCTTTGCACTCTACCTATGTGTAAATTAACTTACTTCTTTGTACATACAAAAAGACACAATATTCATCCTTGAGTTAGACATCTTGGCAGTTATGACATCCACTCTTCAAAATAAGAAACGCACAGGTAGTATGTAGTTCATTGAACCTGACCACACACAAAATCCGGTATATGAATTGGATATATGTTATTGGAAATTGTTGGTGGCATGATATTCGACAAACGGTACGTCAAAACGCAGTCATTGTCGATTTGCAATGTCTTAAACGGAATTGTGTTCACACTTGTTTGAAAATTATATGGAGGAAAACACTAAAGCAAAATGCACGAGCAAGTTATGGTATTCGTAACTCGTGGTAGTGGCTATAAAAAGGCAAGCATAAGCCAATAATTTGTCAATGCTCAATGTTCGAAAATGCCGAGACTCAGCGCTGCCGATCGGAACATCGCCATAGGACGTATCCAAAATGGGGAATCGCAGTCTTCTGTTGCACGC